ACGAAAAATTAAAGTGAATATAAAGAATTATATATAAAGAAATATAGCGGAATAAATAATTCGGCTTTATTCCGTCCTTATAGCTAATTGCGGGTGATACGGGTGATACGACGGACGGCTTTCGCGACGATTTAACTACCGGCTACCCTTCTCTCTGCTAGGGGGCTACCCGTATCGATCGCGCGACCGGCGACTTACTATAACTTACTACGCGCCCTCGGTAACGTCGCTTACTAACCCTACTTTTATACTCGGGCCTCCCCTATTAAACATCGCGACTTATTAACCTAATCTATTAATATCTCTATAACTACTATAGGTTTTTAGGTACCTGAAATTGGAATCGGGGTCTCCTCGACCTGGCTTAAAATTCTATCGGGTCGCATCCTAAAATTTCGCCCCGGAACCCTAATCAGATCGACCTTTTCTCACTAATCAGATCGACCCCCCTCACCAATCAGATCGACCCCCTGTCTTCAGAAACCCTAAAATCGATTTTGGTAAGCCACCAATCGGATCGACCTCGATCTAAATAGGTCTTACAGGTTAGGGCGATAGGTCAGGGTAAAGAAATACAACTTAACTTAACTCAACTCAACTCGAGAATAGACCGGATTAATAATAAATAATACGAATATAGAGAAGTCGAATTAGTTTCCTACGTTCTCCTCTAGTACTCCTACTTTAGGAAAGCCGATAGAGGATACTCTAAGATAGTAGACTAAAAAAAAAGAATAGCCTATCAGCCTTACTCGGTAGAAAGCTACTAAGTAATACCGTAGCTACCTAGGGTAAAGACGATAATTAGAGAATAATAGTATTATAACTTTAGGCTATACTAAGCTTTATATAAGACTTATAACGGTTTAAGAATAGAGATAATCCTATAGTATAGAACCTCTATACTACTATCCCCTCCTACCCTACTATCCGCTCCTTTTACCTTCCCTTTTCCTCCTAGATTAATAAATCACATATAAACTAGTAGCAAAACTCTTTAAATAGTCGTAGCCTATATATCGCTCAGGGCGATAGGTTAGGGTAAATAAATACAACTCAACTTAACTTAACTCAACTTAATTAATTAACTACTAGTAGTACTACTACATCGCTAGTGTTACCGTAACTCGTTATACCTATATACTTTTAGCTAGATACTAGCATTCTTTCGGTCCCTTATAAGTATATTAAATAGGACGAGTTAGTCGGCTAGTAGTAAGGTCGTACCCAGCTGCGGTATATACCACCATCAGCACAGACGTAGGGGCTATAAGAATAAGTACTATTGTTACTTTCTTAGCGAGATATTAGTGTTTGTAGCCCGTGCGAATATAAATAGCTCACAGCGTAGAAGAAGCGCAATTCGCGAAAACTGTGTTTAACTACCATGTAAAAGACCGACTAGAGCTTGCCTCCCCCTAATATAACCTGGAAATATAATCGATTGCTCGGAACGTTAAGCACACAGCTTTAATCCGTGGAAGCCCAAATATTCCTGCATCGTTTCTCAGATACAGAGAACCTGGTTCGGGTACGATTTGCAGGCTAAGAGTTTTTGTAAGTATTCGAAGTTGCTGTGGATTTATAATAATGATTAAGGGATATATACTTCCCCTGAACACGTTACCAGCGCCGTCAATCCAGTAAGCACAATCACCGTAGTGGATAGTATCAGTGTTCGCATAGGTGCATGCAGCGTGCGGAATCGTCCAGCCTTATTACCGTCGGTCCAGTCAAATGGACGGTACGCTAACGGACGGTTACGACCGTCTCCGTAGCGTCGCGCCAAGAACGGTCTCGCCCCGACGGAGCTTGGTTCAGGGGGACGGTGGCAGACGGTAGTTGGATATAATTTTGCTGGTGTACCGAATAATTGATGGTGTTGAGGGGTATCTTAGGGGTAACTCCGCCGCCACCTGCCTAAATAGGTTTAGCGTTAGGGCTAGAGCAACGTTAGACTCAACGTCGGGGTTGTTTGCGTGCCAAGCCAACGGCCGAAGTCATGCCGAACGTCTTCGTGGCTTCAATTTTTACAAATCTTTCTCAACACCACGCCAGTTATAAGGCCTGCACCCCGGCGGTCGCACTGCAGGTTGATTTAGCAAGCCCAGGACCACTTTTTGAAAATTCAACAACCCCGCAGGTCCACCAGCAACCGATTTATAATGGCATTCGTTCGAGAGACTCCGGACAATACGACTGACACCTCCGCGGCTACGTCAATCAGCAGCCTTACGTCTGAACCCTCTAATATCACCGAACTACACCGCCAGAGCGACCTCTCCACGCCTTATACTGGCCGCCTACGTGATACTGACGGCACTATCTTCAACCCGACGGTTGCAGTAGGCTTCAGGATGGTTCAACTTACGCCTTTGGAGCGCCGCAAGCGCAGATCACGCATCTGGGAATATGGCTTCTTAGCAGTTGACTGCTCCAACACCGAATATTGGCTCTGTAAACAGTGCCACACGAGTGGCCGGCACAGGGCATACAAACTTACGACTACAAGCCACTCAGCAAGACATATTCGCGTCCACAACGGCGCTGCCAGCGAGTCTCCACCTGCTGAAGAGCCCTCTCGTCGCATCAACAAGATACGGTATAGGGCGAGGGTCGTTGAATGGACGGTTCTTACGAATCAGTCGTTCCGCGGAGCAACCCACCCGAGCCATCTCGCTGTTATTCAGTCAGCTGCGGAGGATATCAACGTCTCTCCTGCCTGCCGAATGTCGGATAAAACCCTCCGCAAGCTTGTTGTTCAGCTCTTCAAGGACGCACGCTATCACCTGACGCAGCAGCTGCAGCAGGCAGTTAGTGATATCAATATCAGTGCGGACGGGTGGACGTCAACCAACGATTTGCCGCTGCTAGCTGTTCATGCGCACTATATTAACTCTAGGGGCAATTATCAATCGCCTCTGCTTGCCCTGGCATTAGTCGACGGCCCTCACACTGGCTACAACCTTGCGAATGTGCTAGCAGGCGTCTTTAAGCAATACCGAATCACTGATCGATTGGGGTACTTTATCATGGATAATGCCTCTAACAACAATACGACTGTAGCAGAGCTTGCCAAGAGGTACAATTTCAACGCTAAACACGCCCGCCTGCGGTGTGCCGGGCATATAATTAACCTTACTGCTAAGGCTATGTTATTTGGCAAGGATTTGGAGGCCTTCGCGGACATTACACTGCCAGTAGTGCCTACTGCTGAGGATATTGAGGAGGCCTCGAAGCCCGCATCCATGGCAACGCTTGATGAAGAGGATAATTACACTGCTGAGGATACGGAGGAGGAGGTAATTGAGTGGCGCAAGCGAGGCCCTATTGGCAAGTTACACAATATCGTTGTGTATATCAGCTATAGTCCGCAGCGGAGGATGCTGTTTGAGGCTATTCAGAAGACACACGGCGAATCAGAGCCCCTGAGGCTGATACTGAATGGAGGCATTCGGTGGAATAGCACCTACGAGATGATATCTCGTGCTGTTCTCCTCCGCGCGGCTATTGCCGACTACTGCCTTAATACTAAGGACCTTGTGCAGGATATACTTTCAGCTGAGGACTGGCAGGAGCTTGCCGAGCTTCGTGATCTGCTACGCCCCCTGAAGCGTGTAATAGAGACACTCGAAGGCAGGCCTACACAGGGCAAGGACGGTGCCCTATGGGAGGTTCTTGTTTATATGGATCTACTGCTGAAAGGACTTGAGGAGGCGAGAGCGCGTTACGCAGCAAGGCACGATTCAGCACACTTACAAGCATCTGTCAACCTCGCTTGGAAGGTGTTGAATAAGTACTACACGCTTTCAGATGACACGCCTGCGTATAGAGCAGCTGTACTACTCCACCCGAGGCTCCGCTGGGGGTTCTTCCACCGTAAGTGGAAGCTGGAGTGGGTGGAGGCAGCTAAGAAGGCAGTTATGGGGCTGTGGGCCGAGTATAGGGAGCCTGAGCAACCTACGCCGGCGCCAGTACCGCAGGAGACGCAGCAAACTGGACATCACTGGCACGACGAACAGTGGGCAGAGCAGACAGCGGCCTATATCGATGAGGATGAAGCCCCTCTTGACGAGCTGGAGAGATATCTCCATGAACCCCCTCCGCCGCAGAGGCTGCATGATTTGGACGTCCTTCAGTGGTGGGTTACTCGCCAGAAGCAGTATCCTACACTCAGCAGGATGGCACTCGACCTGCTGGCATGCCCGGCCATGTCCAGTGACTGCGAACGAACGTTCTCTACTGCAGGCAGGAGCATGAGCAAGCTCCGTTCACGCCTTTCAGAGGGTACTGCAGAGGCACTTGCGTGCCTGAGCAGCTGGCTGCCCGCTGGGTGGGTGAGGACAGAGGACTGGATGGCAGCAGGACCCGCGGAGGGCCCATGAAGGCCTCAACACCATGCCAAGACATCTACATGGCCGTGGGGGACGTTACTGGGCAGTGAACAACACGATTTGGCCAATAAATAATCAGTAAGTATCCATAGAGTCACACACGACTTATGCGAAGGAACTAACACGGCTAATTTAGGTGGGAAAACGGCCATTTTCTTCTGCTCGCGGAGCTTCGCTGGACGCGCTATTGCGTGCCGAACGACGTGCTAAACGACGTGCGAGCCTGCGGGCGAGCGCTGGGCAGGCGAACGAGCGAATATTTGCGAACGAGCGAGTGAGCGAGCGCGCGCGCGCAGTAGCAGGTCTTCGTAAGCTTATAGTTGAGCCGCCAGAGGCCTGTTTTACACCCTAAATCGACCCTCTGGGGCTGGCGGAGGAGCGTGCGGGGACGCGGGGGTGCGAGGGTGGGCAGTTATTCGTATTTTTTTGTACATATTCGCATATATTCGATCAACACCATGCCAAGCCTCGTGATAACCGTCCGACGGAGCCGGACGACTCACTCCACCGTCTTAATGAACGGCTGGGCCGTACGGACTGTGGGCTATCCGTCCCGTCCACCGTCTGGCGCCGACGGGACGGTTGAACACGCTGGGTGCATGCCTCATGCACGGTGACTATGCAAGAAGATTAGTTCTGAACCTGCTTGAATTTTCGTGTCATCTCATCATTAGTGTAGCCTGCTACTTACTGCCCCTAATGGTGTAGAACCTGTTGTTCGCGGTGCCGTCGGTCCAAGCATTAGTGCCACTCGCAAGGAAAAGGGCAGCGGAGATGATGATGGTAGAGAACTGCATCTTGAAACGAGTTAAGCGGTTCTGTGAGAGAGAGAGACGTCCGAATCTGATGTAATAGCTGGCTGATGATGGAATCAATCTGGAGCGGCGATGGAGTCCTTTAAATACTTTGTTCAGCTCCATTCTAACTCTCAGCTACTATTATTGGCAAAGTGAACCCAGCACAATTTGTCGTCTGTATACCCATGAAACATCATTGGCAAAGTATGTCCATGGGAACTGACGATGCCGTGCCCGTTACGGTAAGGACTAAATCCTACAGCACTATCCTGTTCTCACGTCAGCTGACGACAGGAAATTTGTCCATGCGGGGATTTCTATAAAGGCCTGTTCTACTAACTCCTTGCAGATGATTTTAGTGCAAATATGCTTAGTGCGGATACTGTTCGTGGAGATCCCCCAGCATTTGCCATCTACAGATTTAGGCATTGAACACTAAACCTGAAACTCACTGGCTCACAAAGAAACTAGTATATCTGCATGCTGCAGTGGTAATGAGATGAACGTGCATACAGCCTCGCTAGAGTTCGTGCGCGCCAAGTCATGCATGATCCTGCCTCGATTTGGCAACCGTAGTGCAAGAGGCTGGGGGTCACATTCTTCGCCACGCCATGCGTTCTGAGAACAAAAAATCGAGTCCTTTCTGCAGCATCATATGAAGAACACGGGTGTCTGTATGGATGCATTAGCCTTCGCTGCTGAGAAGCTCAGGACCAACCGCAAAGCCCACGGTCACAAAAAGCAAAAAAAAAGTAACAAAAAGCAGCAACGGCAACACCGTAAGCGCCGGAGCACGAACCACCGTAGCGCCACAGCGGAGCTGAACGCCCCTGGCGACTGGACGACCGTACAACGGAAAGCCAGGTCCACACTGAAAAAGACATAGTCCAAAGTAGCAGAGGAAGCTAAGCGAAGTCAAGACGGCCGAGGTTTCATCCGTCTTCCTCTCGCAACAACACCAACACCCTTGGCACGAACTCACGTCAGATCAGCAGATGCTGAAGTGGACCTACTGGAAATCCCCGGCGGAAGAAAACCTGATTGTTCAAGCATCCACAACGGCTTCGCAGTTAGGCCGGCAAAGGAAGGAATAAAGACATGACTACTCACGCTTTGACCCTTTCTGAGCTGACGGAGCAATAATCGAGCCGGTGGAGGAATGACACTAGTATGTGGTGGGACCGTGGGAGAAATTCTGAGGAACTTCGAACATACTGCGGACTCGGACTCTGAGACATCATAGAATCCATCCCATAAGAAGCTAGAGTTGTAGTTGGAAGCCCGCCTGTGTCCCGCAGTCCCTTGCATATAAATCGAACAAGGAAGGTGCTAAGATATAAGTAGCCTTGCTCTATGCGTTGGTTCGGACCGGCCTCCGCATTCTTGGGTCAAAACCGGCACAGGCCATCTAAATTCTAGAATACAATGTAGAAATTTGAGATGCGCTATGAACGTGCATATAAAAAGCAGCACCATAAAAAAGGTAAGATTACGCTCGCTTTCTCGTTAAAAGATTCCTCCCTTATCGCAGTCAAATTTCGGTGGGCCCATTACCGCGTCCGCAAGCTTACTGAAAATGCCTCCGCAATGATAATAGATAAATTTCAAATAACGAGAAGCTCGGCCTCCGGCGTTATCGCCCAAAATGACAAAATCGTGAGGTAATATCAAATCCATTGCGTCGATGAAGTGGTTTTCAGGAGCAAAGATGTTTGTGGACCTGAAGTAGTCGAGCTCGGGGAGATTGAACTTGTGGGAAGATTTGTATTATAGTAATTTGGGGATCGCCATCTGGCTGGTCGGATTTGTTAATTTCCATAAAGATATGGATCTTGTCGTTTTCTAGGTTTGCGACGTCCCGTGCAGCCTACACTCGTATAAGAATTTAAACATTTATCGATCCTGGTAGCCTGGTAGATGAACAGGCCATAACAACTATTTTTGTTAACATCGGTTGAGTAAACCCTCCAGGTCAAATCTCTCAACATAAAAGTCGAGAGGGACGAGAAACCCAGTGGGTGGGTTGTATCGCTCCTGTGAAACCGATAATCTGAGTGTAGGGTCCGCAATGGGATATTGTATGGTGTCCAAGTCGATGGGTGCTATTTTGAGAGGCAACTTTGTCCTGGTCTTGCGATAATAATCTTCGATGTTTACTTAAGTTATAAGGCAGTGACTTAACTATGGCATCGCCAGAGATGTATAGTATAGCCCAAACTTCTGATATTACGTAGCCCGTGAAACATGATATTCTCTAGCTTCCGAAGTTCCATGTGACATTAAAGTAGGGACTTAACCCCGCAATCTTTGGGTAGGACCCTAAAGATATAAACTATAATAGAAAGTAAGTTCGATAAGAAGTCTCTTAAACTTCACATCGAATTAAACATGGTTTTGCCCGTTATATAATCGCAGCTTAGTGTATATATTACCTATTAAGTGCGGAGGATGACTAACGAAGTCAGAAATAGTATCTAAGCTTCTAGAGGAAGTCTATACTTCCTAAGATGACAAGTCCCTCATCGAATTACTGGAGGCGCTAGCGGCCATCAAGGCTCCCGAGTAGGCAAAAGAGCATGGCTACGACTTGAACCAGGCCAATTGGAGAGCATTCAAGCAGATGCAAACAGGGCTAGATCTTGACTTAAGGCTTAAGGGGGGAGTGTATAGGTTCCAATAAAACGAGATGGGACTGTTGGAAATATTGATCAATTCGGGCAAGAAAACAGTACACAGTGAATTACTGGAGAAAGACTAGACTAAAAACTAACGATGGCAGTGGATGGTGTATTAGCAGACCTGGTAGTGGTCGATCATGGACAAGTCAGCTTTGCAACCAGAGAGTAGAAGTTTCAAATTCGATTCGAGTGCGCACAAATAGTAGGCGAAGGAAAGTCCCACCCAATGTTCGAAGGCAAAGTTTGGGGATCCGAACAGTCAACCAGCAAAAACTCTATCGAAGGGCTCAAATACTACCCGTGGGGAGACGCGGGTGACACCAAATACAACAGGGACATGGACGAAGTGGCACCGTCATGGCCAGGCGCGTCAAAGAGAAAATGATGGCCGCTGGAAAGCTCGGGATCAAGCAGCCGAGCAGTCTCTGGCAGTATGCCTGGATTTCGTGACTGGGATATATCCAAAGGGAGCTAACCTGCAACTGACAGACTGGGGCAACGTGCTTATGGCCGGGTTCCATGTTATGGCCAGCGCTCTCGGTGCAGCCTTCGGAGCATTTCTCAGACAGGACAACCAAGGAACCGGAGCAGCAATCGGTTCGGTCGGGGGAACACTTGTAGGGCTGATGACGGCAGGATTCAAAGACAGATTTGTCACCAAGCAAACGCGGGACATAAAGTCCTTCATCCGGCAATATCCGCTGGACATGATAAATATTCAAAAACTGGCGACAAAACATGTCAAAAGAGTAGAAGACAGAGACTTGAATGATGATAAAGGTAATGTGGACATAGTCCGCAACAAATTGGAGGGTCAGTACGTGAGAGAAATAAGGGGACAGCTGTTAGGGCCGCTTTCTACTCGGTTCCGAACTTTTCGCAATTTGTTCAAGAACAGATTTTTCACAGCGTATGGGGACTTAACCAGGAAGAAATTCGAGGACATACCACAGCAGGCGGTTGAAAGGTTGATATTAGACTGTCTGGGGAAAAGAAAAGGCAGAGAAAGATCTTCCAGGTCTAAAAGAGAGGATTTTGAAGAAACAGGAACAGCTGGAAACAACCAAAAAGAGCCGAGATGAGGAGATTAGGCGGGCTGAGAAACTACCTGATAAGGAGAAAGAGGAAAAGGAAAAGGAGATACGGAAGAGGTATGACAACGACATCGAAGAGCAGGAGGGGAAGCTCAAGGAAGACGAGGAGAAACACAGGAAATAGGATGAGAGAGAATTTGACAAAAATATTAAAGAAAGAGCGGAAAGGATCCAAAAGGATGCGATTGAAAGGGCGAGGATAGCAAGATCGGCCGAGCGAAGGAGATATTTAGGTGGAGGTGTAAGTGAATGGCTGTTACAAGGCCGTATATGAACTTTTCAATGGAATATCATTACAAAACAGACTATTTCCCGCGCACAATCCTGCATAGGCAATCTTTTAGATGCATTGCACCCTTTTTCGTGGAAGCCAGACAATTTCGCTTCCCTATCTCTCAAGAGCGACAAGCCGCAAAATCAAAAGTTTGCAAGCCGTTCTCTGGTCATTAAACCATATCCTTGGGCATCCCAACCAAACCCCGTCGGCCAAGCTGAGGTATTCAAACCAGCGCAAACAACTTCCCGGGCCCGACGGGCTTTGTGGCTTTTCAAATATTTACTCATTGCCCAGCAACAATGAGCAGGAAGTTCCAAATTAGCACAACATGCGCATGTATTGCGCATCACCGCACCACAGCACTAAATCCCATCGTAGATCTGGTATCCCACATCCACCCATTCGTTCTCCTGCAGCACATGCGTCATGTAATATGGGTCCTCATGCAGCGGGGAACTCGAGTTTGCCGGCCGCTGCGGAAAGGCGCGCGCCATGCGGTCCCAGAACGTGACGTTCTTGAACAAGGCCTCACCGCCCGTGGAGACGAGTGCCGCGCCGAGCGCGTCAGTACGCGAGGGGTAGATGCGCGACGTCAGGGACAGACGGTCGTTGATGAAGATCTCGAGTAGGGAGCCGTCGACGAAGATGTTGAAGGTGAGCGGCTCGGGCTTGGCTGCGCTGCCGTTGCTGGAGGCCAAGACGTACGGCTCGTAGTATCCGTTGAAGGCCGTACGGTTGAAGTGCGGGATCAGGGTCGAGTGGTCGCGGTTCAGAGTGAGCGTGTAGTTGGACGGCGTATAGTAGATCTCAGTGTACCTGACCCGGCTGTTAGCATAGCATCCACCCATGAGAACTCCCCAAGTAGAGGGGAGAATAGCTTGAACTTACTCCTCCTGATCCGGCGACGCGCGCACCTTGACACCAACTTGGCCGTTCTCAGGCCATTTCTCAAGCGTCGCTTGCAGGTGGTAAGTGTCGCTCTGCAGGCCATTGAGCTTGGTCTCTCCATCGACGGTAACATCGCCAAGGTGCGACGACTTGTTGCCTTGCAGGCCAGCAACCACATCCGGCAAAGGCCTTTGCGCCAAAGTAGTGACGGTATAGGTCTTTCCGTTCGCATCCTTTTGCCAAATTTCACCGCTTTCTTCCGGGGCACCACCGGCGGGGGCGACGACATTGTGGGTCTTCTGAATATACAGTTCGCGGGGAAGAGTCAAGGATCCCTGGTATCCATTTGCTTGGAGACCATACTTCGCAAAGTCCTCGTCAGACCAGCCCCAGGCGATACGCCTCTTGCCCTTGGGGTCCCAGAAAGTGTTTACAGCATAGCTGTTGCCCCAATCGGTAGGAGCAGACGCACGAATCGTAAACTCAGCACTGCCGTTGTCCCTCCTGGAAACCGTACCAAGAGCGAAAAGGGACCAGTGCGTAAGAGGGTGACCAAAGCTTTCGAATCCTTCTGCTCCAAAGTTGTAGACCCAGTGCTTGGTCTTGCCGTCTCCGCCGTTCTCTTCCTTCTCGACGAGAGGGTAGAGGGTGGCCATCTCAAAATTTCCACCAAAGTTGCCAGTGCGATTCCTGTCTCCGCCCCATGTGTAGTTGATGGGCACCTCGAAGAGCGAGCCGTGGAAAGTCCAGTCGGTGATGTTGTTTGCCGGAGCAGTCCAGTGAGGGGCACGCGGGCCAACCTCACGGATACCGCTGCCGATTGTGATGTAGAAAGTGCTGGGGTCCAGACCAAGAATCTCACTCAATTCAGGAATGGGTGCGAAGTTGGGATCCCGAAGGCCAGTCACGTTCCAGCCGCCTGGTGCTCCGTCCAGGATGGGGTTTCCTTCCCATTTCTGCCAGGTGAGACCGCCGTCACTACTGGTAGCCGCATTCTGTGTCTCTGTGCGAGGCTTGTAAGGGTCCTGCCAGAAATCGGGCTGTGACCTCGAACCGGTGTAGAAGAGGGTCAGGTTGCCGTCAGCCTCGCCGTGGAGATTTGTGGCGTAGGAGCCTCCGGAGAAATCGCCGAGCCAATCGTATCCGAATGCCGGGCCGGGCTCGATCGCTACCATGCCACGGTTGCGCCAATCCTTCACGTCCGTCCAGGTGACTAGGTCCTTCGACTTTGCATGGCACCACGTCGTCTGGATTAAAACGTGGTCAGCTTTTTGTGCATGAAAAATTGGCTACGGGCGCTTAAAAGACGCTAAAACCGCATGCTAAGACCTTAAGGTTTACACACATTACCAAAACCAACGTGGTTGGGGAAAGCTTGATAGAATATATGATATTCGTCCCGCAGCGGATCGTACATGGGCCCGCATGGGTCATTCATATGGCCGGCAGGAGCGGCGACGTGGTACGACGGACGCCATCTGGTAAACAGCGAGTTGTGATCCAGGGCGCTCAGGTTGAGTGACGGAGGAATGTGTTGATCAGCTGGGAAAGCTGCGTATGAGACGGATGCCAGGGCCAAAAGAGCGCCCCAGGTGGGCGAAGCGGTGGACAGAACCATTCTGGCGGGCGATGAAGAGCTCCAAAAATCTTTTTGCCCTGCTCGATCGACTTTTATATCCCTTTACTACGGAAGTTCTGATTTCGTGCTTAGGCCCGGGACATATAGAGATCGCCCGTATCATGACGTATGGGGTAACTGTAACGGGCCCGACAACGAGATGGCCATGGATCTGCCATGCTGGACAGCCCGCCGAGCCGCACCACCGGCACCATGTGGGTATGCCATGCTGCTGGCAATACCACGTATAAGGCGCCCGAATATGATCGACACGTATGTTCGCGTGGGCGTGAAGAAGTCGAGACGAGACGTGAAGAAAACCAGACAGAGATGTCAATGCCCTCTCTCAGCCCCCGCTGCCACAAGCCAAGGGCGGGAATGAGCCAGGACGGTGTTTACGCGGTACCTCAACAAGGCGATCGGCAGGGGAATTGCAAGGCTGAGGAAGGTGAAGCGACGCGCGACTTCGGGCAGCCTTGCAACGCTCGGCAGGCGGCGAACACGGGCCGGCATGGGGTAGGTTCCCATGACCGGCGCCCCGGAACTCGTCAATGGCGTTGGAGGCATGTCCGTTTCTGGTACAAGAGTCAGTCGACTGTGCCTCATGCGGTGACGCGGCTGGTGTGGTCGGACGAGGTCGTGCATTTTTCCAATAATATCGCCGTCTTGTCCTCCAGCCCTGTCCTGAGGTCTCTCGACGTCGGGAAATCCTCGCCCAATCGTCTGCCGGCGTCGGCCCGCGGGGAAACGCCGGCGAAACCGCGCAGGGCGGAGAGCGAAGGTCCGTCACACAACTGGGATGGCCAACTCTCCACCCGCCATGATACACATCACGCAATTCCAATTGGCTCCAAACCCATGGTCGCAATCCACCGAAGCTCCTCGGAGCGCCCGGCGTCCTGTCTCTCTGCACGACCGCCAGCATGTCACAGCTGGCCATAAAAACATGGCGGGGCACGGTCTCGAGTGCCTTTCATCCTCCCCCACTATCCAATTCTTTCACTGCTGAGCTTCCAATATGGCGCCCATCGACGTAGAGACTGTCCTCTCGCAGCTGGAGCTCGAGGAAAAGGTGGGCCTGTTGTCTGGTACGTCTATCCCACGCCTCTCCGCGACCTTGACCTAACAGCTGTCCAGGCATCGACTTCTGGCACACGAAGCCCATCCCCCGTCTTGGAATACCCTCGATTCGGACCTCAGATGGCCCCAATGGCGTCCGAGGCACCAAATTCTTCAACGGAGTCCCCGCAGCCTGTTTCCCTTGCGGCACCGGCCTCGCTGCCACGTGGGATGTCGACCTTATCCGCAACGGCGGTGAGTTGATGGGAAAGGAAGCCATTGCCAAGGGCGCACATGTGATACTTGGCCCAACCGTCAACATGCAGCGCTCTCCCCTCGGCGGACGTGGCTTTGAGAGCTTCAGCGAGGACCCGTGTCTTGCAGGATACATGAGCGCCGCTACCGTAAACGGTATCCAGTCGACTGGTGTTGCCGCAACGATCAAGCATTTTGTGGGTAACGACCAGGAGCATCAGCGGCAGGCCGTTGATTCGATTATCTCCGAGCGGGCCTTGCGAGAGATTTACCTCCTTCCGTTCCAGATTGCGCAGCGGGATGCCAAACCAATGGCGTACATGACGGCGTACAACCGAGTTAACGGAACCCACATGAGCGACAACCACAAGATCCTCCAAGGAATCCTCCGGGACGAATGGGGCTTTGATGGCCTGGTGATGAGCGACTGGTTCGGCACGTACACCGCCGTGGAATCCGTGAACGCTGGCCTAGATTTGGAGATGCCTGGCCCTCCGCGCGTCAGAGGACAGCAAACGCAGATTGCTTTGGGAGTCCAGAAGCTCTCTGAATTTACGATTGATGACCGTGTTCGCAAGCTTTTGGAGTTGATCAACAAGGTTGACAAGCTCAACATCCCGGAGAACGCCCCTGAAAAGTCTGTTGACTGCAAGGACACATCGGAACGGCTGAGACATGTCGGCTCGTCTGGCCTAGTCTTGATGAAGAACGAGAACAAAGTTCTTCCGCTCTCAAAAGAGAAATCGGTATGGTAAACCGACAACCATAGCGGATATTGATGTTAACATGATGCAGCTGGCAGTCATTGGGCCCAATGCGAAGATTGCCTCCTACTCGGGCGGTGGTTCCGCAAACCTTCGTCCGTACTATGCCGTAACCCCCTTCGACGGCATATCCGCGCAGGCGCCGGATGCCAAGTACAGCCTTGGTGCTGTCGGTTACAGAAGGCTGCCCGTTCTAAGCTACCTTACCAAGACCGGAGAGGGCAAACGCGGCCTGACCGCCAAGTTCTACAAGGACCCGCCGACCTCGTCCGCCCGGAAGCCGGTCGACTCGGTGCACGTTGAAGATTCAGACATTCTCCTTTCCGATTACTCTAATCCTGAGATTCGTGAGATTACCTTCTGGATGGACCTAGAGGGGCAGCTCACGCCGGAAGAGGATGGAGAGTATTTGTTCGGCCTCACCGTGTGCGGCACAGCCAAGCTCTTCATTGACGGGAAGCTTGTCATTGACAACACCGAGAACCAGAAGCCGGGCGATTCTTTCTTCGGCTCGGGTACAGTCGAGGAGATAGGCTCTGCAGTGTTGAAGGCCGGCCAAACTTATGATGTCTATGTCCAGTTTGGCTCCAGCGCGACATCCAAAATGAAGACACCGGGCGCCACTGTCATGGCTGGCGGCGGTGTCAGGGTTGGAGGCACTAAGAAGACCGAGCCCGAAGCCGAGATAGAAAAGGCGGTGCAGCTTGCCAAGGAGGTTGACCAAGTCGTTATTTGTGCGGGTCTCAACGTGAGTATAACCTTGCCGCTCTCCACGGACACCAACTAACAGATGTAGGCCGACTGGGAATCGGAAGGCTACGATCGAACTCACATGGACCTTCCCGGCCGCACGGATGCGCTCATATCGGCTGTTGTTGCTGCCAACCCTAACACGGTCGTTGTCATGCAGTCGGGCACTCCAGTTACGATGCCGTGGATCAAGGAGGTTCCTGCTCTGGTCCACGCGTGGTATGGCGGCAACGAAACCGGCAATGCCATCGCAGACGTTCTCTTTGGCAAGGTGAATCCGTCTGGGAAGCTGCCGTTATCGTTCCCGATTCGCAACGAGGACAACCCTGCTTTCCTGAACTACCGGTCCGAGCGCGGCCGCACTCTGTACGGCGAAGATGTTTACGTCGGCTACAGGTTCTACGAAAAGACGAAGCGGGACGTTTTGTTCCCGTTCGGACACGGCTTGTCCTACACATCTTTCGAGCTGCGCAATCTGCAGGTCACGGATGACGCAGCGAGCGGAAATGTGAAGCTCGCAGTGGAGGTCCAGAACACTGGCGCAGTTGAGGGAGCGGAAGTTGTACAGGTATACGTCAGCCAGCAGGCGCCGTCCATCAACCGTCCGCCAAAGGAGCTGAAGGGCTTCAACAAAGTGTTCCTCAAGCCGGGCGAGTCGAAGACGGTGTCGGTCGAGGTGCCGAAGAAGTACGCGGCCAGCTTCTGGGACGAGCAGAGGGACATGTGGATCATGGAAGAGGACAAGTACGACGTCCTGGTCGGTGCCAGCAGCGCTAGCACCCCCTTGAAGGGCACTTTCTCGGTAGAGAAGACCAAGTGGTGGAAGGGGCTCTAAATGAGCCGATCAACGGATGCCATGACTGGTCACGGCACATGAGGCTCGCTATTCCACACTGGCACATTTTTCACGTACGTCAAGTTACGGTCATGAGTTTATCATCAAAATGCAAACGCTTTATTATCATTAAAGAGTACACACTACATTACAAGACGAGTTCCCTCATCTTGGCAAAATCAGGCTCACCGAGGCCGGTGGCCGCATCCCAACCAGGCAGACTGTCCCAACCAGCCTCGAACCACGACGAGTTGGAGCAACCGCTGGTGAAGCCGTCAGTCACGTCTCTGAAGACCTTGGCGGAGCCCTCGGCATAGAGCAGGGGGTTGAGGAAGCCCAGGACGGGCTTGCCGGCACGCAGGCGCAGGTCGTTGAGCAGAGTGATCATGGCGGCGAAGAGGGGCGCCGAGGCCGAGGTGCCCTTTTGCACGAGCTCGTAGCCGTTGGCGACGATGAGGAAGTCGTCGCCCTGGAGCGCAACGTCGGGAATGCCGCGGCCGGTCTTGTTGTAGTAGCCGTCGTGGGCGCCCTTGAGCGCGTCGATGGAGGCCTTGACCGCCGCCTCCTGCCACGCCGGCACGGCGAAGTAGTTGGAATATCCGCCGCCGGAGTACGAGGCGGCGCCGCCGCTGAGCCGCAGCGCGCCCACGGACGTGACCCACGGGCAGCTGGCCGGGAATGTGGGGATCAGACGGGCGTGGCCGTCAGGGCCCTGGCACTCGGTGTTCTGGGTGCCGGCGGCTCCACCGTCGCCCGAGGCGTTGATGACGGAGACGCCGCGCGCGGCCAGGCGGCCGAACAGGTCGCAGACTTTTTGCGCGTAGGCCTTGGGCACGGATTGCTCGTCGTCGGTGTACGAGATGGAGACGACTTGCGGCGGGTCCTCCTTGGCCAGCAGGTACTCGAGGAACTCGAGGTAGGGCTCGTTGCCGCTCTCCGAGGCGGGGATGATGTTGTTGCCCGGCTGGGACTGGGCTTCCGGGCGGCCGCCGGTCGAAATGTACGTCACCTCTAGCGGGCCGGTGAAGGGGACGGTGTAGTCGATGTCGAGCATGGCCTCGATGCCGGCCTTGGCCGAGGTGTTGGGGTTCTCGCCGCCGTTGACCAGCTCGACCTTGAAGTCGGGGACGGTGGTGTTGGCCGTGTCGCCATGGGCCTCGAGGAAGGTGTGCAGGTCGTCGAGCGAGGGCCACTCCTCGAGGAAGCCGGCGACGGCCAGGCGGCTGCCGGACTTTGCGTCGGGCGGCGTGTGGGTGATGTGGTATTTTGCCTTGAGGCCGGCGGGGCAGTTGTCGTAGTCGCACGAGGGCGGCTTGGGCATCGAGTGCTGGCGCCTCTGCAGCTGCTGCGGCGTCGTCTCGACGCGCACATTGCCGCCGACAAAGTGCGTGGCGGGGAAGAGGAAGTCGATGTCGTCGGCGAGGGCCTTTGGCACGCTGTACGCCTTTGTGCGCAGCACCGCCTTGCCCTGCTGGAAGCGGTAGCGCGCGTAGTCGGCGTGGAACAGGTCGCGCGCTTGGCCCACGGTCGTGTCGAACTTGACCCATTCGCCCTCGACCGACACGTGCGCCACGCCCTGGGCCTTGAGCCACGCCGTCACGGCCGCCGCGGCGCCCTTGACGTCCGGCAGCGCCGCCTGCAACTGTGAGGCGCTGAGGTGCTTGCCGTAGCTGGGCGACGACGGGTCGCTGACGTCGTGGGCTATCTGCAGGTAGTCCTGGTGCGGCTGGCGCAGGGCAATGCGCAGGTTCAGGCGCTCGCTGTCCTGGGCCGGGGCGGCGAGGCTCCAGCCCGCGGGCAGCTTGGCCGTCGTCTCGTGCTCGACCAGCTGTCCGTGTTTGGTGGTGGTGGGCAGGCTCAGCGCGTTGGTGTTTTGCGCCAGCGCCGCCAGCGCGACGTGCACAATGTCTCGGACGCGCACCATGGTTGTGATGTGAGGGAGGGAAGCGCGGTTGATCGAGCAGATGGCGCAATTACGGGTGAGTGACAGTCGATGCAGTAGGAGCATCTTATTTATGGTGACCGCCCTGCCTATATACCTACCTACTCCCGTCGCCTCCTATCTATCTAACGGCCGAGGCACCGCACCACGCGCTCGTATGTTGCCTTGGAAGCAAAAAAACCCGCTTCTAAAAACCGTCAATGGCTCGCGTGTAGGTACACACACAAGGCTGGCCACTGACGGCGCAGCCAGATATTAATGCACGGAGCCCATGTCGGTGCAGGGCTGTTTCATGGCCCGGTCGCCCGGACCTTTGCTCGTATTTTGGCCTCGTGTTCGGCCGCCGGCCTATCCGCTAGCCTGGAAAGGCAACTCGTGCCTATACTGGCTGCTTCCCGCTTCATGTCGTATGCAGATGGTCGTATACGCGCGAGGAAGGTGGTTTTGCTCGCCATCGTCGGGTTTGCTGCCGCCACAGTAGGTAGTTATATCGTGCGCCGAAAGGCCTGGCTTCACACCTACCTACAGCTCTCACGGCTAGCTATTCGCTGGAACCATGCTCGCCTGGCTCTTGCTTCCGGGCCTCACGGCCGCCGCTTCGCTGCCCATGCTGCCGCTGAACTACAAGTACGGCGGGTACCCGAAGATATCTGCCGACATCAAGCTGGGCGAGCCGGCTCAGCATGTCATTGAGACGGTGGTCGACCTTGGGAGCGCGGATTTCTGGGTACGTCTAATTGTTTAATGGATGCATGTATGCGGGACTGACGAGAGATAGGTCTACGGCCCCAATGCCACCATCTTCTACGGGAGCCCGTACCTGGGAGTAGAGGGCCCTTGCAACGTCACGGCAGAGCCCTACTTCAACTACCCCGAATCCTCCACCGCCTCCGCGCCCGACAACAATTCACGAAGCTACTGTACGGACCCCCCCCCCCCCCCCCCCCCCCCCCCCCCCGTCCCTTGTCCTCAATTGCTAGCACTAACCCCACCGCAGCCTACGGCGGCCACTCCAAAATAGTCTCCGCCTACTACTCCATCAACGACACCCTCTCCTTCGCCACCGCCTCCTACCCCTCCCTCCCCAACACGCGCGTCGAGCTCTCCAACAAGACGCTCCTCCGCCAGCGCGCCGACGTCTGCACCGGCATCGAGTACGAAAAGGCCATCCTCGGCCTCGCCGCCTACTCGGCCAGCACCGGCGGGCCCAACCTGCGCCGCGACCTCGTCGACTCCGGCCGCGTGCCCTCTTCCGCCCTGAGTCTCTGGTTCGACGCTCCGCCCGCCGACGTCAAGAGCACGTACCGCGGCAGCGCGCTGTTCGGCGGCGTGCCCAAGGACAAGTACGCCGGTCCGCTCGTTAGCGTGCAGACCAGCGCGTCGCAAAATGACGGCTTGTACTATCTCGCGGCGCCGACATTCACAGTCACGCCCCCGAACGGCACGGCGAAGAAAGAGCTCCCCTACGACAAAGCCGCCACGCAAGCCTGCCTCGTCGATTCGGGCACCGGCACCGAAAACCTCCCCTTCGAGGCCGCCGCGCTGTACGCCGCGCTGGGCCTGATCGAGTTCCAGGGCCGGCCCGCCTTCAACGCGCCCTGCGCGGCTATCCCCGCAAACCTGACACTCGACTACGCCTTCCCGGCCGCGAGCAACGGCAACAAAACCGTCACGGTCCGCGTCCCGCTCCGCAGCTACGCGCGCGGCATCTCGGACGCGTTTAGCGACGGCTCGGTCTGTGGCTTGAGCTTTACGCTCGGCAGCGTCGGCAGCTGCGTCCTCGGCGCGCCGTTTTTCACTGCCGCGTTTCTGGCACTCAGTGATGAAGGGGAGGGGGGGAAGACGGAGGTCGCGCTCGCGCAGGGAGGCGTTTCGAATGGGGCGGAGGAGGGTGCGGTCGGGGAGGTGGTGGTTGTTGGGAGGGGAGAGGGTCTGCCGGTGGATTTCTAGGGGGTGTTTGATGCTTGATGATGTTTATGGACGTTTGGATCACGCTGTTACAAAGCAGTTGCCAAGTACGAAGTACGGGAGCACAGTGGCAGTAGATTTAGAGATTGCTTCCAGGATTTGGGTCAACGACGTGCTCGGGCGATCTTCGCCATGCAGCGACCCGGATCAGCACGGAAAGCTTCTCAAGACTTTTGTTACTCCGTACACGTCTTCAAGACCACACAACGCTGCAAGTGGATGACGAAAACAAAACACATACCAAGCTTTATTTGTGCAGTTTCCGGTCTAACTTGGATTTGTCACTCAATCTCTCGCTGAATAAGACATAGGTTCGGCAGATCACTAAGCAAGCTCATTCAGGCAACGCTTCCTACCCTAAGCTTATCTTCCAGCGGATAGCTAGCCTTTCTCGGAGAAGCTATAAGATGCAACCGCATCGGAGTAGAGTCCGACCTTAGTTCTTTATACAAAAGACTTCAGCGGATAAAACGCTCGAATAAGACCCCGCAGTCACGATCCGCTCGACACGTTTTGCGTGCTCCAACCTCGAACCTCGGCACATGGTGGTTTCGTCCGTAGACAACAAAAAGACCCGCTTTATCTCCTTTTTTCTCGCTTAGTCACGCAGCTTTCCTCCGATAGCCCCGTCCGGATGAACAATCACTTATCACCCCAGATCTGCCCGATTGGAAGATCGTGGAATATAAAAGCCTTGTATATAACTAAAGTCTGTTTGCCTCAATCAATCGCTAATTTCCAGTTAACTTTGAAGAAAATAACCCAGCTTTACACTGCCGTTTTAACATACGCAACACGCAGTACCGCCATCTATTCAGCAAAAGATACCCCCCCTTTTATTCCTCGGCGAGTAGACAATACCAAAAAATGGAAAACACCAAGCTCTTCACGCCCATCACCGTTGGCGCCACCCCGCTCGGCCACCGCGTCGCCATGGCGCCGCTGACCCGCTTCCGGGCCACCGACGCCCACGTCCCTACGGACCTGATGGTGCAGTACTACGCGCAGCGGGCGGCGGTGCCGGGCACGCTGCTGATCGCCGAGGCTACGGACATTTCGCCGCGGTCGGGCGGCTACGCCAACACGCCGGGCATCTGGACCGACGAGCAGTGCGCCGCGTGGAAGAAGGTCACCGACGCCGTCCACGCCCAGGGCAGCAAGATCTGGGTCCAGCTCTGGGCCTTGGGCCGCACCGCCTACTCGGAGCCCGGCGTCAAGCTCGCCCCCAAGGATGACGCTTTCGACCTCGAGAAGAACTATGTCAGCTCCAGCGCTACCCCTATGATGCCTGGCTACCCGGCCCCCAGGGCTCTTTCCGAAGACGATATCTGGACCTTTGTGAACGACTTCAAGAACGCCGCGAAGAATGCGGTCGAGAAGGCTGGCTTCGATGGCGTCGAGCTGCACGGCGCCCACGGCTACCTCATCGACCAGTTCACCCAAGACACGGCCAACAAGCGCACCGACGCGTGGGGCGGCAGCGTCGAGAACCGCGCCCGCTTCGCCATCGAGTGCTGCAAGGCCGTGGCGCAGGCCGTCGGCCCCGAGCGCACCTGCATCCGCCTGAGCCCGTGGAACACGGTGCAGGGCATGCGCATGGCCGACCCGATCCCCCAGTTCACCTACCTGATCAAGGAGCTGAGCGCCCTCAAGCTGGCCGCCCTCCACCTCGTCGAGCCCCGCGTCCACGGCGTCTTCGACAAGGACCCCAAGGGCGAGACGCTGCAGTTTGCCCTCGAGGCCTGGGGCAAGGACCGCCCGCTGTTCATCGCCGGTGGCTTCACGCCCGAGCTGGCTAAGCAGGCCGTCGAGTCCACGTACAAGGACTACGACGTCGTCGTCATCTTCGGCCGCAGGTTCATCTCCACCCCTGACCTCGTCTACCGCGTCAAGAAGGGCCTCGAGTGGAACGAGTACGACAGGTCCTCCTTCTACATCTACCAGAAGGAGGGCGGCGACTGCGCAAAGGGCTACGTCGACTACCCCTTCTCCAAGGAGTACATTAGCGAGTTTGGCAAGCCGGCCGGCACCGACTCGCCCATGCTGGATTCCGCGCCCAAGGGCAAGATCTGATCTGCTTCGACAGATGTTTTGTTTTTTTGATGTTAGAACGCGTCGTTTGGAATGGCTTTGGATGAGTGTACGGATTCCCCCGGTCTGTTGTAAGGCCTTGATCAATTGTTTTTAAAGAGAGTTGTAGAAAAGAAGAAACGTTTGACTTTTTTTTTTTTTTTGAGCTTGAGTTTTCGCTCGTGAATTTTTGGATATTGCAGGATGAAGTGCGCAGAGAAAGAGGGAAGAAAAAGAGAAAGATGTGAGCAAAGGAGACCTCCTCACCCGCGAACGTCGTTGAATGCCCCGCACTAAGCCTCTTTTACTCTCACCCCGCATCATACTCCCCTTAATATTCGGATCTAGTCACGGTTCAACTCTCATCGTCCCATCACCCAAATCCGAAGTTCACACCGTCGAGCGAAGCCGGCCAATCAAGGCGGGTGCGCGCTGCATTTGATCGCGGTGTGGCTTGAGGATGTCCTGCGAACCCGTTATTCTCTGCTTCAATGCTCATCGCGATCAGGCATGAGGATAATGCGAAGATGGCTTGGCTGCCACAAGCGGTAAAAGATCCAGTCCATGCATGGGGCTCCATTCCTTCTACTATGTACTCGAGCAGGTTTGCTATCTTCCACCATTCAGGGCACATAACGTAGCGATGAGTGCGAAGCACCTTGCAACGAGAATCAATCGATCTCCGACCCGGCCCGACGTACCAACTGCCCACCCATCCATCCATCCTATCAAATACCTACCGTGCAAACAAATCTCACAAACCACCAACAATGGCGTGTTCTAGTTCGTATTTCGTCGCTGTGGCTTGCCTCGTCTGTGCATTTAAGGTGGGAGCAAGTGAAACAACCCGCCAGCACCGACCGCGCCGCCTTCCGGAGTGGTAGAGATGAGCGCGCGCTTGCGGTAAAGTCATCTCCTAAAGGAGCCGAAACGCCCTCAGAGGGCAAGACCGTGCGCTCGCTACTATCAAATACGAACTGGACACCTGGGCAATCAATGGAAACATTGTCTCAGCCCTATCGATCGCGGAACTCGGGCAGCAGGACGACAATACTCCGGCATCCCGGACGGACTGGATTTCCTTCAGTTAGAATGCAAGGTCGGGCCGGGCGGCCGTCGTCACGCCGGAGTTTGTCTGCGCGTATAGGCGAAAGGGGCGGCGGGGTCAGCCGAGGGCCTTAATTTATTCAAACTGCCAAGAGACAGCCAAGACGGCCAAGAAACGGCTTTAAACAAACGGCAATCAACCTCTTACAGCGGGCACGGCTATCGAAACATGGAGGCCTCTCCAATCAGGCGTCCTAGATTTACGCCCGAACCCCCTAAGCACGGCAGAGCATCCAGAGTACCCGTAGGCCTACAACATTTATAAAAGAGCCTCCTATCGATCGCTACTACCACTTCTTCTCCGCATCCACCATTCATTCACCCTTCCATTCCTTCTTACTTCTTCTCCATCATCAATCAAGATGCACGCTTCGGTCGTGATTCCTCTCGCTTCTCTTCTTGGCCTCATGGCCCCGGCTGCGCTGGCGCACCCCCTCGAGGCCCGCGCCGACGATGCGTGGAACCCTCCCTCGGAGCTGGTCACGCCGCTCAAGCAGACCTGGGACTGGGAGATGAAGTCGTACAGCGACCCGCTCGGCTTCAAGAACTACGGCTTCGACCAGGTCTTCGCCACCGACGGCAAGATCAACTACTGCGTCCGCTGGGAGTCGGACAAGACCATCTCGGCTGACGACCGCACCAACATCGAGACGGCCCTCCGCCGCAGCATGAACAAGTGGATCGCCAAGCTCAAGGGCTGGAACGGCTGGCCCTACGACACCCTCGACATCAACGTCGTCGGCTACGCTGTCAAGGACAAGAGCCTGCTCCAGGGTGACACCTCGGGTCTGCAGATCTACACCGACACCGACACCGACGGCATCCCCCAGTGCTCCGAGGACTGCGGCCGCTTCTTCCACACCGACGGCGACTACTCGTCTTGCCCGGCCGGCGCCGACAGGCACTACGGTAAGTTTTTTCCACGGTTCCAGTAGCTGTTGCGTTCGAAACAAACACTGACCGCATTCTTCAACAGACCAGAGCCTGTGGCTCACCGAGGGCATGGGCATGGGCGGTGCCGGTGGTGACTGGGGTCAGCGCGTCGACCGCCAGTACTTTATGGATGCCGTCAAGGACGAGGACATCCACATCATCCTGCACGAGATGGGTAAGTCGTTGACTCTGTCATTCATTCCAGCCAACAGATTGACGCTAACCAACCTACCAGGCCACACCTTCGCCCTCTCCGACTTCTACGACTTCATGCCCGACGGCGTCACCGAGTTCGTCATGAACGCCGGCAGCTCCATGAAGATCACCGAGTTCGACGGATGGATGCTCCGTGACTGGTGGCGCAACCTCAAGTCGCGCTACAACCTGTAAAAGGGTTCAGTATGTAGTGCGACGTGTGTGGACGGAGTCTCATGGAATTAGTCGTGGGCCTGAGAGGGTCTTTTTTAGCCTTTTAAGCCTATTTTAAGTTTAATCCATGGATGATCTCTGCGCCCTGCAACGTAGCTCTGCGTCTGTGATGATCGCCGCCGTGCTCGAGCGTGTCGCGTAATGTCTCACTGTCTGACAACCTAGTTCTGATTTAACACTCTTGGTCTGACCTCAGCGCTAGAGACTAGGAATAGATTTTACATACTTCATTAGGATTAATATACAACATAACTCATACATGCGTGGCAGCCCAGTCGTCAGGCAGCTTCAAGTTCGGCGGCAAACTGTACTGGCCCAGACAATAATCCGGAGCAATACAGCCCTTGAGGTTACAGCGCCCATACAAACGACAGTAACACTCCTCGGCGCTCGGGCACGCCTGGCCATTGAGCCGGTCCAGATCAAGTCCGCCCTCTGCATCCAGCAACGCATTCTCCTCGCCCGGTATCCCCTGCCGCATAAACAGGATATGCCACAGGTACGAAACAATCCGCCCGGAAATGCGGTCGTCGAGCGGGGCGGCGTATTTGTTCTGGGAGTCCGTCGCGTCGAGCAACCACTGCCGCAACGCCACATACTCGTCCCGCGTGTGCTGCCACACGTTCTCGCGCGCCACGACAAACTGCGCGCAGCACTGCGCGCGCACGGCATCGCTGCGCCCGAGCAGTAGCCGCTCCAGCCCGCCGCTCAACGCGTACTCCCCGCCACCAAACAGCGACACCAGCGCCCGCGGCAGCGCAGTGTCCGATACCGCCCGCGCGTCCCACGGATCCATAGCCGCTTGCAGCGACGTCTCGAGGCTGCCTTGCGGTGGTGCCGACAGCGGACACGTGCTCACGCTCCAGTCGCAGCGCAGGTTGTGGTAGCCCCAAGGCTCGAGGGCGTTGGAGATGTTCAGCGCGGAGAGAAGCGCGACGTTGTCGTAGGCCGGGTCGTCGTTATGCCAGGCCCAGCGCACGCCGTGCACAAACACTGCGCCTTGCTCGGATATGTAGCCGTAGTTGTCGATCAGGAACGTCAGGTAGGCCATCGATTCGTGGCCGCGGTTCGCAGGAACTTGGAGATATTTCGAGTTGCTGTCGCTTGGCGCGTCTGCCGTGTATACACAAAGGTGGTAATGCTCGGCCAGCTCGTCGAGCCATTGCGTGTCCTCGCTTGTGACTCGCGACACTACCAGCGCGGGCTTTGTGCTTTTTGCCAGACCGGGGCAGACTCCCCGAGGTGCAGGGAGCGTGGCGGCCGTGGTTTTGTATCGAATTGTCGTCCATGCGAACTTTTTAGCTGTACGTGAAGGGCGATTTAGGTGGATGATGAGGAAGAGTATGCTTCCAAAGAGGAAAAGGTGCGCGAGAGCTTTTCGTGTCGCTCGTCTCATTCAAGCTGCTGTTGGTAGGGTGTTTCGATTGGGTTTTCAAAGGCTCATTGACTTGCTGGTTCGTGGACGCGGTCGTGTTCGTTAATGGGGCGTATTCCAGCACTCTGTATCCCATCGGTCGGACTGAAGTAGCAGCGGTGCGCACGCCATGATATACCTCTGCAACACCTCGACGCCCAAAGCCCACGCGTCAACCAAAACTGTTTTCCTAGCGTTGCTGTTAAAGAACTATTCCCGAGGGAGCTCCGCTGATAGTCAAGGCCTAACGGCGTGCATTGTTGCTTGAGTGCGCCGAGAAGTGCTTGAGTGCGCCAAGGCGTGACAAGAGGCCAATCAGTGCGTGCGTGGCGTGAGCCGGCAACTTTAGAAAAGCTTATGATCGTTAATGTCATAATAAGGCGTGAAAGGCTTCTGTTAGGCCCGGCCGGTTCCCGGTGTCGGTGAAGCTTGATAAAAGTCTCAGCCGGTTTCTCCGAGCCATATCCGCCTGCTAAACTCGCAGTACTGCGCGTCTTCTTTTCATCTGGACATTTGTTGGTACGTCGCACTGTATCGGATGCAGGAATTTGCTTGATGTAAGTGAGATTCGCAGTACTATATGAGAGCCAATGTATATCTGGATGCCGATGAAGTCCTTTGTGCAACAGGTCGTGTGATCGGGATTTGAACGTAAAAAGAATGAAAAGAGCGGAGGATCAACTGCGAACGTCACGCATATATAAAAGAGAAGTTACTTCACAGCTCTCTCCGAGCCGAGGAATTGTTAGGTACCATACGTGGTACCTGGCTAAATCCCCGCATTTCGGATAATTGCCGTTGGCCCGCAAGCCGTTGGGGCACCGCGAAGATCGCCGTTGATCACGACGACGTGGCAAGTGGATCCGCGGAGATGGCGAAGAGCACATGGCTTTGCTGATTTGAACCTAGCTCCGATGCTCAATATTGATTTCCGTCACCGGCAAAGAACTGTGGCCTTTGCGGATTTAGCACGCGCGCAAAAGGCGACAGTCGGTAACTGTCCGAAAAGAGGCAATCCTGTTGGATATCCTCGCCATGACACATGGCGGATGATGTAGGCCTCTTCGAATTCTTAGGTGATGAGTAGCCTTACTACGTATTGGCGGGCTTGCTGGCAAGTGAAATCCGCTTAATGATGACGGAGTTGATCTCTGCAACTAATTCTTTCGTCCAAGGATCCTGAGCTACTATACGGCAACTTGAATGTGGAACAGATTCCAGTGATTAAGGAAGTACTCTCCGCTAGATTCAGAAGATGGAGTTGCCGAAAGTCTGCGTTGAAGCTACTCACTTCGGTGTACGCCTCTAAACGTGTTTCTCCGACATACCACATCAGCAATTGAGTTGCAATAATTCTTTAAACTTGCTGGCTTGAACAACGAGCGGAAATATGGATGCGCCATCTTGTTGTCTTCTGGACAAGGTGCATCGGGCGACCAAGGGCAACGCTGCGTTTTTGCTTCCGCACTTGTACTACGTAGTCGTGACTACCTTGTGGGCACGTGCAGCGGCGGTGGTGCGAGGCGCTCGACTTCAGGAGTCAGGTTAAGTCGTGCTCACCCGTCTTCAAGAACCGCACAAAGTTGCAGTCGTAATGTCGAAATGCGATGCGGTAACCGTTTGGATTGATGGATCTCGTTGCCTCCACGCCGGTGCTAATGGCAGTACCGCAGCGAGATTGGTGAGACTACGGTCTCATCACCAGCCGACCAGCAAGCCCTGTTTCATTCGTTGAAAGGTCGCAAGCAGATGCAGCTGGTAGAGCGACATGGACGTCCTGAGTGGCAGAGATGCTGCATGTTTAGGTTTTGACGGCACAAGCTTTGTTTGTGCAAAAGGTGCTTGGAGGTGACAAGGCGGGGTTATGTAATCCACGCGCTAGCGTCCTGACACCACCCCCAACGGCTTGACCCGGATGGCTCGTTGCCGGGCCCTGCTCACCGAAACCCCACAACGCGGCATCCAAGAGGAGCTTAAATCACTGATGCTAGATCCTCGGTATAGCTAACATAGTTTACGGTTAATTAAAATGGACTGCTTAGCGAAACCGACCAATTAAAAGGCTTTCTTAAATATATTACTAAAGATCCCTTGTTAAATTCTATTTCTTTATTGACAGTACTCGTTGCGATTAACCGTAGGTAAGAGCTACCTGCTTCATAGTTGGTTCACTTGGCAACTAACTAATTTATTTAGAGGGTAAGGATTTTTGGCCAAAAAACAACAGTCTACCCCGCTTACGAAACAGGTTTAGTTCCATCCTATACGTAGTACATCCTTGTAAATGCTTATCCATTGGCTTACTATAACTCTCTTCAGAGCCACTTCAGCTACGGCCGATTCTCACAGCCTGATTCTCACAGCTTGATTCTCACGGCCTTCCCCATCAAGTTCATCAACCACCACCGTCGTCTTGCCCTCAATCTCTAGGAGCTCGAAAGATATGGCACCCTCGAGACATTCAATAACGCCCATCTTCCACCGGCTCTTCGGAAACAACGCACAGAAGGCATCATCTGTTGACTCCACGCAAGTAGAACAGCAGAACGCAATACGGATTTCGACTTCTTCGTGCAGTCCAGCAACAGGGGAACATGGAGCGCAATCGCCTACAACCACACGAAGTCAGCTGCCGCTGACCATTCACCAGCCAAGCGAAAAAAACGATATTTTTCGAATCGCGGTTCAAAAACATATCGACAGTCTCCCAGAGAATGAAAGGGAACATTTTCAGAGGTCATATAAAGATATCGATATGAAGGATACAATCACAGCTGTGAGGAGCATGGACACAGACCATGCAAGGCAATCTGCGGGACGGCGGCGAGCAGAGAAAGTTGATAAAGTGGTGAAGATTTTGAACCCAAGCCTTACTGCTCTCTCCTTAGGTTTCTCTGTGGATCCTTCAATCTCCCAGATATCTTCTCTGGTTCTGGGTGGCCTCAAAATGATTTTGAAGGTAAGGACTTTAATTCTTGCGAAGGACCAAGACCTAACCTTCCAAGGCGGCAGAGCGTTGGGCAACATTCTTCACGCGATTAACCGACATGCTATGCCACTTAGGCAGTTACGCCGAAATATGGGAAGGATATGCTACGACCAGCTGCAGTACAGAGGAAGCAGTCAAGCCCCTCAAAGTCTGTCTAGCCGAAATCTACGGCGACATGCTGAGCTTTTGCCGAGAAGCAACACGAATTTTCTTCTGCTTCGAGCACGGAAAAGCCATTCCAAGGCGAGCAGTCTCCTTTAGGGTTTTTCATCAACAGTTTTGGGGAGATTACGAGGAGGTTTTCCAGACCATCGACCTGAGCCTCAATCAACACATCAAAAATCTTCAACTTGCCGTTGGATTTATTCAGCTTTCGAATGAATCGGAGATCAATAAAAAGCTCGACGATTTGAAGCTTGAGTTCACCGACAAAACTTTTCGCGAAACTAAAAAGGCTTTTATGCAATGGCTTTCTGTTCCACGAAATCAACCACTGGACTTTGAAGAGGACCACCGGATTCTCTGTGAGAAGAGACACAAGAAAACAGGTGAATGGATCTTCAAAACTCCAGAATTTAAAAGCTGGATGGACTACTCAACCTCCGCACTCTTGTGGTGCTACGGCAACGCTGGGGCAGGGAAGTCAGTGCTTGCCTCAAGCATTATCGAATACCTGAGGGAAAAGTACGGGCTGGATGATGATGTTGGCATCTCATTCGCATACTGCAAGTACGACAAAAGGCAGACTCAATACCTCGATAACATCTTGCCGAATCTCATTAAACAACTTTGCTATAGAAAGAAGCGTTTCCCGCAAAACGCCGAACAGATATTCCAAGCATGCGACAGTGTTGCCCGACAAGGAACTCCTGATGATTACGAAAAAATCTTTCGATACATAGTCCAGGATCATACAACCGTCTTTGTGATACTCGATGCTCTGGATGAATGTCCTCTTTCTGAGTACAAGAATCCATTAGCCGGAAGAAAGAATATCATTGAGTTCATTCGGCAATCTATCGCAACTCCGGGCTCCGAAACCTGCATCAAATTCATTGTCACCAGTCGGTATGAAGATGACATTCAGCGTGCGTTTATGAAGCAAAGCAAAGTCTTCCGAATTGAAACACGGCATGTTGAACGAGACATAAAGCAATATGTCGAAGATACGATCCTCGTTTACTGCAACGGCGACCAAAGAAACAAGCTACAGCCGCGGTTGAATTTTTCACTGAAACCGGAATTGCGAAGAGAAATTTTTGATATACTTATTTCCAAGTCTCAAGGGATGTAAGTAGTTGCTTATGATACAGATCCGCAGAATAACCTAAGCTGATGAATCCAAAAAATATTTTAGGTTCTTATGGGTGTATCTACATCTGGAAATGATATTCAGGCAAAAGTCTCCGCGTGGCATCCGGAAGATACTGGATACCGCCCCAAGCGATCTCGACGAAACCTACGACAATTGCTTGAAGACGATCGAGACGCAAGAAGAGGACATCAGGGATCTTGCATACAGTTGCATCCAATGGGTTCTGCAAGCAGAAAAATCCCTACATGTTCAAGAGTTAATGCATCTAACTGTCTTCCCGGATGGTGACGATTGGGAGGCTCCAGTACACACAAAGGACGACCTACTTGATGTGTGTAGCCACCTAATTGTGGAAGAGGCATCACGTGTCCGACTCGTTCATTATTCAGTAAAGGAATTCTTGCTTTCTGCAAGGCGTCAAAGTTCGGAAAGGCAACTGATCAAAAAACTACAAGCGAATGACAGAACTCGAGAATATGTCACCAACGGGAGCCTTCAGTACGTCCTGCATCCCGCTTTACAGCTGGGTCCTTGCGCGGAATACCATGAGCTGATGGTTCGACACGAATATTGCTCAGCGCTATGGCACACTGCCAAATATTTTGACTTTTATGTTCAGAAAGTTACGGGAGACCTCCCAGAAAAAATCCTTGGTCTCATCAAAGAACTACTGGAGAAGCCTATAAGCCACTTGGGTGCGATCGTGCAATTGAGATATTTACGAGACCCTTTCGAAAGGGAACTAGCAGTCGCTGACTTCAATTCCCTCAAAGACGAGCAAGTTACGCAAGGGACAATTCTATACTCAACGCATCTCTACAACGTTAAGGAGCTGCAGTATATCCGTCAAGCCTGTCTCAATAAGGGAATTCCCCGACGCACCATGCACCCAGCTGCAGCTGTTGGGATTGTTGAATCAGTGGAAGAAATCCACAAAGCTGGACACGAAATCAACGAACGCGACTCTAAGGGTGCGACACCTTTGTTCTACGCTGCGAAAAATGGACATGCCGAAGTTTGTCGCTACCTTCTTACCAATGGAGCAATATGCGACATTCAACTCGAGGACGGTCATTACTCACCCTTGTACATCGCTACAGAAGAAGGACATTTCGATGTTGTAAAACTGCTCCTAGATTACAAAGCCGACTCTTCTATTGTTGGTAAGTCTCAGTATGACACAATGCTCGCCTTCAAAGCGGAGCAAAATTTCAAGAGAAATTCCTTAATTTACCAGCATCTGACAATAAAACAGGTGGTGATTTGGAAAGCCCGCTCATCGCAGCATGTGTAAAAGGATTCCAGGACATTGCGCTGATACTCTTGAAACACCGTGCCGACTTCAACCCAATCCACCCTGAATATGGCTCAGCCTTCTATTCAGCTTGCAAAGGCGGCTACTTCGATATCGTGAACGAACTCATAAATCAGAAAGTTCCCATCAACAAATGTTCTGGGCCTTCCAATTCGTATGCTCTGCATGCTGCCTGCTATGAAGGGCATAACAGGATTGTGGATTTACTCATCTCCACCAAAAAAATCAAATTGAACGTTCAAGGCGGATTGTACCACCACACTCTCCCAGCGGCCTGTCACGGTTGCGAAGACAGTACTATAAAGCTTCTCCTGGAACGCGGATGCGGACACCAAAAAGGAGAGGCAATATACAACCGCGCTCTCTACGAAGCAGTTCTCGTATCAAAGTGCGATATGGTCAAACTACTCATCCACGAACATGGTGCACGAGCCAGTGCACGTAGTACTGGAACTGAATACGGCTATCCACTCATTGCTGCTTGCGCGAATGGCAACGATGAGCTTGTCGACTTTCTACTTTGCCAAGGGGATGACCAACTTAATGTCAATGCGAGATATACTTCAGAATCAGATGTTGCTTCTAAAACTGCCCTTACAGAGGCATGCAAAGCACAAAATCTGAAAATTGTAAAGAGATTAATCAGCAATCAGGCAGATGTGAATCGAATATCGGGAGAGCTACACTACCCGCTCTTGCTCGCACTCCATGGTGACGTTGACGAAAGGGTAGACCCAGGTGTCGCAAGAGCCCTTTTGGAAAACGGAGCAGATATTCAATCAGCGGGCTCATGCAGCCGGTCCCGACTTAAACGATTCGAAAGAGGATCTATGGCAAAGCAAATTACGACGACTGATCAAGGAAGTCGAGCGAAACAAGATTCTGTTCTCTTCTACGAAATTGCACCAACTGGGACAGATGCTGACCCAGAATTATTAATTGGCGATCTCAAGGAGAATAGAAGCTGGGAGTTTGATGAAAACCAAATCCCTCTCTGGAATGGTTCAGAAATGGAAGAAAAAGATCTTCCTGTCTGGGAGTCCGGTATTAGCGCCGAGGATCACTTGATTAGACTTGCGAAAAGGTCTGGACCAGCTATGGAAAAGGTGATATGGTTACTTGAGCAAGCAAAAGTCAGGAACCAACAGAGTGCAAAAATTGATTTACTAGTAGGGTTGGATTGAATAGTCTCTGTCAGAGTGGAAAGGCGCCTAGCCGGCTTATTACCGTCGGCGCCGGCAGGCTACGGAAGCGGCGTTTAACCTGGTGAGCGATAACGGGCGGCAGATAGTTACCTTAGAGGCTGAGCGAAAAATTGCAGCAGCAGATGTCTACCACGGTAAGCGAGTAACAGCACATAGCTATAAGCCGTTATTAGGTGGTGAGTTGCTGCTCGGTTTATAGCCCAGAAAGTAGTGCACTTTCCATCCCGTTCGAAAAGGGATCTAGGCCCTCTTCAGCTTACGCCTACGGTCTATGGGCTGTTCCGGACAATGATACGGCGCCTGTCTAATTTTGTAATTGAGTATGGAAAGCAACAAGAGGTGTGCTGTAGTCAGAAGAAGTCGCGCAGCTCACCAAGCTTGTGAGCTAACTACATGTGGTAAGGTCCGTGAGCTGCACATGACCGTTGCCAGTAACCTTCAACAGCTGCACTCTAGGTTTCATGCTTTAACAGACGAATCTTTGACGAGCCTGCTGGGAAATGAAGCTTTCTTATTGCTAGAATCTTGCAACCGCAGGATCGAGTTGTACTCGCTGAGTTATCTCTGCGAAGCCTCGTGATGCTCATATACGGATTATTTCGTTCGCCTCAGTAACACATAGTGCATTTCATGTTATGGGTACAGTAGCCCGCCGTAGATAGTAGCTAATATTAGTATACTTTCCACTTCTCCCAAGGTCATCACGAAGGCGTCAGACACCAGCTGCTGACATCTCAGTAACTACCTACAGTTTACAGATGGATAGCAATACCTTTTCCGACCAACAAGCTATGTTCTTTTGCGCTCTTTGCGACAAGCCATTCACCATCAAATCATCGCGCGATCGCCATGTTTCGTATTGCCAAAACGCCAGAAATCGACCACGCACACGCGCCCGCTCATGCCTAGCCTGCAGTGCCGCCAAAGCTAAATGTAGCTTCCAACCAAACTGCACCCGATGCGCTCGAAAGGGTATAAATTGTGTCTACGAGCGACGTGGTATTACAAGTCCATGTGGGAGGGCCGGCCAAGTGTGCAGCGACAGCGGTTTTCTAGAGTGGCCTTTGCCAATTGGCGACGTCGAGCAGGTTTCCGATGCCGATGTTGCGTTCATGTCGGCATTAGGTCCAACCTTAGAGCAGACTGTTAGTCCTGCACCTATGGATCCTAACTTGTTCATTGCCGGCACCACGCCAGATATCTGCAATTCCTTTCCCTTCAGTCTGATTAACGGTTCAAGCGGAAGACAATCCGACATCGCTTGCCAGGAGATCGTCCCCCGGCCGGCATGGTTGCCCAACGTCTATCATCCGTTCGCTGACGCCAATTCAATGCCGTTCTCTCCGGCCTTGCAAACACCACCATCGTCTGTGATTCTGAGGCGTACTCAAATGCGGGATCCAGTGGCACAAAGCAATGCCACACAAATTGTCCAAATTCTACGTTCCTTCCCACAAATGATGTTGAGAAGGACAACGTTCCCACCATTTATCCATCCACGTCTGCATCGCTTGTCCGATGGCGATCGAACGGGGTTGCCGGAGCCTTTGGCAAATTGCATGAGCATTGCACATCTTTTTGCCTCGCGCAATGCGGAAACAAGCCCTTTTTTATGGCGAGCCATCGAGGCCGAGCAACATCGCTTTCTTCAGAATGTCAGTTCCCACCACTAGCTTCACATGTGTTATTGTCTCTGCATCGACCTTCAGTGGAGTAGGCTGACCACTGTGAAAAACAGATAGAAAGCGTTGAGAAAGAAGAACTGTTTGCTGCTATTCAAGCCTACATAATCTATCTGATCATGCGTATTGTTGATGACGAGGCTCAGAATGTTGGATCTGGATTCCACATGCTTCTTTCTTTCCACGTACGCTCGTTCGATCCGTGGGAATTTTTATTGCTAACAAATCTAGAAATTACATGATCGATTTAGACACCTCTGCAATGAGGTGTTCTGTGAGGAAGAGCAGTGGGATCCCTCTCCAATCTGGGAAGAGTGGATCTTTGCTGAATCACGAAGAAGGTAAGATATGTTTCGAGTTTCTAGGCTTCTTAAGTACTTATTGATCCAGCCCGAGCAAAATTGTTGACGCTCGACAGGGTGGCATGCTTGTGGTTCCTAATCGACCGGGTGGTGTGCGTGAAGACGGGACTACATTGCAACGCATCAGAAGGCTTCCGCGAACTATCCTTGCCGTCGACAAAATTTACCTGGGATGCTAATACACAGTGCTCGTGGCAGGCTGAGTACGAAAGCTGCCGCATGATGCGAGGAACCAGTATGTCCCGACTTGGGGAGTTAATAGACGCAAAGCAAGGAGACAAAGATTCTTCAAATGCGCGAAGACTGGATGTCTGGAATTCTGGAATCGACACTCTGGGCACACTGCTGAACTTGGCCACTGCTTTTGTCTAAAGCAAGATCTTTGTACGGGCGAGACTCAGACTCTACAGCTGTCAAAGTTGAGAATTGCAATTAGTAGCATTATGGTCTGTCTATCGGGTGGCCTCATTTTTTGGGAATACGCAAAGCTGGCTCCGTGTGGACAATGCAAATCTATCTGGCGTAGAGAAAAATCAAGGAGTGCCCCATAGTTACCAGGTGCTGACGATTTTTCTGATCTCACCGTCTGCACACCAACCTGCATCGTGCTGGCGTACAATGCAAGTGGTAAGATGGGACTGCAGGCACGGGCCGGCCAAATTCGCCGCGCCGCCACAACCCGGCGAAAGTTGCCGGTACCTAGGTACGACCCTTGTCAATCCACCACCCCACGCTAAGTAGTGCTGACAAGACCTTGTAAGAGTGCCGGCAAATGTCTCGTCTTATCTTCCCAACCTTTATAGCCGGCGGGATTATTCTATTTAACGATATTGTCTCACTTACAGGCACCAACCGCGTCGTATCACTGCCTCAGATACGAAGCCTGCTATGGCCCAGAACAAGACTGTCCTCATATTCGGCTCCGGAGCCAGCATCGGAGCATCGACCGCGAAGCTCTTTCCCTCAAAGGGGTACGGCGTTGTCGAGGTTAGCCACAGCGGCGCCGCCACAGGCTCACAGCCGCCCCAAGCCTTGAACACCACCATGTGCAAGCGGACTTGACACAACTTCGTGTTGTAGCTGAAGCCTTCGACACGGTGAAGCAGAAATTTGGCAGTGCGCCAAGCATCGTCATCTATAACGGTAAGCGCTACGTCCTGCTCAGTATATCCATTAGTTATTAGAACTGATAGTGATACACCGATTGATGCAGCCTATGGCATGCATCTCACAGCCGAAGATGATCCCTTGAGCGTTTCGCTTCTCGACTTCAAAGCAGACCTTGCCGTGAACATTTCCTCGGCATATCATGCTGCTCAGCTGGCTACCGAGGGCTTCAAATCCCTTCCGCCTGATGTGCCGAAGACTTTTATCTATACTGGCAATGGCCTTGACTCGTCGCCTCAACCTATGCTTCTCACCTTAGGCGTGGGTAAGTCGGCGATGGCCCACACGATTGAATGTGCCGCGACTGCTTATGCGGGAAAGGGATGGACGTGAGTAACTCAATTCCTTGTATATCTACTCCCAGAATATTGTTTTCACTTTTTCCTTTAAAACTTGGCTCTTGTAAGTTGCCTACTTACGCAAACGGCACATCACAGGTTCTACTATGTCGATGAACGGCTCGAAGATGGAAATTTGCAGGAGGCGCTATTAGCGGGCAAGCGTATACGGCACGGTTCTGGGAACTCAGCCAAGACAGTCGACAAGACTTTGTTGGACACCTTTGTCGCTGGGTTTGGGCACAAAGAATTTAACTGAAATGAGATTTTCGCAGTGCATTGAGGAAAGCGTCGATTGTAAAAGAGGAATAGAGAAGATTATATAATGCATCTAAAATTGAGTGGTCTAGCTAAGCTAGAACAAGCTAGGCCGTTCACACCGTCGTCTTACTTCGTAGAGTACCTACCACTGCGACGCCTCACCCGTGTAGAGCAGAAACCGCCCCGACGTCTCTTCCCGGCTCGCCCCGTCGATCTGCACGACCGGCGTCAGCAAGCAGCCCCACGTCCGGAGAAAGGAAGGGAAACACCTACCACTCTGACTAGGCCATCGACGCTCTCCTTGGGCGTCATCTCAGCCTCGGCAAGTCCCAAGATGGCGGCGGCGTCGTTGCTCATGTCCGTCTTGACCCACCTAGATTCCTGTCAGCAGCAGCAGCAGGAGCGCACGCGAGGGCTACAGTCCGGGCCTTACCCGGGATCAACAGGGAAGACGATGATGTTCTCGTGCTCAAAGTGCATCTTGCGCGTCAAATAGTTAAGCAGAGCCTTAGAGGGGCCGTAGGCTGCATTAGGAAAGGGTTGAAGGTCCATGCCACCAATGCTGCTGGCCGAAGAGCTGACGGCAACAAACTTGGGGGAAGCGGCACGGTCCATGGCTGGCAGCGTGGCCTGGAAAAGGCGCAGCGTACCGTAACCGTTGATACGAACGTGGTAGTCGAGCTCGTCGATGGCCACTTCAGCGACCCGCGGATAGGACCGGCTCACGCCCGCGTTGGCAATGACAACGTCCAGCTTCACAATGCCATGCTTACGTGCCAGCTGCTCCATGGCCGCCGGCGCGCTGCTATCGTCCGAGGCATCGATGCGCTCGACGATGAGCTCGCTGGAGGCGCCCTTGGACAACTGAGAGAGCGACTGGGCCGTCGCATGTGCAGGGTCGCGAACGCCGGCTACGACGGTGGTCGATGGCCGGCTGAGATAGGCCTCAACAAAGGCGCGGCCGATGCCTGTAGCCTTGTCAGCCAGAGGTGCGGCGTAAGGCACCATCTGCTTACCCACCTCGGTTGGCACCGGTGATCAGATAGACGACGTTGTTCGGGTTGGTCGACGACATGGTGGCGGTGGTTTTGAAAACGAGAGCGGGTCACAGATGGCATTTTAATATCCTCTCGTACGTTTGTTGATTAGAAATCTCTACCATCCTTTGTCTGACCCCTGCCGCTTACCCCTGCCGTCCCAACCGTAAGACACCGGCCAATTTCGACGCCGCTAGTCGCAGCCGCCTTCCAACCCAGCGCCTCCTGGACAAAGACACCATCTCCGCTCAGCACATTCAGATGACCCCTTCCCGGAGCGAGCTGCATTCGCTTCAGCCCTTGCAGCAGGTCGAACAGAGCCACCTGGCCATCCCAGCTCCGGGACAACCATCAGCGCCGGCGTTGGACCCAGCAGCTGCGTGATCAAGCCACGAGGCTGCCACATGGTGATCCGATATTATGACTGCAGCGTAGTGCGGTTCTCAAACGTCGACGTGTGTACAGTGTGCCTTGAGTCGCCGCATGAAGTCAAACGCCTCGAGGCGCAGATGACGGTTACGAGCCCCGACAATGCTCTGGCCTCTGGATCCATCAGAACAATTCGAGCAGAAGACCCTAGTTTGACTAGTCACATTGAACGTCGAGCATGGTGATGGCCCTGGCGTTCCGGAAACAGTTCTCTCTGTACTTTCAAGCATGAAGGCTCCAACACCCAAAGTCAACGCAGACTTTGACTTTGCAGAACGCAGTGGCGTCATCCATTTCAACCGGATTATTCCAGACCAGCCGATTAATCAGGACTAGAAAAGCATAGGCCGTGGTGCTGATCCAGTCTCAAAGCGCCTGCACGATCTTCGCACAGTCGCAATGCTGAGGGCAGAGCGCGTCCTAACTTTGGATGCTCTCTATTACTCCGAGATGACACCAAGCGAGCTTCCGGTTGCAGATGGATGTATCGAAGTGGAGTTATATGCCGCAGGCTTAAATTTCAAGGTATGGCTCACGTTTAAGTCTTTTACACAATGACATTGACCAGGAAACAAGACGTGCGGTGACAATGGGCATCGTCCCTGAAAATGAATTTTTGCTTTGGCCTTGAGGGGGCAGGTATTGTCAAGCGTGTCGGAAAGAATGCGGAAGGTTACAAGCCTGGAGATCGGGTAGCCATCTGTTGCAATGAATGGGGTTTCAATTGATAGCAATGAGTGGCATGATCTTGTTAGGAGCCCGGTAGGCGGAGTCCTCTTATACCCTGTGCTAAATGACTAAGCCACAGAAAAAGCAATATAAACTGCGTACACTTCAACACCATCCTTAAGAACGGCACATTCTCCAACAGGGTACAAGTTCCTGTCGAACGGGTACACCGCATACCCGACTCTCTCTCTTTTGAGGTACGGCCAGTTTACAAAGCCAACGGCTGGTTAAATGCTAAAACTGTCATTAAGATGCCGCGACTATCCCTCTAGTGTACCTTACGTCGATCTACTCGCTCTTTAACGTAGGAAATCTTCGGCAAGGACAGGTGTGCACTCTGCAACAATACCCAGTTGGAATAGCTGCTAACTGTTATAGTCGGTTTTGATTCACTCTGCCGCGGGCGGCATCGGCATTGCGTGCATTCAGCTTGCAAAGTACGTTGGTGCCGAGGTTAGTCGCTCAAGCTTCTGAAAGTATATCCCGTATACGTTCTGACTAAGATATCCAGATTTACGTTACTTTCGGCACCGACTCTAAACGCCAGTTCCTAGAAGAAACATTCGGAACCCCCCTTGATCGGGTGTTCTCTTCGCGGGACACTAAGTGCTTCTACAATTAGGGTGTCCACCAAAGGGAATGGATTGATATTATCGTGAACTCCTTGACTGGAGACTTGCTTGACGAGTCCTGGCGTATTTGCGCTGATGGCGGCTCCATGATCAAAATCGGGAAAAGGGACGTTGTGGATCGCAACCTCCTCGACTTCATGGACCAGAGCAAGTCGCGCGCTCACCTTGTTTAGAGAATCGCATGATACTACAGACATGCTATCGAATCATCATGTAGACGTCGCTTGGGCTGATGGACCTTGTAGCCCCCACGCCAGCGCTAATGATAGTACCTCAGCTGGACATGGTCTCGCCATCGGACGACCAGCAACCCTGTTTGACTTGCTACAAGGTCCCCGAGCTGATGCAGTTGGTGCCGGGAAAAGGGAGTATTGAAGTTCTGAGTGGCAGCGATACTGCAGGGCTGATGACGGCGCAAACGTTGTTTCTGCGAGAGGTGCTTGTAGGAGACGTTGGATGGTGGGGTAAATTATGTCAACGCTGGTGCTGACGCCACCCCAGCGGCCCAACCCGGAACGCCATAAGATCTAAAAATTGACACAACACCCCTGTAACAATCAAAAAGAAATTTTAAAAAAGAAATACCTTGAGCTTAGGAGACAATTATCAGTAGCAGGTAGATGAAAAGAAGACTAGTATTACTAGCAAAACTTTACCGTCTTACAATATTTGTCTTTCTTAATATAGGCCTCTAAGAACAACATTTTCACGCGAGATTATTAAGAACATATCATTGCCTCAATGTGCTTAAAAGATAATCTGTAAATGCCTTACCTTTATAGAGATAGTTAAATAATAATTGATTAATTAATCTAGAGTTTGCCCTGTCTCAAGAGATAAACAATGTCGTGCCTTCACTCACCTAGGTTATTTTAATACTTGTAATATTGCTAAAAACTGTACAAGGCTTGTAAACCGGGAAAAATAACCCCTTTTTAGAAAATGCTAGGTCCTCATGATTCCGCATCCAATTATTAATGCTGGAGTTTCGGGAAGTTGTCATAGTTTGGCTTATAAATAAAGTAAGTATACGCAAAAATCAAAGAAATGATACACTGTTACTGGTGCTTATTGCCGGCTAACCGCCTACTCAAACTACTATAGGATATCTTTTTGGGGACGGAAAGGATTGCCATACAGGATCGGTTAATAGCTAAGCATAGCTCAATAGTGGGGGCGGCGCGGTTGCCTCGAATCTCTTTTGCTTACGACCCACCATCCAATAAGCTTTCAAGGTCGGTCTTATTGTCTCATTTCGCCTTGCCCCGCATTTTGCCTAATAACCGCTCTCCACAGACAGACAATGTGCGGATATCCGCCGGAAGATCCCTTCAGGTAATATGCAATGCAACAAGAATTGCACTCAGCCCCTCTAAGCTGACTGCAGAAGATAACACCTCATCACACACACATAGGCTCAGCCTTAACAACCCACAATCGCGAATTCTCACAGAGTCCTGAAAATATACCAATCAATATTAGAGTTTCTTTTAATAGAGCATGCTCTACAAACTACAGCTGCTAATCCCCGTACGTGGTAATGAACCAGGACCATGACTTCACGGAACTACGCCCTTAAATCCTGCTTTCGAGCTGTTTGAAGCTAAGGGGCAAGAGTGTTGACAACATCGAACTTGAAACATACATCTATCTTTATCCGCAATCTACGACTGTATTTCTCGCAAACACCACCTCCATGTCTGACTCGGCAGACTACTACTCAATTTACGAGGGTGTATGGATCAATTGGTCCCGTGGGCGTATCTTGGGGTCAACCATCACTCTCAATCGTCGCGACGGGGGCCTCCTTATCTCTTTTATTACATTGTTTATCACTTTCGTCGGCACGGCATTCTGGAGAATCATTTGCTTCGCCCTACACTACTATTTCTCATCCGAAGCCCCTCGCGATGCTTTATACCATCAACAACAGGCAGTACTACGCAATTCAGCAAACGGCGGTAGCGGAGTCTTGTCACTTGGTAGACTCTTATGGGCCTGGCGTCATTACAACGTACATCGTCCGTATCGACGAATGCTTCCTACAATCATGTTGGCCATTTCTTTTCTCGGATGCTTTTCCGTGGCGGGAATCTTCTCATCAAAGATCGCAACATCAACCGGAACAGAAGTTCTACTGTCAAGTCCGTATTGCGGAATTCAAAATACGTCAGACCTCAAATCGGCCATACATCTAAAATTGATATATCCTTATGAGGTGCAAAGAACGGTAGATTCAGCCAACTATGCCCAAAAATGCTACACAAACACATCAAATCCGGAAGATTGCCGAGTCTACGTGAAGAAGCAACTTCCCTGGACGTCAAATCAGAACGCGACTTGTCCGTTCGCAAAGGATATTTGCAAGAATTTTTACAACAACATCGAGCTTGATACCGGCTTTGTCGACAGCAATGATCACCTGGGAATTAATGGCCCTATCAGTAGTCGTGTTTTGTTTCGAAGCGTCATGACTTGCGCACCTTTAGCGGTTGATGAATACGAAGCAAAAATTTCATCCCGAGCCAATGGGATGGAAGCACAGCTAACTAAGTTCTATCTTGGTCAGAACTTAGTCCCGCTCCCCGGTCTCAATTCGACTTTCGAGACATGGGATTACTCTGTTCGAAATCAGACCACTTACAGTGCCGGGTTCCCGGACGACTATAGTATTAAGTATGCCCCATTGAACTGTATTGTGTTTGTTGCGATGCTTACTGCTAGGTAGTGCATTGATGGCCGCGTTCGTGAACGATTCAATTGATTTTGAATATTCCAATTTCGATCCTATTCCACAGCTTCGGAAACCACACGCAGATACACACTTATATTTCCTGTCTGCCAACAATATCACGTTCACTGCAGAAACGAATGATCCATGGTATTCAGCCCATCACGAACTTCCAATGGAGCTTATTGGGGGAGAGACAGGAAAAATGACTGTTTATCGCGCCGACGATGTGGCATCAGTGTTAGGATGCGCGGTTCAGAGCCAAATATGCAATCCAGGCCTACAAGCCGGAAAGCAGTGTACGCCTCTGGGATCCCCAGCTGACACCTTCTACAACGCACAAGCTTTGTGGCCAGAGAGCAGCAAGTCTAAAATATGGAAAACAATCGTCGGCCATGTAATGTCATTCACTCCTATTCACCAAGTTCAACAGTTAGGCATCTCAGCACTGACCTCAAGATATAACATAAATTTGGGAGTGCAAGGACCGCTTTCGGACAACCAGTGGCAACTAGATGTCGAGCATTGGTTTAAAGGCGAATTAGCGCTACTTCAGGCATTGGTTGTTGAATACGCCACCGGACCTAAAGATCCGAGAATACGGGAATTTGTTATACCACCGACGGATTCTGCACACCAATACGTTTGTAAAAACCAGGTGTGCCCAACTCATCATTTTTTTATGCATCAAATCTCAGGTACAACGCTAAACAACTACTTCGAACAGAAAATTCTTACTACAGCCTACACCAATTTCAACACCTTCGGCCTGAGCTTGACGTTCGCACTCGGCGGAATCATCATCATCATATCCTACACCCTCGAGCCCTTCATCAGCTACATCCAGAAGCGCCGCTACGGCTTAGACAAGTACTCGCGGCTGGAATGGTGTACAAACGAGACGTTGCAACTGCAGCGACTGGCACACGAGGAGCTCGGCGTAGGCACATGGCACGGAGGTGCTGATGCCGTGCCTCTAACCAAGCCCGGGGAGCAGCTCGGCATGCTTGATATTACGGATGTGGAGCATCCAAGACTGAAGGCACCGCCGGCCACGATGGATGAGTTGTTGGTTGCTGAGACTCAGACAGTTGCTAAGGGAGCGAGAGTGGAGGAGGAAGAAAAAGAATCGAGTACTGCTTCTGTCGGGGATGATAGCCAGGGTTCAACATCGTCCAGTCCCTGCACCGCCGGACTGAACAGTCGGTAGATACGCTAACGAAGGGTCTGAACCGTCTCCGTCCCCCCTGCGCTAAGAACGGTCTTAGTCCTGACGGAGCTTGGTTTAGAAGGACGCCGGCCGACGGTAGTAAGAAAATTAGTATTGATTTTAAGGGGCGAACGCTACGTCGGCGAGTCGGTATATAATCTTATACCTCTAATGCTATATAAATTTTCGTAATACTATACTAAATCTTATGATGTCGGTCCGACTGAACGAGACGGCTTACTTAGTCGTCTAATTGAACGAGTGGACGGTAGGGACGGTAGGCGGATCGTCCCGCCTACTGTCGGCGCTGGAAGGGACGATATCGAACCCTGATGATAGCGTGATTTCTCTGTTATCTGAGAGAACGATTGAGGAGAGGGTTGCTAGTTAGACTGAATGTTAGGCGGTTGGAACTTGGAAGCTCTACAGGTTAAGATACTAAGGCCACAAAACGATTGTAGAGCTTTAGAGACAATAGAGAAATTGCTAAAAACGAATTGCGACCAATACTGAAGTACTTAATAGAACTCTGCTATTAAAATATTAGAAAGTAACCAGAATGTCCTTATTACTCTTATCGAGAAATGCCTTTCTATGCTGCTAACGGCCTATATGACTGAGAAAATTAACGACTTTAGAACTCGAGGTTCCTTTCTCTATTGGAAACTTCAGTATCTGCATCCATAAGCTCTCCCTTTGTCTTCATAACAGCGTACCTCATCAATCCGAAGATATGGTATGCGTATCCAAGACAAGCGAACGAGATCCAAATCCAGACCCCACGACATAAGTCTGCCGTCCCTGCCATGTCTCCGGCGAACCTCTCCTCCTTAGTACCACAGCGCCCTATTCCAGTACAAGACCCTACTGTTCATCAAATTGTCTTCGTCAAGATAAAACGTCGAATTAAAAACCAACTGCATGTCATTAACAAAAGGCGACCAGTGGATCTTGTCGTCCGCCCACTTGGTGTTAGGGTTACCGGCCAAGACGAAGGAGAGCAGGTACTTCTGCATCATGATCTATTGCGCAGCCGTGGTTTAAAAGGGGGGGGGGGTTGTCTAGAATGGGAAGATATGCTTACAGCGATAGTGGAGTTAACAGAGGAGCTGCCGCGCATGCCGCCGCCCATACTGCCGGCGGGAGAGGAGGAGTTGCTCGAGGTATTTGAGTTGGATGAGCCGCTGGGGCCACCTACGGAGCCGCTTGAAAAGGAAGCGAAAGACGAGGAGAGGGAGGAGGTGCTGTAGGCTGTTTGCATTCGTTCACTTAGTCGATGAAAAATTTGTTATAACAGGTCAGTGAAAGCTTACAGTAGTAGTTCTGACCAGTGCCATTGATAGCCGTATCCAAAGCAACCATAGCGTTCCACGTCTGGCTCTGCAGCGCCTGGATGACAGCCAAGTCCTTTGCCGCTAAGTCGAACGACTGCTTTATGTCCGCGAAGGGCAGGCCGGGGCTCGAGTAGTTAGGCTCGGGATAGAGGTCCAGGATTTCGTCGACGTCGTTGGTGATGGCAGGGAAGAAGATGTGCAGGTACGCGGCAACGTCTTCGCTGGTGTTGATGCCGGTGTAGGCTTGGCTGTTGGCTTCGTGCTGCTCGTGGCTGATTACGAAGGGGTCCTTGGAGTTGAAGCGTTTTCGATAGAGCTGAGCTTCGTCTGTTTGGCGTCTGGTTAGTGGTCACTAGATAGGTATGCAGTCCAAGTGACCACCATCACAACCAACAGAAGTGGAGATGTTCTGCCAGAAAGTCTACAAGTACAAAGGATGTCAGTTTGTCTCGCTTCAGTATACAAAGGATGGGAAATGTCCACTCACCTCCGAATGGTAGTGGCCAGCGCCAGACACGTAACCCGGAGACATGAAGTAGGCGCGATCGAAGAGCTGCTCAGCATGACCAGCAAACCGCTAAAGAGATCAATTTGTTAACAATCACATCAAAGAAAACATCTCGACGAGGACTTGCCGTCATCTGGAACAGGACCTGAGAGCCAACAGCGGAGAAACCAACAGCCATAACCTGGTTCGAGCCGCCTCCAAAATGACCAATATACTTCTTAACCCACTGGAAAGCATGCTGAACATCCCAAATAGCGGCGTTGGAAGTACCGCCCTCGTGCAGCAGGGTGGGGCCGTTAGCCAGGCCAGTGATACCGAGCCTGTAGTTGTACGAAACAAAGATGAAGTCCTTGGTCAAGTTGAAGAGGCCCTCTGAAGTATTCTCGGACTTGCTTCCGCCCGTGAAACCGTCTCCATATGTCCAAAACCATGACGGGAAGCTTCTTTTCCTCGCTATTGGCAGGAGCCCAGATATCCATGTACAGGCAATCCTCCTCGGAGAAGCAGTCGACGTCCGCATCAGCCAAAGAGCCATTGTTGAGTACAGTCTCGACCGGAGGCCATTCGGGCTTGGCGAAGCGGAGATCCACGGTTGGAACGGCAGCGAAGCGAATGTTTTGGTACTTGTAGTAGCCGAGCGAGGCGTTTCTGGCAGCGGTGGCGGCGGTGCAGTAGCCCAGGGTGACGGTCGGTGTGGAGGCGAGTATGTTGTTATTCGTGGGCAAGTCATGTCTCTGAGCTGATACCACCGCAGCTGCAAGGAGCAGCAAGAGGGCGGCGAGGATCTGCATTTTGCGAGGCCAAACGAGTGTGTTACAGATGACTCTCTGGAAAGAGACGACGGTGTTGTTTCATTTTGGAGGAATTGTTAAAGTTATATACCTGTTCCTAATGTGCTTAAGATTCGGTGAAGACGGTGAAGACGGTGTGTGACGGGCTGCAGGGGAACGTGATGGCGTGAAACTCAATAAAAGCAGTTAATGTTTCCTAAAAGCGTTTGCGTGAGAAGTCATTCCGCGGAATGACGAGGCAGCTCTACGTACGTTTCTGGAGACCACGCAGTCAATCTTCACCCCAGGAACATACTTACGTGACGTGCCCTAAGTATCTGTGCTACCCCCGTTTTACGCCATAACTCGCCTTACGCAGTGAGCGATTTCACAGTCAAGGAGTTACTAAAATACTTAAAGTTTATATAAGCTGGAGAAAATTGCATGCCCTAAATTATTCTTAGTTTACTTATAAAAAGTTATACTAAAGAAAGAAGATATTTAAGTACAAAGTAGAGATAACTAAAAATTCGGCGGTATTCTATATAAACTCGCCGAATTTTAAGAGAACTAGAATATATATTATAATTTCTTAAATAGGGACTTTTAAAAAAATCTAAATCTGTAGAATAAAAGTTTAACCAATTTTTTATAAATCTAGAGACTTTTATAGAAATGCAGCAACGTTAGGTGGTTATAAAACACGTGCGAAGAGGACGAGTTTTGGTGTAAAACAGGGCACATAGCACGAATACTAGGGCCTAGTACTGTACATCAAGCATTTTCACGTTCACACACCTTCGTACCCAAAAAATGCCCTCGCACATCCCAAATCATGAATACTCGCCTGAAGTCAGAGCTGAGATTATCAGGGCCAAGCACATACTAATTCGAACGTTCAACATTGGTTTAATAATTAACCCTTCGTAGTGGATTCCTTAAAGTGAGATTTTCCAACTGGTAGAAAACGTTCATCTGGTCTGGAGCTAGCCACGATTATCTCCACAAAAGCCTTGAAATCGCAGGAACATCAGTAAACATAATTTTTGCGAAAAATACGCTAATTTCCCCATTACTCCTAGCATTCTAAAATCCAATGTACCGCCAAATAAATATATGTATGAAAGCAGAACCAGTCAAAACAACATTCCACCATGAACCAACCCCCATGACATGTCCCAACGAACAAAACCCAGTCAGTTTCAAGTATTAAACCTGACTGACTTGAAGAGGAGTAGCAAGCTGACTTACAAACGAGTCACAACCCCTACTTGTACCGAACAGACGCTCCTCCATGACTGTTAAAGCGACTCCTACCGTAACGGACATCAGTGCCCTGTATCCCTGGCCCTACTTCGACCTTGTCTTTGACAAAAGGATCCGTGAGTCCCCTCTGAGCATCCCCACGCACCCGCTCATATCTCTTTTCCAGCTTGTCCACATCCTCAAATGTCACCACCTTTCCCGTAATGACTTCTCGTTCCATCCATTCAATTTCCCTGCGCACGCTTTGCAGGGCATATTCGTACTTGATAAGTTTCGTGGGGAGGTCTTGTCCTTTCAGCAGGCCCAGGATACCTGCGACGGTACCGTTGATGGCGCCCAGGATAGCCGTAGCGATATGGAAGTCGTGAGACAGAGCTCCGAGAATGACGAGAATGGATGAGACGATCAGCTGGGCGACAAGGAAGATGTACAGTGCGTAGTTGTAGCTTCGATACTGCCATTTGATGCGGTGCTCGTCACGGCAGATGCGCACGTAGATCCCGGCGTTTGCTTCCACGTCGTAGTTCTTGGAGTGAGGTGGCTTCCAGAAGCGGAGTCGTGCAAAACTTGATCCGTGGCGAAGTAGTTTGGTGGGAGCGATGCTGCTAATCTCGCTCCGTATTGTTTGGCTTTTGCTTTTGGATCGTAGTCGTGGCCTCCCTTTTGCCATCTCGCTGGATCGGTCGAGTGGAAGGATTCCCGTGAGTATGCGAAACTGCTCTATGGTGAGACCTTGAGCCACTGTATGGTCTGGTACTGTGCCAGGGCTAGGTGCAGCAACGGGAAAAGTGTTGAACTGGTCGGTGTCCGATACGGTGCTATCCATGATGTCTTCAAGCTGGCTTGGCCTCCGCTGGCGCTCTGATGTGAAGATTGATTGTTCTGACCAGACTTTGCAGCGACATGATCGCATTTATATATGCGATTAGTAGCACTCAAAAATGCAAAGAGCAGATCCTCGGACCTGGACAAAGATCTCCGAGTAGGTGTTGCAAAGCTTGACGCACTTAAGACAAGAGGCAGTAAGCCGGCGCTGTGTAACCAGCCGGTGAAAACGTCGGCCTAATCTCCCATTGGCTAGTTTTCAGCCAGTTACCAGATTCGTAATTTAGGTCTATAGGTGTATCTTATGGCTGATGGCGGCGGTTCGCCTCGATTACCTTGTTTAACTTCTTTGGGCAGCTTTTGGTCATATGCCTCATTTGATCCTCATGCCCTCAACGTAGAAAGTCGCCACTTCTGGTCCCCTATCGCCTCTGGACTTGAGGTTTTCGACAATATCGCCAAGGCCTTGGACTTCTTCAACGCCGATTTGCCCGGAAGATATCAGGGTTAACGCAGGCACAGGAGTCACCTCTGACGCCCGCTCCTGGATGGCTTGCCACCGCATCGACTGCATGCCACAGTCAGATCATTGGCGTTCCAGTCATACGATCCAAAATGGATACGAACCTTGAGTTCATCTACAAAGGATCTGACGTTGCTCGCTTCTCCTTCTACGTATACGCTCCCTGGGTAACCAGGCTTCGAGTAACCAGCAAGTGATAACTCTTTCGACAGTTGCACGATCGCGCGGCGCTTACTAGTAGCGAGCAGATGATGCATCCACAAGACCACCCTTAGCCCTTCGGCCTCTTCTGTTTTATGCGTGGGCCGGGGAGCCGCATGTTGGGCCGCCTGGGCCTGACGATCGGACTCAAAATCTTCAAGGGCTTGCTTGAAATCGCCAACGATCAGGTCCACACACTCGATCCCTGGAACTTGCCGATCGACAATCTCACGCAGGCGCGCGCGCAGCTGCTTTCGATCGTCATTCTGGACCCCGGGTCCGAAGGAAACGAAGACGTGTGGCGGCGATGACGTTGGATAGAGCCATGGGAGTACGAAGGACAGACTGTGGGCGGTGTCTAGCTGAATTTCGAGTTCAAAGTCCTCGTCAGGCCCTTGCGGGTTTTTGATGATGCGTATTTCTTCTGGGTACATAGTCTCGAGCAGCGTGATTTCATTGAGCTGACGCTCACGGTTCTCTTCAGTGTCAGCCATGATGGCTTGGGGATGGCAAGATGTCTTCCCGGACAGGTTGATGCATGAGTTTGGTGTTGAGAAAAGAGACAAAGGCCGATGACGTAAGGCAGCTAGGAAGCGAGACGCGCTGTCACGAAAGCACATGATCGCGTCAACAACATCACATTTTCGGCCTCTCCGAGGCCACTCCACCACTCAACATGCTCAACAAGCCCTTTAAGTCGCCACTGCTGGCTAGAAGGCCCGCCAATGTCCAGGATCTGCGGCATACCTCTCCTAATGCCTCGGAACCGCCCCCAAAGAAGCGACGCGTCTCGCGCGAGAACGATGCAGAGCCGCCGACCGCGCCACCGAAGGCAGTACACGTATCAGCTGTCCCACGAAAGCCTCTAGTGCAGGTTGTGAATCCTGCTGCATCCGCATTATCCAGGCAGGCCGACGAAAATGGCGTGGAGGGATATTATACTGTCCTGTGGTACGTTGGAGCCTGATGGCACGGAGATGTACGCGCTGACTTCCTAGGCGCAAGTTCACGACCAAGAAGAACAAGACTTGGGACGGCGACGGTGTGCTGTCGGTATCTGGAGGCTATGCATATCTCCAGGACATCTCCGGCCGTGATATGGGCAGGACAATGATGAACAAGCCGCTGTTGCCGGGTTCCACACTTTCAGTTGGAGGCAAAGACATTGAGGTTGACTCGGTCATTTCAAAGCAGGACTTTCTCGCAGGACTTCCATTTCTAGGGCCGGTACCGGCGCCGAAGGCTCAGGTTCAAGAAGTGGTTGAGAAGAAACCGGCACTGAGCATGAAAGCTCAGACAAAACAAGAGAAAGTTGAAGCAAAGCAGGTTAAGAATTTGAATGTCGCGGCGCCAAAGACACAGGCTACCACAAACCAGTTCAAGAATCCGCTCCTTTCCACCACGACCCTGCCGAAAACCATTAAAACCTCGACACCGCAGCCTCGGCACGATCCCAATGCTCCTGGCGCTTTGGTGATGAAGCGGCCTCTTCCCATGGACGTTCCTAAGGGGAAACAAGTTGTGGACGTCGTGATCGATCCGATTCTTGGGAAGCATCTCCGCGAACATCAGCGGGAAGGCGTACAATTCTTGTACGAATGTGTCATGGGACTGCGGTCATTCGAGGGGAGAGGAGCCTTCCTAGCAGACGACATGGGGCTCGGCAAGTCGTTGCAAACAATCACCCTCCTTTGGACTCTGCTCAAGCAAAACCCGATCTATGAAGAGGGGCCTGTGGTCAAGAAGGCGTTGATCGTATGTCCAGCAACTGTTGTCGGCAACTGGAGAAGAGAGTTCCGCAAGTGGCTGGGCAACGAGAGAATTGGCGTCTTTGTGGTGGAAGACAAGAAACAGCGCCTGACGGACTTTACAAAAGGCAGGGCCTACAACGTCATGGTCATTGGATATGAGAGGTTCCGGGAGGCATACGCGGAAATCAAGAAAGGCTGCAACGTCGATATCATCATCGCTGATGAGGGACACAAGATCAAGGGAGCAAAGAACAAGGCGGCTGCGGCTATAAGGGCACTGGAAACCGACCGAATCGTCATGCTCTCGGGTACGCCTTTGTCGAACGATTTGTTGGAATTCTATTCTGTTGTCGACCTGGTCAACCCTGGGATTCTTGGAAAGCTCTCCACATTTAGGAGAGAATTCGAAGGGCCAATCGTCAGAGGTCGCCAACCGGAAGCGACTGCGAAAGACAGGGAGAAAGGCGAGGCTCGGGACGAGGAGATGAAGAACATCACGAAGCAATTCATGCTTCGCCGAGAAGCGAGGATTTTGGCCAAATACCTTCCGTCGAAATCCGAACATGTATTGTTCTGTCGGCCGACATCTGCTCAATCGGAGGTTTACCGCGTCGTTCTATCGTCGCCCGCCTTTGGTGCTGCGATGGGAAGCAATGAGAATGCCCTCCAGCTCATCAACGTTCTCAAGCAAGTGTGCAACAGCCCAAGGCTTTTGTTGCCTTCAAACAACGATGAGCTTCCCAAGGCAAACTCTCTCATGTCCTCCATTTTGGAGTCTATCCCGCCGAAGCTCCTTAAGAGCCCAGGAGCCAGCGGCAAACTCCAAGTTCTCGACAGTCTGCTGCATCGGATCCGGAGCACGACCGACGAGAAAGTCGTCATTGTCTCACATTACACGTCTACCCTTAATGTACTCGAGAGCCTTCTCGCCTCATTGTCTTACTCGTTCCTGCGGGTCGACGGCTCGACGCCCACTAACAAACGCACGGAATTGATTTCGAAGTTTAACAGGACCGATGCTAAAGTATCGTTCATCTTTCTTCTTTCCGCAAAGGCTGGTGGGATGGGCATCAACTTGATTGGCGCGTCCCGATTGATTCTCTACGACATTGACTGGAACCCAGCTCATGATCTTCAAGCCATGGCTCGCATCCATCGCGATGGTCAGGCGAGGCCATGCAAGATCTACCGGTTTCTCACGATGGGCGCTTTGGATGAGAAGATCTACCAGCGTCAGCTCACCAAGCAAGGTCTCGCCGACAGTGTTATTGACAACAAGTCTTCTTCGTCCAGCTTCACTCGCGAGGAGCTCCGCGACCTCTTCACTCTGGACGAGAGCAACGACTGCCAAACGCACAAGCTGGTTAGCTGTCCGTGCGGTGGGCGCGGCAATGGCGGAGGCATCGTCACTGCGGAGGATGTCACTGAGGTGAAAGAGGCAGCCGCAGAAGAGACGGACGACGAGGAACTGCCGGAGCTACCCATGCTGCTGAAGGCGAGCAATGTGGACATGGAGGCGCAAGAGAAGCGGATCAAGGACGGCAAAGGCAAGAACCAAGGCAAGGCCAAGATGCTGGCATTGATGCAGTATGCGCACATTGATGTGGCTCTGCTCGGCCAAGGCACTTCTGCCGAGTCCCCACCAGCAACAACGGATGACGAGGAAGAAGCCGCCACCGATCATGTATCAGCGGCGGACTTGGAAGCGATGATCGATGACGAGCCGCTGCTCGACGTGCTCAGGGAAGAAGGGTCACGCGTCAAATTTGTCTTTTCCAAAACGAGCTCTTGAGGACTCTCACACGATGATCTTACCTACGTAATGGACAGCTTGTCCGCCGGCAAAATCGCATTTCTCCGGCGTAGTTGGTAGTCACAGTGGACGATGATATTTGGGACCCGCAGGCCGGACTTGTGTTTGTTTGTTAGTTTTGTGTTTTGTTTTCCAAGGATCAATTCAAGACTATGAGACACGCATGTGCGATAGACCGCCGCGTATGTACTGTACGAACATAAGCACCCTGCCATTCCACCACTATAGCATAGAAGCAATATACCCCGCAATGCAATATGGTTGTCGCATGTGGCCAGCAGCCTATAGCTATAATAGGGACATGCGTGCCGCGTGAAACGGGCAATGACGTGCATCCTGGCGGGTGAGCGGGTCCAGATGCCAAGACACGGGAAAGGGGGGCGATCCATGCGGGCTCAGACGCGGAGTTTGTGCAGGCGGGCGGGCTTGTGGGGGTTGTGCTGCGTGGGTGGTCTAAACCGTGTATGTGGGTTGTCTTGTTCAAGGGCGGGGCTAGGACGGCTGGTTGGTGGCTGGGTGCTCTGTAATTGTTGGAGACGGTGGGCAGGAGTTGCGAGGACATGTTGGCGCTGCACAACAATAGACACCGAAGACGGACAGAGAAAGTTGGACAGAAAATGCATCAGAAAACGGCGGTCCGGCCCCGGCATAAATAATATTTACAGTCAAGAAGCGAAGAAGAAGCTACCACTCATACAATCCACTCATATGTACATCCGTGCTCAAAAACATCCAACCCCTATCATCCCTCTCGCATATACATGCCACATAAGAAGAAGAAAGAAGCCCATCACAATTACAAGAACTTCTTGTCAACCCAGTCCATGTAGTCAGAGCCAAGGACGGTCTTGATATCGACCGCAGCAGAGAGCTGCTTGCCGTACTTGCGGCCCCTGGTGGAGGCGCCCTTGCCCGTGTTCTTGTACTCGCCGAAGACGACGTTGTCCATGGTGCTAGAGCCGGAGGACATGGTGTGCCAGCCCTCGGCGTTGATGACATCGCTGAGGGCGGTGTGCTGGAAGACGACGCGGGCATACTGGCGCCAGGGGCGGCCGAGGTAGTAGGCGCCGGCCTTGACGGAATTGCCGTCGGCGGCGGCGACGTTGCTGTTGTTGATGACGTAGTAGGCGTCGCTGTCGGCGGCGAGGCGGCCGTTGGCGGTGAGGTAGCCCGAGCCGGCCGCCAGGACGCGCAGGTCGATGTTCTCGAACCACGCGGCGGCCTCCTGGCCGAAGATGAAGTCGGTCGCGCCCTGGATCAGCGAGTTGGCGTAGTACTGCTTGCCGCTCTGCGCCATGACCGTGTCCTGGTAGCCCGTGAACTGGCAGCCGTAGTAGGCCTGGTGCTCGCCGTAGTAGGTCGAGATGGCGACGGCCTGCGAGCCCTCGCCGTACGAGTTGTCGACGTTGACGTTGTACATGGCGAGGTTGGCCGTGTGGGCGCGGAGGGTGGCGGCGCCGTCGTTGTTGAGGCCCTCGGCCTGGCTGTGGCCCGCCGTGATCGTGACCTTGTTGCCCTTGTACGAGCTGTCGTCCGCCGAGTAGCCGTAGATGTTGAGCTTGCCCTTGAGCGTCGGGAGAGTGACCTGCTCCTTGTACGTGCCCGCGTAGATGAAGATGGTCTGCTCGCTCGTCGTCGACGTGCTCAGCGCGTCCACGGCCTCCTGAACCGTCTTGTATGTGCCGCTGGAACCGACCGTCAGGGCGCCGGTGGGGGGAGAGGTGATGGCGAGAGCCGAGCCAGCCAGGGCCAGGAGGGAAAGAAGGCGAGCCATTGCTGTTGGTGGTGGTGAAGCGAAAGAGCGAATTGAAGTTGGACGAAGAAGAAGTAGGGAGAAGTAGTACCTGACCTGAGCGGGATGATGGCGTAAAACAGCGAGGATCAACAGTAGTATATATACTCGAGAAGTGCGGCCGTAAATAATTAGGTAGAGCTGTTCGCGAGGCCCCGAAACGGGAAATTGGCCGGTTGGTCGGCCTTTCCATGAAACGCTTCATTTGCGTGTCTCCCCGCACTTTGTTTGAAGCTAAGCTTCCGCCCTGTCGGCTAAGACTGGAGCCTGCTTCGCTGTGCTGAATTGCGTGCCACTAGCAAACGCCGTTCCGTGGCCTATCCGCAGCTAGCTCTTCTAGAAAACCATCGCACCACCTTTTCCCTCGCCGTGACGAAAATTTCTACCGAGCTCATGCTTGTTTCTCCGGTAGTCGTTTCTGTTTCATGCCTACGCGGCATCAAGCTCGTATGTTTTGGTTTAGAGTTTCACACGGGTAACAGGCGGTTTCAACGTCGGGAGTGTCATGCCGAGCGGGGCACCCACGGCCAGGCCCGCGATGAGATGAGCAGCCGGCATCGGCACATCGGGGCTCGGAACGAGCGTTAATCAAGGCGTGGCGGCCATGAGCGTGTACCTCCACCACTGGTCTTCGTCGTCGGCCATTTTGAACACGTCCATGCCGCCTTCGACGCCCGCAGGCCCGACCGTCCACAGCCCGTTCTCCACCAGCAGAATCCAGAACTGCAGCAGCACCATCAGCTGCGTGTGGTGCGGATCGTTGAACGGATTGGTCCCGCTTTGGAACAGCGACGTGTAGGCCTCCGGGTCGCGGGCAGGGCCTTCTTGCGAGCCGTACCGGTACGGCTTGTCCGTGATGGCCCTGTTGTCGCCGAAGCGCGCGAATCCGTTGGCCCCGACGGGGAAGGGCGTGACGAGGCGCACGCCGTCTTGGTATCCGTCCCACGCGTGTGTCTGTGAGTTGAGATACAGCCCACCCCGCATGCCGGTCAGGGTCGAGTTCGCGACGTAGTAGAAGCCGCCGCCGTCGACATTGTCTTCAATTACCTCGTCCGATCCAAACAGCAGGATTGGATGCTCCGACGGGCCCTGGCTGTACTTGGCTGGGTCTGGTGGTGGCGGCCACGGAGGCCCTTCCAGAAAGGCGGCAATGTTCTCTGGTGTGGGACATTCAAGGCCCGGGGCAATGTAGCGGAAAGGACACCCCGGGGCGCAGGTGAGGAAGTTGTACAGGAAGCTGTCATTTGGCACGTCCGGGTTGTCTGCTAGGGCCTCTGGATGAATAAGGCGCTGGCACATCCTCTGCTCGGCCTGCGCCGTTTTTGCATCGGCCGGCATGCGCTCCCAGATGGCCCTCAGCAGCTTTTTGAAATAGTCGAGGGTGTCGTTGAGCGCTTTATCGCCGTAGGGCTTCATGGCCCACGGCGAGCTGTATTCGGAGTGGCCAAAGTAGTCATTCTCACGAATTGCATCCACCTCCGCTTGCGGAAGCGCGACAAACTTCCCACTCTCCACAAGGCCAACATACGTCGCCAACACGAGCTCGAGCGGGAAAGAGTCTAGTTCATCGTTGAGAAAAGTCCAATAGTCAACGTAGCTCGCCAGGTTGGTGTCCATGTCGAATACGACCCCAAGCCGATCCTCGGTCCAAGTCCTCATGTACAGCAGCAGGTATCGTGTCTCCTCGTACATTTCGTAGGTCGACTGGAGATGCTCGGCCATATCTTGCGGCGACGCCAGCCCCTCAAGAAAGTATGAGAAGGCGAGGCCATCGGCTGGCATCTGCGCGCGGTGCAGGAACTCAACCACATCCGGCGTCAGGACCTCTTGCAGGTAGGCCAGGTTCCCCACCTCGGCCTCGACGCCCTCCCAGTGCTCCCACCACGTTGTCGTCGGGCGGGCCGGGATCTCTTTGGGCTCGACGTCGCGGTGCCGTCCAGCCCAGCCCAACTCGACGACGTGATTGTGCAAGTAGACGCAGCGGTCGACATCGAGGCGCTCCTGGGGCACGTTGGACTCCGCCATGTCCCTGTACGGGTGCCAATTCTTTGCTGCTTGTGGCCTGGGCGTGATTCCCGACTGGTCATCCGAGTCGATCATGAATTCAATTAGCGTCACATAGCGAGCGCAGCCATGGTCGAGGGCGATAGCGGAGAGCTTGATGGCGACGAGGAGCAGGAGGCCGAGCACAGCGTCGCGGACGCCGGCCCAGTTGGCGGCGCGCGAATTAGGCTTCATCCTCGCACGCATCATGGATGGAAGTCGGTCGATCGCGGTCGCGTATGTACAACATGTCAAGGCAGCAGTCGATCCATGGCCGGGGTCGCGTCAAGGCGTCGCGAGTCGCGAGATGTGGACCTCCGGCCCCTGAGGGCGTATGTAACGAAGCTCGCGAAGCTTTCGGCTAGCGACTAGACGCCCCGGGTAGGGCGGCTTTGCTCCACCTTTGCACTATATACTTGCGGGCCTGACCATCTCGCCTTGCTCCCCTGAACTCTGCAATACAATATAATATAGAAAAAAGGGCGTGCGCCCTTCTTGACATGACATTTGCACACCGCTCGCCTCTACAATATCCACAAACTCTACCAGTAAAGGGGTATACGGTGGACAAGATGAACAGTAGAACCACCAAACATGAGAATGAGACAACGAAACCACCAGAACGCCGAAAAAAGTGCGAGCAGCCAGTCTGCCTACCTACGCAGCAACCTTCACCAACTCTTCCACTCGTTCATACAACTCCGCCGGGTCATCAAACACCACCCACGCCTCTCTCGGCACTCCTTCAAAAGCGCGCTCGAACCGCTCCGGCGCGTTCTTCGTCGCCTCATTCATTTCCGCCACGCCCGTTACCCTTCGAATGAAGATAACGCCAATCCAGCCCGGAAACGCGCGGTACATGTCGCCGTAGGCCTCCGGATCGCTCTGCGTGCTATCGCCAATGCACAGGAACCTGCGCTTCGGGAAGTGCGCTTGAATAGTGCGCATGCGCGTAGTCTTGTATTTGCGCGTCCCAGCAGTCAGCGACGTCAAGAAGCCGGCCAGGTCCATCCAGCTCGCCTCGCGCAGCAGCAACTCTCCAGACGGGAAATGCGCGTCGCGGAAGTCGCGCAGGAAGGGGTAGAGGTTGTAGGGGCTGGCGCTGAGGTACCAGAACGGCGGCTTCCCGAGCATCTTGTTGATGTGCGCGTACAGTTGCGGCATCCCCGCGACGGCTGTCGGCGCGTCCACGAACGTGCTGCGCAGGATCCCCAGCGGCGACGGCGTCTGCGTTATCTTGATCGTGTCGTCGATGTCTGAGAGGACGGCCCAGCCAGTTGGCTCCGCAAACGTCGTCGTCATGGGGTGCGTGTGCAGGTTGACAGCCGTGCTAGTGATGGTGTCCCCGTCGACATGATTTCCCTTGAGCGTGATGTCGTTGGTGCTGACGCCGCTGCGCCCACTGGGACCTAGCTTCTCCGTTTGTGTGCCATCGATGCTGATGTCGACTGTGTGCGCGGGCAGGATCGCGTCGATCCATGGCTCCAGCCGCTTTGCTATCGTTGTTTCCGCCTCGTCGCCTTTCCCTACACCCACCTTCTCCGCGACGTCCGCCACCAGCTTGCTGTAGTCACGTCCGCTGTTCTTGATGAAATATGCCGCGACGAACTTGGCTTGCCAGACATTATTACCGGTTGCGCCAGGCGGGCGATGCGCGGTGTTGTCCTGCAGCCAAAGATTCGTTGTCTCCGGGTCGGCGGCATGTGCGAAGGGGTTGCGCGCGCCGAGGTACGATGTCAGGTTGTCGATGAGCGAAATGTCTTGCAGCCGAGAAGGGAGTCGAGGCATGGCGGCTTCGAAGTCGGGGAATTTTGCGAGAGTCCTTGCCTCCCGCTCGTCTTCCGTCTCTTCCATATGAGCGGCAGCCTTCCAGGAATCATCCATTATGACGTTGAGTCGGTCCATGGTTGGCGGCCTTGGTGAGCGAACGGAAGGCTCAGTCAGATGCAAAGGGTCTTAGTTGTAGGGAGGTCAGATGGGAGAGGAGGGCGTTGAGTTTTGGAGTCGTTGCGAACGGCGGAGGCGCCATGGTGGCTGGTTAGGGGCAGCGCAAGCGCTGTGATCGTCCTTGCAGGAAGCCTGATACCGCGTCGATGAGGCTGGCGTCGCGGAGCGTGACGGCCAGCGTCTTGGCTGACACAACTCCGCGTCAAGTGACGGCCGATCTAACGTTTCACCCCTGCCTGACCCGGAGACGGCGCCACCCATTTGACTCGATCACCTGCTTTCCGCCTTGAATACTCAAATCCATCTATTGCCACCGCCTTTAACCGTAGGCGAGCTTCCTCATCTAGCTGTATGACGTCTCTTGGACTCTTGGCCTGACAGTCATGCTGCCAGCTTCCACAAACATTATCATGTTGCATTCCCGACGCCGTGGTTGTCGCGAGTAGGCGACTGGATATTAGGTTGAATATGGGCTGGAGTGCCATGGTACCAAAAGGTACGCGTTTGTGCGTCGTACACCAAGCCTTTATATCAAATGCCCCTTTGTGGGTAGGGCTGTCGGGCTCTGGTGTTCTCCTGTGCTGAAATGCTGACGAGATGACCATCATGGCACGGAGTAAGGTCAAGTGTCGTTCTGGCGTACAAGTTATGGCCTCCTGCTTACTTTTGTCAGCTGCCAGTTTTATTGTGATATTAGCCAGGAAATAGGGTTTATGTTGGCCGTTCTCGCGCTTGCTGTCGCAGCTGACGCGTTGAAGAAAGGGCTTGCTAAGAGTACGCGCGGTTTTGGAGATCAGGAGGGAAGGTTGGTCCAAGTTGGTTGCGGGATCGCAGAACAAGGAAAAGGATGTGCGAGTGTAAGCCGGCCAACTAGTCGAGGGACTCTTGTAGGCGAGGTCCAGTGAATAACGTTCGTCACCGTAAAGCGAGATTCACCATGAAGCGAGATGGTGATACCTGTACGGAGTAGAAAAAGAGACCCAGTTAGGCGTGTAGAGTCTGTGTCTGCTTTAAGACCTTTTCACCCATATCCAGGACATGGGCTAGGAGCTGGGCAAGGAGTACTCCGTAGGGACTGCTTGTATCATCCTCTGTCTCACTAGACGGTGGATCTCGGTTCGCGGTGACGGACGTTAAACATGCATGATTGAGCGATGGAGATTGAAACAGATAATCGTTTATGCCTGATACTGCTGACCGTCGTCTGGTTCGGAGTGACAAAATGCGGGGAAGGAAATCGTACAGTGACTTCCAACCAGTGCCACACAAATTGCTTTTTCTTCATTATTTTCAAAGAGTGATAGAGTAGATTGTCTTGCCATTTTAGAATCGACATCGTTAAAGGCCTCCCGAGCAATGAGACTGACGATGTGTTTACGTCAATACAAATAGGTATGTACAGAAGCTGCAACGCCCATTTAACTGCCCAAGTTTAAAGATGGTTTCAACGGAACATATCATGAACAACTTTACGCCAAATAGATAGGCTTTTTGAAAGATTTACTGGTTTCCTTCAGGAAGTCCCACGCGCTTTTGTTGACTCTAGCCAAAGCGACGCGCTCCGCGATGTCATTTCCAGTGAATTTGACCACCAGGCAAGAGACGAATTCCGGATCACAGTCTGATTCGGACGCGTTGCTGTTGGTGGATCCCGGGAAAAAACTTCCATGGTAATTCCATAATAAAATGGCAACAAAATGAAGCTTGTAGAAGTCAACTTCTTGTTTCCGACTGGGTTCGCAGTACATCATTCCGTGCTTTGTAAGTTTGTATTCTTTGAGTCGAAGCGATGTATCGTAGCCGAACGACTCATACCAGTGGAAATATCGTGCTGATGAAACTTCAGCATGGAATTGTAATAGGCCGTATTCCCACGACTTCGCAAGGCTTGGGGGATACATTTCACCGTTCCTTGGAAAGGGCCTGTGTCTTCGTGGTTCTTCCGTGCTCGCTAGTTGGAAATCATTGACAAGATTTGTCAACTTATAACAAATTATTGACGCTTTAAGACCAATCTCTCCAGGCCAGTCGATCGGAGACTGCCACCCAATCCACGACCAGCTTGGAAGTTGAAGACGTGCATTTAGACGCTGGCTCGGATCAATGAGCTGCCGCCTAGAAGCTCCGGGTTGCGGACACCACAGCAGAGCCAAACTCAGCTCAGCTCCAGGGAGCCCAAAAGCAAATCCCCAATCCATACGGGCAGAGAGAAATGACAAAAGACCCGCAAAAGCATTCAGAAGGTCTGATTCATACGTTAACTGGCGCGTCGTATACACGCGAACAAGATTGGCGTAAGTATAAACCCCTGCCCCGAGCAATTGTGTCTCCGTGTTCGTAGCCAGTTCGTCATGACTTGCTTGTTCAAGACGGCGAAGCGGCCTAACAGGCATATGCTTTTGATAACCATACGGACCTTTAGGCACTTCTGACACCGCTTGCTCCCGGCATTCACACATGACATGGGTTTCTGTGAATATGACGCACCTCCGAGACAGATGCATCTCTTGAAATGTCCAGCCACGTCTTTGGTATACGGTGTCATTGAGTACGATCTCGCGGTGGGGTGATGTTACTATAGAAAAGGTCTCTCCGTCAATAAAGCTGAGTAGTGGTGGTCTTATCGTGCGGCGTATCCCTGGCAAAGAGTCATCACTGTGCCTAACTGAGGCCGCGACGATTGTGAAAACGGATACTGCGAAGACGACGTCCATCCGATGGATATAATAGTGTTTGTGCTCATTGTCATCTTGAACGATACTGAGCCGATCGACCCATAGATAGCGTTCACCCACCGCCCGAACGAATTCCATTGCATCCTTGATGACGGTAGGTATTTTGGCAGACTCGCCTAAAGCGTTAGTTTGCTTCAGCTCTTCGAATGACGCTCTTGTTGTTTGGAGCATGGACGAGTCGTCGTAAGAATGTGAACCCCAGACGTAGCTCAAGGCCACATACCGAAAGGAAGAATCGGCGTTTATGATTTTCCTCTCAAAAACGTCGATTAGAAGAAGTTTAAGATCTTGTGCGTTTTTAGTGGCCAATTTGCCGCAAGTGGTGTGGGTTTTTTCACACTTCGATAACCATCGTTTGATACTTCTTGCATCAACAACTGACCCATCATCCATGATGTTCAAATCGCCAGTTTTGACATACTTGGGATAGTGTTGAGCTGGGAGCACACCAGTGACTGCACCCATGCACGCAGAGGAGACACTGACATAATGTCCGCTACGAGGCAACAGAAACAGACAGGATGGCTTGCTGAACCTCGAGAAGAACTCAGATAGGTATCGGCAGAAAGGGCAATTCTCACTTGAGGGAAGACAAGGTATATCTCTCTGGTGGACAACAGGGTTGGGAAAACCATCCGGGAACACGATTGTAGCTGCGTCAACATCCAACTCTTTCATCGACCTGGTTTCCTGGGGTAGAGAGTGCAGAAATTGGCATGCTGTGCAAAGCCAGCTAGATTCCGTGTGGTAGGTCCCCGATGGCATGGCGGATGAACCAAGGCACAATGAAGTCGGAGGATCAAGGACGCGGGGTACAAGACCATCAGCCAAGCAGACCCGTGTATTCCACTCCTGGTCATTGATGTTTCACGGGTCGCTGCCCGTGGACCAGAAGAGCGGCACAGCGGCAGGGTGATGGAAAAGAGGTGAAGAGGAAGCTGCGGCAGAACATCGGATCAATGTGGTCATAGCTTCCGCCGCTCCAAGGCCCGTTGACATCAACACCAACTCCAAGACCAAACCCACATCTACACTTTTCCACCAGCCCACCATGTCCGGAGGCTGGAACACAATCGAATCCGACGCGGTTTGTGCGCCACCTGTCCGCTGCCTTCCGCGTGCGCCGCCGCTAACCCTCGCGCCTCCAGGGCGTCTTCACGTACCTGCTGCAGAACCTCGGCACCAAGGACGTGCAGTTTGAGGAGCTGGTGTCGCTAGACGCCGACTCGCTGCGGCAGCTGAGGTGCGTTTCTCTCTGAGAAAGCAAAGTCCAGCTCGCGAGTACAGCCGCTGACTGCCCGCCTTCCCACAGCCCCGTCCACGGCGTTATCTTCCTGTTCAAGTATCCCACCGACGACAAGTCGGCCGCCGCGCAACGGGACGGCACCCTCGACCACGATGCCGCCGAGAACATGTTCTTCGCGGCGCAGACGATCCAGAACGCGTGCGGCACGCAGGCGCTGCTGTCGGTGCTGCTGAACAAGGACGGCGAGATCGACATTGGGCCGCAGCTGCGCGACTTTAAGGAATTTACGACGGCATTTCCGGCGGATGTAAGTTCTTTTTTCCTGGTTGTTATTTAAACATCTGGTGTGATACTGACCTCGTGTAGCTCCGCGGCGAAGCCCTCTCCAACTCGGACCTCATCCGCGAGACGCACAACTCGTTTGCGCGGTCGTCGCCATTTGTCGACGAGACGCAGCGGACGGCGACGGGCGACGACGACGTGTACCACTTCATTGCGTACACGCCCATCAACGGAAAACTCTACGAGCTGGACGGGCTGCAGCCGGCGCCCATCTCGCACGGGACGTGCACGGCGGCCGAGTTCCCCGAAAAGGTCATCCCGGTGCTGCAGCGGCGGATTGCGCGCTACCCGGCCACGGAGATCCGCTTCAACCTGCTGGCCATGGTGCGCGACCTGCGGGTGCGGGCGCGCGAGATTGGCGACGCTGAGGCGGAGCTGCGCGAGGAGCAGAAGCGCGCCGCGTGGCGCTGGGAGAATGCGCTGCGGCGGCACAACTTTGTGGGCTTTGTCGGGGAGCTGATGAAGGGGGTTGTGGCGCAGAAGCTGCGGGATGGGTCGTATGAGCGGTGGGTGGAGGAGGCCAAGGGCAAGACGCGGGCGCGGGTCGAGGAGCGCGCCAAGAGGGGCATTGCGGCTGATGAGACGGATGTTTAATATGGAGTACATGCTGTATGCGCTGAGGGGGCGCTAGAACAGCGGATACGGCTTATTGGCCTGTGGACAGAACACAGTCCGCGTTCTCAACGGGGTTTAATGGCATGACTGTGATCTTCAAGCCAAACGAGAGCATAGCAGTCGGAATGCACTCATGGGCTCCAACGCTCCAACCCTTAGCCTAAATCAGAGACGAATGCAGTAATGTGGCGGGTGTATATGTAGTACGCCGCACGCTCAACAGCCCAGCAGCCCCCTTGGCGCGGACCTCCGAATACAGCAACAAACCGCACCTCTACTAGGTACTGTACATAGAGCAGGTGAGTACCCACACACCTACGTTGTAGGTAGGTGGAATCATGCAGGCGGTCTCATCTCTCGTCTCCATACGTCGCAGTAGAAAATGACGCACACCAGACACTCGGCCAGAAGCGCCTCAGACGGCGCACGGGCCCGTCGCGGCGGGAATGACGCAGCGGAGGAGATTAAGCCAGCGCTAGCCACGCACGGGCTGGCGGGCGCGTGGCGCTGGGGGGAGAGGGAGGGAGAGACCAGCCAGTCAGCCAGACGGCCAGTTAGGCAGTCTCGGGTGCGGAGGAATTGTGCGGTTGTTTGACGGATGGTGATGGTGTGGTGGTGGTGAGAGCATCGACGCCCTCCCTCCCTGCGGAGATCCGTCCGAAGGAGGCCGAGCGGGAGCTAGCTAGCCAAACGGCCGGCGCGGGGGGAAGGAGGAAGCAGGAATTCAGGCGCGAAGTCTGCCGGCCGGTCCCACTCGCATATGCAGAAAGCACAAAAAGCGGTGGCTGGGCTGCAGCAGAAAAAAACAAACACCGCGACGGAAGCGCCCACGCCGGCGAACAGGAACGGGGACAGGGTCTCGTCGCAGAGCGTCAGGACAACGGCGACGGCAGCGTTCCTGGTTTGCGGGTTAACCTTACCTAGGTGGTCGTTGCTGTGCCAATCGCGGGCTTGTCTTCGTTGGCGTGCGGCGATTGGGCGCCCGAGCTCCTCACCGATAGTGTATACCCCAGCCATCCAGCCATCCGGTTGTAGGTATCTTGTCGCGTTGCGCGCCTGCTAGCTGAACTGCTTGACTAACGACCCGTCTGGTGCAGTTGCGCTGCTGCTGCTTCTTCGACTTCTTCTTCTTCTTCTTCTTCTCTTCGTTGGGTTTGGCGGACCTGTACATCTGGTTTACTCTTCTCCGCTTGCATACCTACCTACCTATAATTATATCCACCTACCTATCCTATCCACCATCACCATTGCCATACCACCGTCATGGCGTCCTCGCTCCTCTCCACCGACGCCAAAAAGCCCGCCTTCGCCATCTACGAAGACCCCGTCTCGGACAGCGACATGTCGTCGCTGCACCACGAGCACGACCACGACCACGACATCGACATCGACATTGACAACTACATGGACCTGGCGCCGCACCGCAGCAGCATCATCATCGCCTCGCCGCCCTCGCCCTCCAGGTTCTCCGGCGACACGGGCACCTACAGCAGCGCGCGCTCGCCCCGCCAACGCCGCCGCAGACTCTCGACCCACACGCTACACTCGTCCGTGTCTGACCTCCCTCCCTCGGACTTCCAATTCCGCTCCGGCTCCGCCGCCGTTTCCCGCTCCCATAGCCCGTACGCCCCAGCCCCCAAGCAGTCCCGCTCATCCAAAAGCGGCGGCTACCGCCCCGGCCTCTTCACCTTCGACAGCTTCGCCTCGTCCTCGAAGCACGGGGGAATTAGCGGGCAGGGCTCGGTGCGGTCCGCACGGGACGAGCTGGACGTGCCTCCAGAAACTACCTCGACGCAGCGCCCCACGACGCGCAACAGCACGCCCAGCCGCGGCAAAGAGAACTATCCCCTCGTGCTGCTGCACGCAACGCTGCTGCCGGCGTCCCCGCCTTTTCCTCTGCACGTCATGCAGCGCGTCCTGCCCGAGCACGTGCTGCGCAACTGGCGGGTGCTGGAGGCCCGGCTGGCGGATCCCCAGCTTATGGCCCGCGGGCTGCTGATTGCCCATCCGAGGGATGAGTATGAGTTGCTGGAGGAGCGGCTGTTGGAAGCGCTGGATCTGCGCGCGCCGAGGATTCTGAAGTGCGGGCATTTTAGGTGTGAGGACAGCGATGATGACGACGAGGAAGACGGCTACAGCTACGAAAATGACAACGACGCGCTGGACCCGTCGGCCTGCGCGCACCAGCGCCAGCACCAGCACCCCCGCCGCGCGCACTCCCGCCAAGACAGCGCGGTATCGACCTCACCCCTCTGCACCGACGACTCCCCGTCCAACGCCGCCCACGGCGACGACTCCGAAGGCCCCCCCTGCTCGCACTGCCACCTCCCAGTCAAGCACGCCAACCAAGGCGCGGGCAGCGGGCCCCACCACCGCTGGGACATCCGCGTCTTTGCGGCGAACGGGCTGATGCGCGCGGGGGCGTGGGCGGCCGCTTGGTCCGAGATGGAGCGTGTGGATGTGGAGGTCGTGCCGTGGATTTCTGAGGAGCTGAGGAGCGCGATGGAGAAAGCTGTGCGTGGGGAGGAGGAGCAGGAGAGGGCGCGGAACGCGGCACGGGAAGACGCGCAGCGGGCGCAAGAGCTTGAGGACGCAAAGGAGGCAGCGCGAGCTGAAGCCTCAGCGCAGGCTCAGGCGCAGGCCCAAGCCGCCGCAGACGAAGCAGCGCAGCAAGCCTCGCAGGCGCTCCAAGAAGCGCACGCAGCCCACGAAGAAGCGCTCGCGCAAGCCGCGCACGGGCGCGCCACGGCCGTCGAGCACGCCCGCCTCGACGCGGCCAAGGCCCTCGCGGCCGCGCGACAGGCCCACGGTGCCGCCCTGTCCACTGCCCACGCCGAGGCGTCTGCGGCCTTGCACCGCGCGGCACAGGACTATGCGGCATTGCACGCGCAGGCCGAGGTGCAGAAGCAAGACCTCCGGCATGCGGTGGACGAGGCGGAACGCAGAGTCTACGACGCGGAATGCCGTGTCTGTGAGGCTGAACACAGGGCTGACGAAGACCGCGACACGCTCCTGCGCATGGCGGCCGAGGAGCGGGAAGAACTGACCCGCTTAGCAGCCGAGCAGGCCGCGGCCGCAGAGCACGAGAAGCTGGCGCTCATCGGGTCGGCGGCCGTTGCGGCCGTCGCGGCACGCAAGCACGCGGCTGACGAGCTGGCTGCCGAGCGCAAACGACATGCGGGGGAGGTGAGGGCCGCGGAGGCACGGCAAAGACGCCTGCAGAGGGAGCGGGAGCGGGAGAGGCAGACGCGCAGGTGGCTGCGCGGCGTGGCCACCGATGCCGCGACTGTGCTAGTCCTGCTGCTGAGCGTGGTCGTGGTGTTTTTGGCGTCCCGGCCGGGGCTGTGGGCGAGGCCTACGCATGCGAGTGTCGACGTCGATGTCGTCGCGCCGGCGCCGGCGTTGCGCATCTCGATCTCGCCGTCGGAGCTGGGCGGGTTTGCCACTGCTCGTGCTTCTGTGGCGCCGCCGGCGTTTGAGACGCAAGAGGCGCTGGCGCTGGTGCCGTCGACTACGGCTGTGCTTGCGACTGCGTCGCCTTTGTCTTCGGTGCAAGTCGTTTTCTCCTCCTCCGCCACCACCGCCACTGCCGCACCACCGCTCGCGACGCCCTCATCCTCGCCCTCGGGGCAGCAACACCAACAAGAACAACAACACGAAGACCAAGCAACCAGCTCGACCGACCAAACATCCGCCTTCGCCTTCACATTCACCTACCCCACCACCCCCGCCTCGGCCGCCGCACCCAACACCGTCATGGACATAGACACAGACACGCCCATGGAGGTCGATGTCGATGTCGACGCGCCCGCCCACCCCGCAGTAATACCCGACACGCACCCCTCGCCGCACGAGCCGCTCGCGCCGGCGCCAGCGGCGGTGCTCCTGGCCGCGGCGCCTATGGAGGTGCTGCTGCCTGTGTGCGTGGCTGAGGGAGAGGGAGAGGGAGAGGGGACGCAGACTTGCCCGCGCACGCGCGCGGCGTCGGTGGCGGCGTCGGGAGTAAAGGATGATGCGCGTGTCGCGGACCATGAGGCTGCGGCTATTGTTAGGGTGGGGGCAGTGCTGGCTGCTGATGTCGTGGAAGAGAGTGCTGCTGCCGAGGAAGTGCAAGCGGCTGCGCCTGCGGAGCTGGTCGTGCTGAGTGAGAGGGTGAGGGAGAGGGAGACGTGTCCTGCCCCTGCCCCTGCTGATTTGGTGGAAGCTGTGGTTGGTGAGGAGAAGGTTGTGCAGGAGGGTCAAGAGGTGTAGATGCCTCGTCTCACTCATGTGTTCTAGTTTTCTCTTTCTCACTTTTCGGTTTTGGTTTTATCATTTTGTACCTCCTTGGCTTTTGGCGTTCGGCTCAGCGGCATGGATGGCTTGGTTTGGCATGGCATGGCATGGCATGGCGACGTGTTTGGTATGGATGGGTGGGTGGGTTGGTTTGGGATGGGACTGTATGGTATGGCATGGGATGGGACTGTATGGTATGGATGGCGGGGTGTATATGGATAAGGGTGAGGGTGTAATGGTATTGGCGGCAGGAGGCAGCTTGTATAGGTATTATTTGAGTTGTTACCTAGCTTGAGATTTGTGGATTTGGATGTCCATATATGTGGATTTATTTGAGCCCATGAGTGAGTGCATTTCAACTGCTATGCTCTCATGTGGCTTGAAGGTCACAGGCATGCATCTCGCTAGGTACGGTAGACGGTGTCTTTCACGCCTTCACGTTCCCCCTCAAACGATCGCCGCGCACAACTCCACTCTTCTCCAGCACGCAGATCGCGAGACGACTCATTAGTCAGCGGCCAGACACCCCACCGCGCGCTTTCGTCCGGAGCAGCATCACGGCTATAAAACAAACAAACCTAAGCTGAGCAAGCTCGCAACAGGACTTCCTACAAAAAACCAGAAGATCTCTCATCGACTACCTACCCACCGTCTCGATCCTCTTCCCAAAACACCAAGTCCGCTGCCGCCCGCAAACCCCACCAACCCCCACCATCAACATGACCAGCATCCCAGCAACGTACCACGCGTACCGACGCACCACAGGCCCTTCACCCCAAACCATCGAGCGCGTAACCGAGCCGACGCCCACGCAGCTCGCCCCCACCGCCGTGCTAATCCGCATCCGCGCCGTGGCGCTCAACTACCGCGACGTCGCGATGCTGCACGGCGCGTACCCGGTGCCGGTGATTGAGGGGGGCGTGCCGGCGTCGGACTGCGCGGGCGAGGTGGTCAAGGTCGGGGCCGGCGTGACGGCTGTCAAGGTCGGGGATCGCGTCGCGCCCATCTTTGATCTGAATGCTGTTGAGGGCAGCAAGGAGCCGAATCCCCGCGCGCTGGGCGGTGATGTCGATGGCGTGTTGAGGCAGTTTGCTGTCTTTGAAGAGAAGACGCTGGCGCCGCTGCCGGCGTATTTGTCGTGGGAGGAGGTGCGTTGGTGCTTTTGCTTGTTTGTTTGTTTGTTTCTGGGGGAGTGGGGCGTGCTGATTTGTGTGATGGCTGCGTAGGCTTCGACGGTTACGTGCGCGGGCGTGACGGCGTGGAACGCGCTGAACCTGCCTCACAGCGCAAACAAGGGCACCACGGCGCTCTTGCAAGGTCAGTCCTCTCTCCCACAGTTTGTGAATACATATTGACCATCCCCAGGCACTGGCGGCGTCAGCTCGTTCGCGCTGCTCCTCTGCCTTGCAGCCAACATCACGCCGGTGCTCACGTCTTCCTCGGACGCGAAGCTGGATGCCGCACGCGCGCTGGCAGGCGACCGGCCCATGCACACCGTCAACTACAAGACGCACGCGGCGTGGGGCGGCGAAGTGCAGCGCCTGACACAGAACCGCGGCGCCGACGTCGTGCTCGAGAACGGCGGCCCGGCCACCATCGAGCAGTCGCTGGCCGCGCTCGCGCGCCGCGGCACCATCTCCCTGATCGGTTTCTTGGGCGGCATGGCGCCGGATGCGCCCGAGCCGAAGGTGCTGCTGCCGCTGCTGGTCAAGTCCGGCCGCTTGCAGAGTATTTATGTCGGCTCCTGGCGGGATCAGGTTGCGCTGGGGCGGTTTTTGGAGGAGCACCATGTCAAGCTGGATAAGATTATCGACGGTGTGTTTGAGTTTGATGAGGCGGAGAAGGCGTTTGAGCGGTTGTGGTCGGGGAAGCACCAGGGCAAGATCGTCATCAGGGTTTAGTGTCAGTGAAGTGATGTTACTGCATGCGCAGATATTATAAGTATCCTGTTCGCTCACAACTTAACAACGGCTGTAGGTGTGGGCGGCTTCAATGACTACTTACTGGAAGTGAACTGGCGCATCTTGGTAGGTAGACAGTGGTAGATTTGTCTTGTACCTGCGGAGACGGGCGAAAGGATTCTCGTGCTGACACCGGCTCAGGTCGTCGCGTGGTGTAGACAGCTCCAATTCGGTCAGGGATCAATCGTCGTTGCTGTTGTAGAGGAGTGTTGTCACAAGACAGAGGCCCGCGGCGCCTGTCTTGAGCCTGATGGATGGGACCATTGACTCCGGAAGAAAGATGCGACGGGTCGGCGATGTGGACGGTGCGCAAAGTGCAGATAGATGGCCATACGGTCGTCAGTGGGAGAAACGGCAAGCTGTGTGGTATCTACGCGCTGCTTCCGTCGCCGTTCTCACCTATGCCATACCCGAACCCAGCAGGCCGAGCTCGTGCAACAACTCCTACGTGGTGCGGTCGAGGACGTGGTTTCCCGGCTTGCTACCTACAGGCCTCACTTCGCGTTCGCCTTGACAACCTCTTGTCGCTCGGTCGCCTGCGAGGTTGTCAGCTGTGTCGCTCGCCTGCTGTCTCCCACCTAGCTGTGAGGCCTGAGAGGCCTGCTGCTACTTGCGGCTCTCTGCGATTGTCGGCTCCGCACGAGAGTGTACCGGCAACGTATCTCTGTGACCTGTCGACGAGCGGGTTATCGTCGTCTACGCCACGCGACTGGGTGGTGGCCATGGACACGGCTTACATTGCTGCCTCGTACCGCATACTCGAACCCATCCTCCAAATACTCACTGATGCGCCGGGCCACCGACACGGCTTACGGATCCGTACATCGCCGCGTCATACCGCATACCCGAACGCATCCTCCAAAGACTCACTGATGCGCCAACGGCCGAGCCCCTGCACTTGCTTCTGATCAAGACAACCTTCGGAGTTAATGTCAAGCAATAAGGCAGGAAAGAGGGCTGATTGTCGACCAACCAACGCGTCTCCAGGATGTATCACGATCGCTTACATACCAGCAGCCCGCCGCGTAGGCGCTACAAACAACGGGCTACGCTACACCAAGCTGCGCCGGAGTCAATACCCGGTTCGGTCGGGAAGCAGTGGTTGTTCTGGAGCAGTGTGTTTTCTGTGGTGGGTGAGGGTGCGTGGAGCCATGGCATGTCATGCCCGGCTTTCCCGGTTGGGCGCGCCTTCCACTGGTAACTACCTTGCACACCGGTACCCTTCACCTTTCACGCAATCCTTCGCGCCGGCTTCTTGACTTCTTCACGTTGACGTCTTCCGTTCTTCGTCCACGTATCTCTTCCACACGGCTATCTAAGCACGCCTTGTCGCTCGACTTTTGCGCTCTCGTCCGTCCTTCCTTTTCTCCACGACGGCACACGGCTTCTTCAATCTTTCCACGGTTGCTTCTTCCGTCGTACTACCACAATCGCTTCTGCGATTCAGGTACTCTTCATGCTGCTCTTCCATCCTTGTTCCACGGATGGTTCGATTTACCTTCTACGGTGATTCTTTCGTCTTCGTTCTGCGCCGGCCTCTTCGACCTTCGTTCCACGGTCGCTTCTTCGATTTACCTTCCACGCTGGCTTCTTCGGTCTTCGTTCTACGTTTGCTTCGACTTCGGCTTTTGTTTCCGCGCTGGCCTCCACGTCCCATTCCAAGGTTGCTACGTCTGTTCCCTTCCACTCTGGCTTCTTTTTCCTTCAAGGTGCCCCTCCCGCACAGCTATATAAACCTTCCTCATCCCCCGACTTTCTCGCTCTCAACCATCTTCCCTTTTTTTCTTTCCACACTGACTACTTTCTCTTCCACGCTGCCTTCTCCCTGTCTCTCCCATCCCCCTCCCCCTCTTCCACGTGGCTACATTTTCGTTCAATGGTAGCTTCTTCCGTTTCCCTTCTATGGCGGCTTCTTTTCCCTTCCACGCTGGCTTCTTCTCCTTCCACGTGTCCCTCCTACACGACTATATAATCCCACCCCCCCGCCCAACAATCTCTCTCCCATCCATCCTTCCTTCATCCACCTTTTACTCTGTCCATCTTTCACTATCAACCCTTCGTCCACCCTTCTCGTCCTCCACCCTTCTCGTCCTCCACCCTTCTCGTCCTCTACCCTTCTCGTCCTCCACCCTTCTCGTCCTCCTTCCTCCTTCATCCATCCACCCATCCTTCTTCCATCTATCCTTCTTCCATCTACCCTTCTTCCATCCACCTTCCCTTCGTCCACACCTCCTTCATCCACACCTTCTTCATCCACAACCCCACACCACCCCCTGCTAAAAGCCTGGCTACTAGATTGCTCTTACGTCCACGTCGTGCCAGGCGGGAATTTCGCGGGTCGCAAGACTCCGCGATGCTAAAATGAGCATATCCTTTCGGAGTGGATCCTTCGTTAGCAAAGACGCAGGGCTTCGGTTCAACCGAAGCCTGGGCGTAGCACAGCCCGGAGCGTAACCTCCGTTATCAATCTAGCCTGGCTATTTGCTCACACCTCCACGTGGTGCCAGGCGGGAACTTCACGGGTCGCAAGACGCCGTGATGCCAAGATGAGCAGGCTCCCTAGCGCTGAACAAAGAGCGGCGACGCCAACCCACGGCGCTAGGGCAGCCGTAGCACGCCACTACTAAATGGCGAACCCCTCCCCCGGAGTACGGCGGTCTCTTCGATAGCAAAACCCGCCGGAGTAGAGTCCTCCGTCATCAAAATCTTTTGGGAGTAGAGTCCTCCATGACCTCGGGTCTTTGACCTCGGTCTAATCAAAACCATTCGGAGTGGATCCTTCGTTAGCAAGCTGCGTAGCCCGGAGCGAAATCTCCGTTATCAACTACGCCCGGCGAAAAGCTCACACGTCCCCGTCGTGCCGGGTGGGAACTTCTCGGATCGCAAGATTCGAGATGCCAAGATGAGCTACCCTTTCTTTGTCGTGACTTTGTGTCCTGTGGTTTTGGATGGCGAACGAAGGCGGCGGTTGCACGGTCGGCTGTCGCATGTTGGTGGTGGATGGCACGTTGGCGCGGTGGAGGTTCCGTGGCGGGCGGACGGGCATTCTGAACAGGTGTCTACGTATGTATGTAGGCTGTAGAAGCAAACAACGAGCCGAATTCTTTGCATCTGTCAAACATCAAACACGCTTGTCCCTATCAAAGAAGACCAAACACACACGCACACCCTCTCTTTCTCGCCCTTTCAACCCTCCTTAATGAACGTGACCTCATGCAAACAACGAACGCGTGTCTCCACACGAAACACCATGCTACACTGACTCACGCACTGCCTCCGCGGCCTTGCTACATACCTGCCTACGCCGTCAATGTTCCAGCCTGGCATGGCATCTCGCATTCCCTCCCCAGCCAGCTCACTCCAGCATAAGAAAGCACTGAGCGACCGTGCGAGACAAAGCTGTTGAATAACCAAGCAAGGACACACACTTCCTTTGCCGCGGACCGCGCCTTAGTGCACCCTCTTCTGCACACCTCCACGCGCTTCACTACCGCCTAGTCGGCTCAAAGGCGATGTCGATGCTAGATCAGATGCGCCCTTTGCTATTTTGCTGCGATGACTTTTTCGCACTGCTCAGCGATGCGGTTTCAGTGATATGTATAAACAATACAGCCGCATGTCTTGCAGTTTTTCACCTCTGGTAAGTCAGACGTGAAAGACTACATGAGAGGTGGGCAAGGAAGCCGTTGGGCTCCGCTTCGTTGCTACCTACTGTACGTACGTATGGGGTGGACCTGTGCGCAAGGTGTTGTATGTATAGTATATACAGTATATACAGTGCGCATGTACAAACAAAACAGATATATATATAATACAGAGAGAGGCTGCAGACGCTAGCCCGCGCAGCCGCAGCAACCAACCAACCCCCCAAGAAAAAGGGAGGCACTCCAGCCCCCTCGGACCAAGTACCCAAACGCCACAACAGCGGGCCATTACGCCCAATTCCATTCCCAGCCAAACACCATAAACCCCCATCATCATCATCATCATGATCAGCCACATATACATCATCAAGCCATAGAAAAGCGGCTTCCATCGCTCTTTTGTTTCAAGCTGACGTCGCGCTCGCTGTCGTCGTCGTCGGCCAGCATGCTCTTGAACGTCAACTGCGAGCCGAACGGATCCGTGCCGACGCGCACCATGGTGCCCACGAAGCTGTCCGAGGGATGGCAGAGCTCGAAAGCGCCGCTGCGCAGGTCGCGGGGCACGGGGTTCTGCTTCGGCGACGAGAGCAGCGAGTCAGCTGGGGTGCCGCCGAAGCAGTGGCGGAAGAGCGGGCGGAGAGTCTGTATGTGTGTGCGTGTTAGCTCGTCTGTTGGTTTTGTTGGTGGCAGAGTGACAAGTAGGGGCGTCTTACGCTTCCGTTGGCGGCGACCATGCCGATGCCCGCTTCGGCGTAGCAGTAGGTTAAGATGGGACAGATGTTGTAGAAGAAGTCTTCGGTGGCCGAGAGGCCGATGTTGTACTTGAGGCGGACGAGAACGCACACGCTGGCGAAGATTCCGAAGCCGAGAAGGATGCAGGATGCCACGCGGGTGTTGCGGTTGAGCTGAATGTTCCACAGCAGCGGGATAGGCAATAATGCGCAGGTCAAGTCGAAAGCCACGTTGACACCTGCAACGACATAGCTGAAGACGGTGATGATTTCGCTGGAGGCGCAGTGGCCGTCAGGAATGCTCTTGTCCCAGGCATAGCTGATGGGCTTGCACATGGCGAAGAGATAAATCAATACGACAAGCAATGTGATCGACTGCAGCGCCATAACGCTGCGCAGAATCCACACATACAGGCGCTTGCTCTCCGCGATTCGGACTAGCATAAGAGCAATGCTGGGTTTGGCCAGCAGCATCGCAAGGCAATACGACACCTCAAACATGAAAAAGTCCTGGAGTGCAGCCTTCTGGCCCTCGAGGCCGCCATGGAAATTCTGGACATGCGCCCCGATGCCATGTATTGCTGCACTGATACACGACGCCGATAGCCATGCGAAAAAAGGCTGGGAGCGGTAAGCAGGGGCCGTGCTCGTAGATGCGGAAGACCAACGGCTGAGAAGAGCATGCACCAATCGTCCACGCCCCACGTACGGCTAGTCCAGCGGACATAGCAGCGCACGAACAGCGTACAAAACGCGAATGGAAGGATGGTGACCACGCAGATAAACAAGTGCGTAGACCTGTCGTAAAGTTCGATCATGATGAAGGCAGTGTTCAGCTCGTGCACGAGCCTTTGCCGGATCGGGAAATTCGAGGAATTTACTAGTGGTGGAGGCTGGCGAAAAAGGAGCGAGGAGGACAGAGTCAAGAAGATAGCCTTGGAATGAAGAATGAGGGACTGCGGTGGGAAAGATTACAGAGAGAGAAAACAAGGGTTTGCTATAGGAGATCCTCCCATCATGTACTCCAAGCCCAGACTAGGGAGCGGAAGTTTCCTCACGGCTACGTGCACTGCATGGCCCTCGCTCCCAAGGATAGATATGTTTCGCTCCATGTCATTCGTCAATTTGGAAGAAAGCCGTTGCTAACCTTTAGGACGTGCGGGCTCCAGACTTGAGCCACACCAGCGGACATGCGCCCAGGAGGACAATACGCCACACACGCAGTGTCCGTCGAACTCTGTCAGCGATGTCGGAGGAAGGGAGAGTAATCTGTCCCTCGCGATGCCGAAGCCTATATTTTTTTCCTGGCTTGTGCGACAGGGCGATCACGCAAATGCGGGGGATCAGAGGTGATCTTTCCGGCCATGTGCACGATTCGATCTCGAGAGGCTGATCGAACAAGATCATCCTCTCGTCCACGCGACAGCAGCCACGAATCGGACCGGCGGTATCCATCGCATGAGCTCCAAAGCATCCCGCACCTATAATCGCGCCACTGAGGATCCCCCGCGCACGAGTACGCCGAAGCTAATGTAGAGGAGCGGCAACGTGATCGTGAGATGTTGCCTGTTCTGTTGGCGCATCGGATCTCGGGGCCGGGCTCGCAGGGCTGGTGGCTCAACCACTCACAGAACTGCCTTTCGCAACGGTCCAGAGCGGCTTTGTATGAGGACTTTAGGCGAGCTCGCGTGGTTGGTTGATGAAGACGTTCTCCGAAGGAAGTGTGGTCGAGGCCTTCGCATCGGCGACAAGTTTACGCGGGACAGAGCATCTGCAAACGTCATCGCCCTGCTAAGCAAGCCTTATGAAGCCTCCGACGCCCGCTGACGCAGATAGGTCTTCGTGGTTATTCGAGTCTTCCTTGTCGTAAAGAACGATGGTTTCTGGAGTGCTTCTAGAACCTAGATGGACAGATCGTGGCTGATTCGCTACTGCATGAGCCGCTCCTTATGCAGATTGAAACAACGGTTTCATGGTATTCGTGTTTTCATGCTGGTATCGGCCTGCATCTTTACGGCGCTTGAGCTAAAGTCTACCTTGTTGATTGTTCGCCAAAGGAGACTCAACAAAGACAGGGCGATCATACTATTGGAAATTTCAGCATGATCGGATTCCAACAGCATATCGAGCACGGCCTATGGCTCTACCTGGTATTCAAAGGTCTTTTCTTCCGAGCTACTCCGGAGTAGCAGCTGGGTTTCGGGCCAAGGGCTGTCTTCATGTACGTCTGAAAGCCCGTCCAGCTCTTGTCAGTCTGACAAATTGACATGCCTCGGTAGTCCAACATCTACGACGTATGGGCGCATTTCAGAACCGTCGAGACTTGGTCTGCTCAAGTACTTGTCGGTCCGCAACAGCGAATCCCCACTTAACAGGAAATTGCAACGTTCCATCTCTTTTTATTCATCTCAAACTCTTCCTCGAGAAACTCAGCCTGACACGAAGTATGAGCGATTGCCAAACAGAAAAGCAAATCTTCGTCGGTACCCGATGATGAATTGAGGTCAAGTAACAATTGTCGTTGTGGGGCGAGACAGCGGTGGTGGCGCCGCAGTGACGACGGGACCGGTGGGTTCATTGGCGGCTGTTTCAGATGATGTGGACCTTTCGCGGAGAGGCGTGACGCCAAATCTGTCTGCTGCTATCGTTGTCATTCCTATCGCTTGCTGTCGAAGCCGGGAAAAGAAGGAATTTATGCGGTTGTAGGAAGGTAAGAAGGCAGCAGACCTTGTCGCGGATACTTGCGGAAGCGACGCGGGACATAAGACACACCATGGAGATGCTTCCGCAACGGAAGCCGCGATCTTTTACGAAGATCAACCCGAAAATTAACTCTTCATTAAATCTCGTCCAGATTACCACCACCGTCACCGCTATTCTTATTGTTGTTTATTTCATCACTGTTATCGGGTCCTTAATGCCCCTCAGCGTATCACTCCTACTATCACCTATTTTAATCTTATTGCTCTAAACATCTTGCTCATAAACTCTATTTTTACCTATCCAGTACATCCAAGTCGCTATACAGTACCCAAACGACCCTCTTCCCAACAACATAGCCACCCCTATATCCAGGCATACTCACACAGCCAGCGCAACTACTTCCGGAAAAATAGCAAGAGTCGCCTATATCCCGCGTAAAATCTGCTCTAAAAAGTTTTATTTAATTTTACCTATTTCCACATCTTCATTATCAGTGTTAGTCCTTTTTACTGGTGTTAGAAAGTCGTGCATCGTCGCGGTTGGTCTTCTTTCCAACCCCCCGCAGCCACTCACGCAGCCTTTCATGCAGCCGCAAACCAGCTGCGCTCGAATCAAGCCGACCAGATCGCGGGTTTCGCTGTCCATGGCCATGGTGTAAGAAGAGGAGGTGGTGAAGGCAGTGAATGGCAAACCCCGCCTTGCCACGCCATACCGCCGACGCATGCACGTCTCCATCAACCCACCGATGCAGGCAGCGCGCTACAAACACACAAACACCAAAGTCACCAGGCACACGACAACACGACACTCTTCTGCGCGTCTCCGCAACATAAGTGGCACCCTTTCCCTCCAAACCAAACAAGGCCTCCCCGCGGGCTCAAGACCCGATCCGAACCTCGCCACAGCAACGCAACGCATCGCAACGCATAACCGCCTAACGCAGCGGAACAAACATCTCGTATTGGGATCTCTTTCCCCTCCCTCATCGGACGGGCATGTTCATGCAACGCCGACGGAGAAGGCATCCCAGCGGCGCAGTTTCCCCGACCATCGACGCACGCGCCACGTTTTCCCGTCCGTTCGGCAGCAAGCGAGCGAGAAGGGGCCGCAGGCTCCAGGGGCCGAACAGGCGAAGCGTCTACAACTGCCGACGCACAAGATGCAAGATGCAAGACGCAGCAAGCACACCCACCTACACAGCGGCCTCATTGGCGGGCCGCAAACGCCTGCGATTACCGATTCGAGCGGGCTCCGCGTCGCTTCCCCTGATGGATGTGGAATCAAGGTTAGAAATTAAAGCCGGGGCCTTGCGACGGATCGGCGAGCCTGAATACTGAGGCCCCGCCCGCCGTACTACATAGAAACAAGCGCGCCAATGGGCGCGTCGCGTTAATCTATCTCGAAACGGGCACGTCGCCTCGAGCTCGAAACGTCGAAACATCCGCATAGTGTTGTTTGTAGGCGTCGGACGAGGATCTCCGGCGAGGGGTGCGCGCTGCTTTGCATATATAAGATGAAGAAGACATTTATGGGTGCTGTTTCCACTGCTGTTGCTGCTGCTGCTACTGCTGTCGTCTTTCGTTTATTTTTCCAGCAATAACAACAACGCCCACGCTCATTATGGCCGACTCGACCAGCGGCCCGCGCGGCCTGCTCGCGCTCATGCTTCTGCCCTGCCTGGTGCAGGGCGCGCTGAAGCCGTACACGGGGGCGGCGCCATCTCTGCCGGATCGCGCGCCGTTCGGCTTCGGGTCCGCGGCGACGGGCGGCGGGGAGCCCACGGCCAAGAACACGTACCTGGTGGACAACATGCCGGACCTGCGCGAGGCATTGAAGATGGACACGCCGCGCGTCGTGTACGTCAAGGGCGAGATCGCGGGCGCCCAGATCAATGCCAGCTACACGGCCGACTGCCAGTACTACATTGACGAGGGGAAGCCCGAGTTCAACTTCACAAAGTACGTGCAGAGTTATGATGACGATTATATGGCGGATTTGAAGAAGGCGGCCGAGGCCGGCTCGGAGTTTGAGGGCCAGAATGCCACGGAGCTGCTGAGCTTGATGAACCATCAGAATGTGAGTTTTGCGCTTTGCTGAGGGAAGAGTGGGTTGTGAGTTGTTGCTGATATGGCTATTGCAGGGATGGCGCTCGGCAGTGCAGAATGTCCAGAAGAAGTACGAGTCGATTGACGTGCCGGGCAACCTTACCCTGATCGGGTGGGACAAGGACGCGTACCTGCACGGTGTCAGCCTGAACTTCAACGTGAAGTCCAACATCATCATGCGGAACCTGCGGCTGTCGTCGCCAAAGGACTGCTTCCCGGCGCCCGAGACGTTCCCGGGCTCGTGGAACGCGCGGTACGACGCCGTGTCGATGGTGACGACGCACACAGTGTGGTTCGACGGCAACATCTTCGAGGATGGCCCCGTGGCCGTGGCGCCGGAAAAGTTCCTTGGCGGCTGGGAGGTCGACCGGTACGATGGCATGTTCGACGCCGAGGACGGGTCGGACAACATCACCTTCTCGCACAACATTGTCGCGAACCACCACAAGTCGCTGATGTGGGGTGGAGGAGAGAAGGAGGGCGACCGCGACATTGGCAAGATGCACTTCACCATGTTCGGCAACCACTTTATGAACTCGCTGAGCCGCAACCCGCTGATGCGCTTCGGCACCTTCTACATCCTCAACAACGTCTTCGCCATGCACACCAGCGACAACAGCTCGTACAACCCGAACTTCATCTCGCACTTTGGCGTGTACAACCAGAGCCAGGTGCTGCTGGCAGGCAACGCGTTCGAGCACGACGACGCCAAAGAAGCAAGCCGCATCTTCGTCTACTCTGACCTCGCGACGCCCGAGAACCCCGCCAAGCTGTGCGTGCCGGCGGACTTGGCCAACGCGCCCTCGGCGCTGAAGGCCTTCACCACCGGCAGCACGCTCAACGGCGAGGCGCTGAACCTGACCGAGACGGCCGAGACGGCGTTCGCGTCGTACATCAAAGATAGCGACGACTCTGTTGCGGGCGGGCTGGCAACGACGTGCGAGGGCTTCACGGCGCAGGAGGTGCCGCAGAGCTTCAAGAGCGCCGACGAGGTCGCTGCGTATGTCAAGAAGAACGCGGGGCAGGTCGGGCGCGCGGTGCCGTAAGGTTGCATAAGTGCGGGCGATGGTGCGGAGGTGGGTTCCGTGGGTGTGGTGCTTTTTAGAGTGTTGACAGACTCGCTTTGCTGCTTTGGGGTGCTTTGTCCCCGGCCAATGACAGTGCTGTACCTGCATATGTAGAGTACGATCGATCTGGATTGATGGAATGATGGAATGAACGGTTCCGTGTCGCGCAGATTGACAATAAGACGTGATCGCGACGTAGACCCGTCAGGCCATACCTACGTACGAGTAACTACGTCGTGCACGCCATCGCGTCTAGAGCAACCCAGGCACCCAGGCACCCAGGCATCGCAGCCCAACCTTAGCGAGCGGCCCGCAGACGACAAGCTTCTCACCCGTAGGTAAGCGGCACAACGGCACGGCACGACGCGGCGCAACCGGCAGCAACGCAAACGCAAACACAAGCGCAAGCGCAAGCGCAACGTAAAAGAAAAAAGATAAAAAGAAAAAAAGAAAAATTCTGATTCGCACAGGTGAGGTGGGCCGTTGCAGACGAGCACGCAATAACGAATGGAACCCGCGCCAGCAGCCAGTGGTTATCGATAGCGCGGACCCGAGCACAACGGCACAAAGGGCGCGCGCAATTGGTCAGCAGCACGGCAGCGCAGGCCGACTATTACCAGTTTGGGGGGTCGAGCCGACGCAGTCGTGATGGTGTTATCGGCGTGGTGGGTAGTCGGCGGTGGTGTGCTTGGTATGGCCGGGTGTATAAGAGCGGGTGTGGAGTACCACGGCTTTGGAGCAGGGTCTTTTTTTTGTTTTGCCATTGATTGCTTCAATTGCATCTGAGCGTGCTCAATTGAGGCTGGTTGCTCTTGCTGCTCCGATTTCGGTTTCCTTTTCCTCTACACAGTTATGCGGGCTCTTTTCGCCAAGAGGCAGCCGGCGTCGCGAGCACCACAGGACGTACCAACGGAACAAAACGACGACGACGTCATTGCACATGGGCCGCCACACCTGGAAGGGAAACCCACAGAGAAAGAGCAAGGAGAGGGCGAGGACGCGCTGAAGAAGGGCGCCAGAGTCGAGACCCATGGCTCCAGCAGCGCATCCAGCTCGTCGCGGGCAGACGCGGAGCCCACGGGCGAGAAAGCCACCGAGGACGCCGACGCCGCAGACCCCGAGCTCCGAGACATTCCCCGCCAGGTGCGGCAGATGGTGTCGCTGGAAGACGACCCGGCCGCGCTGACCATTACCTTCCGCTATTTCCTGCTCTGCTTCATCTTCATCCCGCCCGGGGCGTTCCTGTCGCAGATGTCGACGTACCGCACCACGTCGGCGCCGTATTCGGTGTTGTTCGTGCAGATTGCCTGCCACTACCTAGGCGCCTGGCTCGCGAAGGTGCTGCCGGACAAACGGGTCGGGATCCCGGGGACGCAATGGGGGTTTAGTTTGAACCCTGGGCCGTGGAGTGTGAAAGAACACGTGCTTGTGACCATTTCGGCGGCGTCGGGGGCGACGAGCAATTTGGGGAGCTCGCCAATCAGCATTGCGCCGCTGTACTACAACACGGACGTGTCGCCAGGAGTGGCCATCTTCTTCATGTTCAGCATTGTGTGGCTGGGCTACTCGCTCGCGGCGCTGGCGCGCCAGTTCCTCATCTACGAGCCGTCGTTCGTGTGGCCGCAGGCGCTGATGCAGTCGACGCTGTTCAACTCGTTCAAGGCCTCAGCCGAGGACTCGCGGATGGGACGGCGGCGCATGCGCGTCTTCTTCTGCTGCCTGGGCGGCATGATCCTCTGGCAGTTCTTGCCCGAGTACGTGTTCCCGTTCCTCAGCTCGCTGGCCTTCCTGTGCTGGGTCGCGCCGCGCAATGCCACGGCCAACTTTGTCGGCTCCGGCCTCGGCGGCATGGGCTTCTTGAACCTGAGCCTTGACTGGAGCAATATTACGTCGAACATCATGCTCTACCCCTTTTGGACGCAGGCCGTCATCTTCGCCGGCTTCGTCTTCAGTGCCTGGATCCTTCTCCCCGCAGCCAAATATGGCGGACTCGGCTCCGATGACACGCGCCCGTTCCTCATGTCCAATGCTCTTTTCCAAGCCAATGGTTCCAAATACCCCACCTCCGAGCTCATCACGCCCAGCCTGACGCTGAACGAGACCGCACTCGAGCACTACGGCCCCCCGCTGCTCGGCACGCAGTATATCTGGAATTTGTTCTTCACGTACGCCGCCTACACGTCGTCGTTTTCGTGGATGTTTTTGTTCGGGTGGCCGAGCATCAAGGCCAGTTACGTGCGCGTGCGGGACCGCTTCCGCACGCGTGGCTCCGTGAACGCAACAGACCAGTACAGCGATCGGTTGAATATTCTTATGCGCCCGTATAAGGAGGTGCCGTTGTGGTGGTACGGGGTCCTGTTTTTGACGCAGTTCGTCGCCATGCTGGCCATCCTGGGAACCGGCAACATGTTCATCCCCATTTGGACTTACATCGTTGCAGTAGTCATGGGCGCCGCTATTGTGTTGCCATTGGGCTGGTTGTACGCTGTCTGCAATTATCAGTTGGCTATAGGCGACTTCAACGAGTTGCTCTTCGGCTACATGATCAACGCTATCTCAGGGCATAAACACCCAGCCGGCGCAACCACTTACGGAGCTATTGCAGGCGATGCCTGGTATAGGGCTCAATATATCCTCCGTTCGTTTTATTTTACTCCTCTGTTGTTCAGTATTAGCACTAATATCATTTTAGAGGACCAAAAAATCGGACATTACATGCATGTCCCACCACGCCTCGTCTTCTTCTCGCAAATCTTCGGCGAACTGATCGGCATTCCCATCAACTACGGCACAATCCAATGGATCATCAAAACCAAGCGAGACTTTCTACTCGGCACCAAGACGGACCCACTGCACCAATGGTCGGGCCAAACACTGACGGGGTACAACTCCAAAGGCGTGCAATACGTGCTAATCGGGCCGGCACGGATGTTCTCGCAAGCAATCTACAACCCTTTGCCATGGGGATTCCTGGCCGGCTTCGGCGCACCGATAGTGCTGTACCTTTTGCACCGGTGCTTCCCGCGCGCGCGGTTCGACCTCTGGAACGTCACCATTTTCGCGGCGACGGCGGGCTCGTTCTACGGTAACTTGAGCACGGGCTACGCGTCCAAGTTCATTGGCGGCTTTGTCGTCATGTACTGGGCGTATCGCCATCGGTTCGAGCTCTGGAAACGCTATAATTACGTTATTGCGGCGGCGTTTGATGCCGGGTTCAACTTTAATATGTTGCTTGTGTTTTTGTTCTTTGGCTCGGGCAAGCAGATCTCGATGCCGAATTGGTGGGGCAATAATGAGACGTCGGTGGAGCGGTGCTTTGCGCTGGATTAGGGCAGCAGAGAGGGCTGCGTGTGTACGGGGTGTTGAGGGATGCCGTTCAGAGCTACTTTGGGCCCGCTTGCGCCTGTTCGTTGTGCCTGGAGATCAGTGCTGGCGGAGGTGGCGGCGGCGGTGCTGCAGAGCCTGCTTTTGCCTGAGGCTGGAAGGAGGTGGGGAGTGTCTCCGTCTGGACGGCGCTGCAGACCTCGACGATCACACATTTTGGGGCGACACGGCCTGCGCTCAAGCCTTTGCTACCTTTACATACACCGCGTTTCCTACAGCGCATCGCTGGTCGGCAAGGGCTTGTCCGGTGCTGGACGCTGGGATACTACGAGCACGCTTAGCGCACTACCCGCATGCCAGACCTGCATGTCGCACATGCCCACGCCGAGCCGTCTCGCGGCATGCACGACGCAAGGAGGAGTCTGTTTTTTCTTGCCATGCGCGGCAGGGAATGGACACCGGGGGCGGGATGAGGCATAGAGGAGCGTAGCCTAGCAGGCATGCTAGATCCGTCGCCTGAAGGTGGGATGTTTGGCCGGTATGCCGGTAGGATGGAAGAAGCATTGCTGCTTTGCTGGGGAGTTACGGTTTGGTCAGCTCTGGTACGGGGCGCGTGGTGGTGAGGAGTGAGGAGGGATACTATTTGTTTAGCGATGCTCTCTATATGATTAATGAACTGCGAAAATGGCACTGGATAAGTTGTCCACCCCACGTGATAACGTACCTGTAAAACTACATGATATAGTCTCTACTCTTAGATAGTTTATATCTTTATCTCTTTAAAAGTACCTTTAACCTCTTCGAATGTTTTATTTTTGTACCCTTATAGTGTATCCTAGGACTCGTATATATTTTTACCGTTGTATCTTTTTGAATACTATTATACCTTGTATCTTTTTGCTTATGTATAGTCATATAGTGCTTATTGGCTGTAGTATAATAGACTGATTATAACTGCCTAAGGAGTACTCTGTAGATATCGTAGATTTTACTTAACATGTAGTTGAGAGGCAGGCAAAATCTGTTCCGTGCTGTGGGATTAATTACTGCGGACGATTTTGTCCCTATGTTTTCAAAGTAAGAAGTTGGGAGACAGCAGAAGGACGGAGATGGGAGCGTAGCAACAGTCGACGAAGAGACAGACGCAGGTGAGAAATGAAATTGAAGGAGAACGATGGTGCGGCGTTGCAAGACTTGATGTTGCGCAACTTGCACGCGTAGCAGAAAACGGCAATAATCCTACGCGGTGGTGCCTAAAGTTACTTACGTGGTCCTTAATCAAACCTTGCTGATAGTCATCATCGAGTGAGACGAATACTCTACGAGACCAGTAAGCATCTCGGCCATTTGCACGTGCTGGAGACCAAACAGTCGTTTGAACAACACCACGTACGCAGTACTACACTGGGCACTGGCGACATGTATGTAAGAACAGCAAGGGAAAATGACTGCGGTTCGTTCCAACACCAGGTGCCACATGGCACAGACGACGAACTTGGGGTCGACTTGATCCTACGGAGCGCACAGACACTGCTGCTGCTGCTTGCGCAACGACAGGCCATCAACGAGCAAAGAGCAGACAACAGAATCTAGGTCAGTCGACGGGGACATGGCATGGAACGATGGACGTTCGGATCGCTCACGTCAGAAGTTTCCACCCTCGCCACCAACAGGTTGGGCCCAAATCCCCGCTGCCGATCCACGCGCTCCCTCTCCTCGTGCAACAACGCTCACGAATACGGCCACTATACTGGGCCGCCCCGGCCGCCGAAAAGCCAAAAAAACTCAGCCGTGCTGGCACGCAGCAAGCGTACCCAAAAATAAGCCACCTCCCCCACTGACTCAGCCCCGCGCGCCCCCCAACGTATATAGCGGGGACGGATGGCTTGCCTGAAACCCGGAACCTTTTGCTTTTCTTTTGCGTCACTGCTTTAAATACTACTACTTATTTACCTATCTCTCGACAGCATCCTGAAAGCACAACTACCACTGGCGCCATGTCGAAACGCACCGTATTCACCACCATCACGCCCCTGCCGCCAGGCATCGGGCGCGAGACGGTCATGGAAACCCTCCACTCGCACGTCGAGATGATAGACCTGAACCCGCTCGTCATCGAGCGCCATGTGCGCACGCCGCCCGCCGACGCAACGCCCGAAGAAGCCGGCTGTATCTGGTACAGTCTCACGGACCGCGTCTCGTACATGCCCGGCGTCCGCGGCAAGGTCACGTACGACGCCTGCTTCCACGACCTGGCCGACGGCGTGCAGACGCACGTCTTCGCGCCCCTCGGCCTCGACATCAAGGAGAAATGGTCCATCGGCGGCAGCCTGCCGGGCGAGTCGGCCGCGCCCGTCGAGCTCGGTCTCGACATCCCGCGCGAGGGCCTCTACCTCCGCGAGGACTGCGACATGCGCTGCAACGTGCTGATGACCAAGTTCGTCAAGGGCACGCTGAAGCGCGCCCACGCCGTCCTGGTCGACCGTCTCGTCTTCAAGGCCGGCCTCACTGAGATCGCTGGCGCCACGCCCAAGCGTATCTCTGTCGGCCAGCGCACCGCTAGCAGCAGCGCCGCCAGCACCTCCGACCATTCCGAGCCCTTTTCCAGCCCTGGCTTCCCGCCCTTTAGCGCCCGCAGCAGCTTCCAGAGCGTCGTGTCTTCAGCGCCATCGCAACCGTCGCAGCCCGCGAAGCCCTCGAAGCCCTCGAAGCCCGTACGGCACTCCAGCCCTCCAGGACCGCACCACTTCGCCGTCGAGCTCGAGGCCCACATCCCCTCCATCACCACCACGCCCGCCGCGTCCGCCAAACCTTCCGCTCCCGAAGCCAAACCACCGAAAGCCACACCCCCGTCCCTCCCACCACGGCACTCCGCGCCCGTCCCACCCCGCCCAACGAGCCCAACCGCCGCCGCCGCCGCACCACCCATCCCCCCCAAAACCACCGCACCGGGCTCCCAATCCCCCATCATCTCCGCAGCACCACCAGCACCTCCAACAGTAACAGCAACAACACCCGCACCAACCGACCCCTCCCTCCCAAAATACGAGCCCGCCAAATACGCCGCCTACACGCCACCGCTCAACTCCTCGCCGCCGAAAACCCAACGACAACACGAGTACAAAGCGTACACGCCGCCGCCGCCGCCGCCGCCGGGGCGCACGCTGCAGCGGCACAGCTACGCGGCGTATCGGCCGCCGCCGCCGCCGCCGGCGTCGGCGTCGTTGAGGGGCCTGCCGCTTGGGCTGGGGATTGGGGACGGGGCGAGAGCGAGGGCGCGCGCGGTGTCGGATTCGGGGCCGAGGGTTGGGGTGGGGAGAGTCCCGGAGGGGGTGGTCGAGCTGGAGGGCTGATGATGAGATTGCGTGGCGGAGTAATACTAGGGGAGAGAGAGGAGGCGTTTTGGTTGTTTGGTGGGTGGCTGATTGAGGTCGAGGCTGAGGATTGGATGGGGCTGACGGGTCGTGGGTCGGAGATGCACGATTTGGTCTGTCTCGAGTCGATGGTTTGTTCGGTTACTGACTTTGGATGCCGATGAGATGTTTTAGAGGGAGATGGAGAGCGAGTCGACCCGGTCGTTGCTTGGATGGTTCCATGTCTAGCGGGTTTGAGCCGTCTGGGCTGAAATGTTCTTGTGCGAGAGGCGGACACGGCGTTACTTAACTCTTTAAATTTGTAATGGTGTAAAGTGGAGGATATACCCCAGAAGTAGACAGGACAACAAAAGACAGCTGCTCGAGTTAATACCGTTGCAACACTGCAAACTGCCACGTCCAACACAGAGGCGATCCAAACATTGATTCTCTACTCGTGTCAAACTAGATGCCGCCAAGCGCTCGACTCTAGCCGCCCAAAGCCCACCTCCCAAACGCCGAAAACGCCAATCCATGTCCAAGTGTCGTGAGCCAAGCAAGCGCTCTAGTCGGAGCCGGCATTGGCAAACTCAGCCACGTAGTACTAGCGGGAGAAGTCAGCACCAAGCCGGCAGCGTAGACGGACAGACAGCGCAGACCCGCATGAAACGAATACTCACATCCTTCAAGTCGGCGGCGACATCGTGTCTCCTTAGGGAGGGGAGATTCCAATCATTGACAGACCACCACCAGCGACGGACACGGGCGCCGACCGACTGCCCCGCGAGCTGGGACTCGCGGTTCCAGAAGCGCCAGCCCGTCAGCAGCAGCGTCCACAGCGTGCCCTGCAGCAGGGGCAGCAGCAGCTGGTCGCGCAGCGTGATGTACGCGACGCCCCAGCCCGACTGCGCCTTCTCGATGCTCTTGAGGTAGCTCTGCTCGAAGCGCAGGTCGGGCAAGGGCGGGAGGTGGTGTGGCCGTGGCGCGGGCCGCAGCACTGACAGCGGCACCTCGTCCGACTCGATGTCGGAGGGTGGCGGCGACGACGCAATCGTCACGGGCTCTTTGCCGCTGGCTGCGGTTGATGGGTTCACGTCGTGCTTGGGCGACGGGTTCGGCTCAATCGACGCCGACTGGATCGTCGAGGCTACCTCGAGGGGCGCGGGGGCCGACATGTTGGAGATGCGGCGAGGCTGCTGTTGGTGCTGTTGCGGCGATGGGGTCTCACTGGCGGCAGCTCGAGATGACGGAGCTCCATCGCCAATGCCCGGCGGGAACCTACCTTAGGTAGCTTGCGCGCTCGGCTTCCGGAAAAACGATTAACGCGAAGGGTCCAATCGTCGTCATGGAGGTCGTGGCCGCCTCACAAGACGCTCCGGCGGCCGTTGCGGGAGCAAGCAGGCCTCCGTGCGAGGGGCTTTTTGCTTGAGCGCGCCCGTAGACGTGCATTTTGTGTGAATATCTAGTGAAATAAAATCCCCGGAGTTGGTGCAGGTGCTCACGTGCGGCCACGACTAGAATCGCCCGGCCAATCTCACGAGCAATGATTGACGCCCCCCCAAGCGGCTCCTGACAGGATGGTGTGGGGCAAACCATATCAATCCAGCCCGCCAGCCTGAACCTCGACCACCACGACTCCTTTCCCTCGAGACCTACCTACCGCCAACATGGGTAACGCAAACTCGCAGATGCTGGACAATATAGTGTCGGGCTCCAATTGTGCGTGAGACGGACAACGGCGGCGCCGCAAATCCCCCAGTCCATCTTTGCCGTTGCTGACGATCGATCGCGCCCCAGTCGACCGCGAGGAAGTCGACCGCCTGCGCAAGCGCTTTATGAAACTGGACAAAGTACGCAGCACCGCCGGCGCCTTGGACGCGCGCGGCCTTCCTTGACAGGCGCCCGGCTAACCTCTTCTCCCCCCGCGCAGGACAACTCGGGCACCATCGAGCGCGACGAGTTCCTCTCGCTTCCCCAGGTCTCCTCGAACCCGCTGGCCACGCGCATGATTGCCATTTTCGACGAGGACGGCGGCGGAGACGTCGACTTCCAGGAGTTCGTGTCCGGGCTCAGCGCCTTCAGCAGCAAGGGCAACAAGGAGGAGAAGCTGCGCTTCGCCTTCAAGGTCTACGATATTGACCGCGACGGCTTCATCAGCAATGGCGAGCTGTTCATCGTCCTGAAGATGATGGTCGGAAGCAACTTGAAGGACCAGCAGCTGCAGCAGGTATGTCGTCGAGGCAGGAGAAGAAGAAGAAGAAGAAGAAGAAGTACCGAGGGCTTTGGCTGACACATGCGCGCTTCGTCTAGATTGTCGACAAGACCATCATGGAGGCGGACCTGGACCGCGACGGCAAGATCAGCTTCGAGGAGTTCACCAAGATGGTCGAGAACACGGACGTGTCCATGAGCATGACACTGGGTGAGTTTTGCGTGTAGGCGCTGCGGGGCAGGGCCGCTGACGGGGAACCCAGACCAATTCTAAGGCACCTCGTTCCTCCCTTCTACTGTTGTCAGGGCATTGGGGCAGCATGGCGTTTGGGTTTTGGGCAAGGGACATTCTTACGGCAACGAAAGCGGCATGATGACGCTATGTGGGTGGGCATGGTGGCAGAGGCCCTGTCCAAGGGGAGCAATTCATTGAGCGGCTGCGTCCACTCTGTCACTGTCTTTGGAGACGAACCTGTTCATGTGCGATTTTGGAGCACGCCTCTGTGCAGGCCGTGAGAACCCCTTACATTATTCAACCAGGAATTCGCTATCCGCCCACAAGGTGTTGGTACGAAAGAATAGGTACCGACCATGGTTCGGGGATGATAGCTTGCCCTGTAGGACAAAAAGAAACCTGGTGGATGCCTCTACGGAGAGCTATTCGATCTATTGCCATGGCGAAAAGTCGGCCTGAATCATTTGTCACTGCTGTGAGGCGACCATTTACGGTGCAAGTTGCAAGGATGCCTTTTGGGCGTCGGGGGGCGGGACAACGAATCATGACTTGGCACCCGAACCGCCGCAGGGATTCGGAGAAGCGACTCAGCTGTCATCGCATTAACGGGTACCTCTATCTCTAACCACAACCTCACTCGGGAGCAGCCGCAAAAGGACGACGCCCTCGCCGCATCTTCCGCACACGCTTTCGACCGCAGCCCGTTGCCAGGTCCACGACTCCATCGGCCCAGGTTTTTTCCACACCCACCTATCTTTCCACCGCTTCCACACGACCGGTCCCGGCCCACGCACACACACACACACACACACACACACACGCACAGCGCAAGCATGCGGCGACCACAAAACGCGCTGTCGGCGCTGCTGGCCCTGCCCGCCCTCGTCGCGGCCGTCAACCTCGACTGCAAGGACATCGTCGTCGACAAGGTCGCGTACGACCTGAGCCCGCTCGGCGGCCCGCACTCGGTCCACTGGATACGCGACATGCCGCCTTCGGTCATGAACTTTACCTTTACGCTCGACATATGCAAGGGCCTGAAGGACAACACCAAGATCCCCACGGGCGACAAGTGCCCCGTCGGCACTAGAGGTAGGCATTCTGGCCCAGCACGCACGCACGCAGGCGGCGGCGTTCCGCTTTCTCGCGGAAGCGGACCAAGCGCCGCGCGGCTTCCTCACGGCACAGATGGAGAAAGAGCGCAAGCTAACCAAGCCCCGTGCACGCAGTATGCGGCATCGACTCGTCGTACAACCCGGCCGAGAACCACGAGCAGATTGTGCAGGTGGTGCCGATAGCGGGCGACTTCCAGGGCAGCACGGGCAAGACGCTGGACCCCAAGATCACGCGGCTGCGGCACTCGGACAGCAACGCCGACGCGGACAAGGAGGGCTTGCGCATCGAGCTCAACGGCGGCAAGTACCCGATGAACAAGCGCAAGGGCCAGAAGCAGAAGGCCCTGATTGAGTTCTTGTGCGATAACCGCACCGATGGCGTCGATGAGAGCCAGGAGGACAAGGAGAAGGAGAAGCGCAGGGAGGAGCGTAGGCTGGCGAGGTTGTTGAAGCGCGAGGAGCAGAAGAAGGACGAGGATGGCGAGAAGGATGATGATAAGGATGATGACAAGGACAAGGACGACGATGACGATGACGACGACGATAAGGACAGCGAGGATAAGCGTCCCCTCAAGTTCATCAGCTACAAGGAGGAGGCAGACCAGACCAAGGTCCTGCGCCTCGAGTGGCGGACCAAATACGCCTGCGAGAAGCGCGACGGCGCCGACTCGCCCAGCAAAACCAGGTCGGAGCACTGGGGCTTCTTCACCTGGTTCATCATCATGTAAGCCCTCCATTACCTTCACCCCACAGCCTAGACCCCTCCCAAAACACACACACACACACACACACACACACAAGCCCCATCCCGCACGCACAAAACCCAGCGCTAACATACCCACCCCAAACCAGCGTCTTCTTAGCCATAGCCACATACCTCATCTTCGGCTCCTGGCTCAACTACAACCGCTACGGCGCCCGCGGCTGGGACCTCCTGCCCCACGGCGACACCATCCGCGATATCCCATACATCCTCAAGGACTTTGGCCGGCGCGTCGTTGGCGCGCTGCAGGGCGGTGGCGATCGCGGCGGGTATAGTGCTGTTTGAGGCGGGGCGGAGCCGAGCTGGTGAATTAAGCCGAGAGAGCCGTGAGCGAGTGGAGTGTGCTGTGAGAGTTGCGCGTGGGCGAGTGTTGTGCGTGCGTGCGTGGTGGTGCGTTGCGGCTGCATCGCATCGCATCGCATTGCTATTGCTAGCAAGACGACGCGCGCGAGCTGCTGGTGCTGCTACGCCGTGCCGAGCGCTGAGCTAGCGGCGGGCTGTGGACGGAACGTAATTACCTATTGCTACAGAAGGGCGGGGCTGTTTGGGTAGACGGTTGCTTGCGTGGTTGCTGCGTGGTTGTGTACGGTGTGTGGGTGCAGTGTGGGTGCGATGTGTATGTATATATGATGATGATAAAAGGATGGAATGGATAGGAAAGATATGACTTGATTGGATTGGATTGGTTTGGTGTGGGTGTGGGTGCGGTTGGGTGCTGATTGATGACTGGGTTTAGGGGTGTGGTGTGTTAGTTTGGATGAGGTTGACTGACAGCCCCTGCCTAAGCAGTGAGTAGTGCGCGAACGGCATCAAACACACGAGCAGTTGCCATATATAGCTAGCTAGCTAGGTATCCACGGCGGCGAGGATATCCCGGCCGCGCAAACCCATCCCGCCGACCCCATTACCTACTCACCCTTACGGGCTCTCACAGGACCTCAGCCAGTTAGTTTGGCACTTTGCCTGCGAGCTTGATACTGGATTGGGAGTGTGGGTTTGCTCGGGAGACGGCGCTTGGTGGTTGACTCTTATTTTTGGTCTGGGCGTGGTGGTGTCGGGTCTTTTTGGTAGGTACCTAGGCCCGGCTTAGTTGGTGCTCGTCACTGCGCTGTTTTGTTTGCGCTGCTCGCGTGAATGCGGCGGTTACCTGCTTATTGGGTCTTTCTTCTTCGCCTTGTCCCGCTGCTGTGGAGCTATACGAATGCTATTTCTGATGCACTCGTGCCCACATGCTACTGTGTACGTTTGCTATGCAGGCAGTGTCCGGCACTGGGTACAGTTCGTGGTATTATGGACAGGAGGGAAAGGAAAGCTGAACAAAAGACGTCTACGCGCTGCTAGCGGACAAACATTAACAGCAGCCACATGAATGAATACGCTTCACAAAGCGGGTAATACAGACCGCCACAACGCCCTTAAAAACGCATTAATTCCCACCCTCCTCCACCCCATCACCACTAGGGATACCTTCCCCACCACCACTAGGGATGCCCCCCTCACCAACAGCAGGAGGCATACCCTCCCTCCCCGGCTTCAAACACCGTCCCTTCCTGCCCACCTCCTCCCTCAGCACCTCCAACCGCTCAGCCGAATCAAAAGCAAAGTCCCCGCTCCAGAAGCCGCAAGCGACATTACTCGTCTCGTTTCGTTCGCGCGTCTGGTCGAAACCCGCAGCGTCGACCGGCGGCGGGAAGATCTCTTCGCGCTGGTCCACGGCCGCGATCAGGCTGTCGCCCAGCACGTGGTGGAACAGCTCCGGGTTGACCGTGTAGCAGCGCAGGCCCTTGTACTTGCAGCCGTGCATCATGGCCATGTCGAAGGCGGGGTCGAGGGGGGCGGAGGAGTTGGCGATCTCGGAGAGGAGGCGCTGTGCTGAGGGTCGGTTGATGGCGTAGCCGAACTGGTGGCGGGGTTAGTTGGGCTGTCTGTTGTTGTTTGTTTGGTCGGCCGGTAGCTTGGTTGGCATCACAGTGCGGAACGGGCCGAGACAAATGGTATAGCACTTACGGTGCAGAGCGGCAGGATCGAGTTATGCACAAACCGCATGCCCTCAGGCACCTGCAGCGCATCAAAAAAGTCCCTCGTAAACGGATGCAGATCGGCGCGCGTCGGCAACGACGAGTCATTGAACAAGCGCGCACCGACCGTGGTCAAGTTGCTCGGGGCATGGAAGCCCGGGCGGCCGATGCCGTCCTGGATTTCCTGGAACCAGTCGCCGCAGTGGCCTACCCAGAGGACGTCCCACGCGGCGGGGTTGCCCCAATAGTAGCCTCTGTTCCCGCCGCGGCTACTGCTGCTGCTGTCGCTGGCATACGAGCTGGCGAGGAGGTCGCGCGTCGATGCTGCCGCGGCCGGGATCTGTACGCTGCGCAGGTGGATGTCCCAGTCTACGTCGTCTTCGATTATCAGCGCTGTCTCGAGCCCTGAGTCTAGGAACCTGTGGCGAGGCGGCAGTGATGCGTGGTTAGCTAGGGCGGAGGCGGCGTCGTAGCGCTGAGAGGGAGAAGAGGATGAAGAGATTGAAAAGAAGAAGATGACGACGACGATGATGATGATGAAGAGGAAGAAGAAATGGAGAAGAAAACGAAAAAGAAAAAGATGATGATGACGAAGGAAAAAAGCGCAGCAGTAACAACACAGAGGAGCATACATACCACTGTACAGCATTAGCATGCGACAACCAAGAAAAGACAGAACCACGCCCGGTGCCCTGCTCCGTAGGCTCCAGGGCCTTATTAAACGCGTCAACATGCTCCTCGGTCCAACGCGGCTGGTCCGGAACCGTGAGCTCGAGCCCCGTGACATTAGCAGCCTGCAGCAGGGCGGAGCGACGCGGGCTATCGGGCCCGGAGACGGCGAGGACGGCGCCGAAGCCGAGCGTGGCGTTGGCCGGCCATTCGGGGCCCCAGAGCTGCTGCTGCGCCCAGAACACCCCGCGCAGCTGCTGCCATTGCTGGACGAGGAACAGCGTCGAGAAGAGCAGAGCCGCCAGCAGCGCTGCGAACCGCTTTTTTAGAATCATTGACTGTCGTTATTGTTGTGGGGGGAGGAGGAGTGAGGTGATTGATGGTGGACCAGTAGACAGGTATAGGTAGGGTAGGTAGGTAGGTGGCGGGGCGTCTCTTCTAGGTATTTCGTATCGAGCTATCCAGCAGCCGCCCGTCTTCCCACCTACTTCGCTACTCCTTTGTAGAAAGGCCGTCCTATTTTTTTCGCGACTCGACCTGGACAACCGCTCGCGTGTGCGCGGCGCGGCGCGGCACGGCCGCCCCGCAAGCGTCGCGAAATAAGCGCTCGGGCGGCGTTGTTCCCCAAGCGACATCGGGTCCGAGACATGTCTGGCCTCAGGCGCGTCCACTTTCGGCTCGAAAGGAGGCATTCGGATCGGCGTCGTCGCGCCCGTCTCAGGCGCTGCTGAGCTGACTGGCTGCCGCCGCCGCCGCGTCCAAGGGCCTTGATACCCTCGCGAAACTGCCGTTTCTCGGCCTTGTCGTTAGGTGCGTGCTGCCTGTTGGATGTGCTGCGGAGCTGTTCATGCATGCTGCACATCGCGCCGGGGCCCGTGTCCCGTCCTGTCGGGCCCTGGGACGGCGCCTGCGACACGCCACTCCCGGTGATCTTAACCGCGTGTGGTCCTACGCGCTTGGCGTGGGTACGGCATTGCGGATAAGATGCGGGTATCGTCGCCAAGCTATAGCTGCTGAGTGATGAGAGGGCAGATCTTTTTTGCAGTGGAAGATTCTTTATAAAGATCCAGATCTCTGATTGGAAGGGTTGTAATGAGAGAATTTCCTTACCAACTGGGATCAAATCCTCCGCCCACATAACAATTTAGAGAATGGGTGGGGCTTTGAAGATGCAACTGCCCCCGACCTAGGAGTTGTGATGTTTTTGAGGAGGCTCTGAGTCGGCTCGGCGCTTGGAACGGCTGTGGCGGCTGATTGACTGGGTCTGGGGGCGGAAACATGGCTTTTCTAGGCAACGAGCTTATTTGGAGTTGGTGGATACCCAGGTTCGGGGATGTGATAAAGGTTGCGCTTTAACGAGTGTGGGACAGCTATACTCTTCTAATTCGTCTGTTTGTCGGGATGACTACTGCATGTCCTAGTCGCCTGGGTACTTTGGAGGATTCCGGGTGGTTGTCCAAATTTCTACTCCTTCTTCCTAGATCTGATGTCACTCGCCCGACCTCGACAAAAGCCTGTCGACATAGCATTGGACTTTGTGGCTAGCCTCGAACTTCAAAGTTAGGCAACAATGGAGGTTTCGTTGTGTGCGAGCGCTCCTACGGATCCAGTAACTCACCAAAGGCGCCTGCAGGGAATTCCATACGCCTCCATGCGGTGACGGGGGACTCTAGGATCCTAGGTAACCAAAGAAAACTGATTCTCGTTCTCGGAGTCCAATCCAGATGATAACTTTCCCATGGCCAAGGTAGACAATACCAGCAAAGAGTTTTCCTGGATGGGCTATTTTACCAAAGTAAAATTTCTAGTGCCTGTACGGCTGGCAGATCAGATCTGCAAGTTTGGACTGCTTTTACGGTGGCTTTCTCGTACTCGGCAGTTTGGTAAAGGGGTTTTTGGGACTTTGCGAGTGTTACGGGCGACAGACTCTCACTCCGAACTATTGGATATTTCCTTGGCATACGTATCCGAGCTCTTGCTTAACTTTTATACATATTCGTCTGAATTTCTAAGAGTTGTCCATAGCTACATGGCAAAATCTGGGGGCAAACTGATAGGGAGATTGGACACCTACCTTCTATACTACCTCTCGCACCACAAACCACTACTTCGAAAGGAAAATGTTCTCACCTACCTAGAATTTACGTCCGCTTCAGGGGTAAAAGTCTTTACCATCTCCCTCAAGTCCCTTTCGTCCTTCTCAGCCTCACACTAGAACCCAATCGAGGACATCCAGACGCTGTACTTTCTCTGAATACTGTCGTCGTCCAGCGATGATAGGACGTACAAGTTCGAGCTAATCATCATGCAAGAAATACCTTGAGCAGAATTTCAATAATTCGGTCAGCTGCTCAGCCACGCGCCGGGGCCCAGCAACTCCAATAACGGCCTCGGGAAGAGTCGCGAGGCCTTCGCACGGGACGTAACGAGCATCGAGTCTCTGATGATGATGGTGCGATGTTTTACGGTTCGTGGAAAGGCTATGGAGCCCGCCGGTATTGGGCGGGAAGCAGACGGGAATGCCAAGCCTGCGCCCCTTGACCCAAACCACCGGTTCATTGGTTTTTTGAGCGACTCCTTCGGCTATGGAGTCATGATGCTTGGTGCAAAAGTGGACGTTGGGGATGTTGGGGCTGTTTTGGCTGTGGTCGGCATCGGTGCGCTCATGTGGTGCTTGAGGTGCAGAAAGACGGCCACCAACAGAGCTGCAAAGACACAACACAGCCTGGCGGTGGAGCGGTTGTCGTTGGCGGCTAGGTACCCCTTTGATTGCCCCAACGGTGAGCACGCGGCGGGATGTCCGTTACGGGGGGATGGTCGAGGCAGGGGGCCAGACGGTCCAAATAGCGACCCACAGTGATAGGGAAGAGGTGCGGTACGAGCTTCCGGGAAGCGAAGTGCGCCGGCAGGAGTTGGAAAGCCGCGGGTAGTTGTTTATAGGTGTTGGAAACAATAATAACACCCGAATAGTAAGTTTGTAGATCGGTAGTTTTCGGCGCCGGACGGGAGTTTGTCGGCAGTTGGCAGACCGATGGAAGGATTGGGGGCCTTTGACAGGTTGGATAGTGGACTCCTGAGAAGGATGTGACGACATTGTTTCCTCTTTGTCAGCTGCTCTGCTGCGGGAGCCATGGAGCTCAGGGCTCGCGAGAAAGCACTGCCCTCCAGTTGGTGCGGCTGGCATCCGTACGAATACGTTCCTTTTCTGCACCGCGGCTGTTGACGGAAACTACCATGCACTGCCTCGTTGCTGAGGCCCCCATCCATGCCCGCCTGAGGACTTTAGCACTCTCTTGTCCGCCCTGAATTGTCCGCTCCATATGTTCCATGGAGTTCGGCACGCCGACACGCTGCAACCCACCAACCATGCCTACCGCCCTTGCCGATATCCGCTACAATGACATAATACAACCCTCCGACAACAGCTCCCCCTCCGACGACGAAACGGGCCCCTCCACCGAATACCCCGCTCAGGATGCCCAGTCGCTCGTCGGCTTCAGCATTGGTCATGCTCAGTCGCACTACACTTCGCCCACCACCCCGGCGGCCGAGAAGGCCGCCGCCATGGACGACGTCGAGGGGGGGCCGCTGGGGCAGGACAGGCAGAACGAACTGGACGTGATAACGGAGAGGCAGATATGGGAGTCGACCGGTCCGCCGACACCCAAGTCGCAGGAGCTGGGCACACCGGGCACGCCGGGCACTCCCGCTCTGGGCCGGCAGGCAGAGGTACCGACAATACAAGAACCAAAACAGAGGTTACCATCCCCGTGGCGCGCCGGTCCCAAGAGCTTCCAGCGCACCGATGGCGTGCGATTGTCTCTACGTGACAGCCTCACCGGGCACCGACGGCGAGCATCGTGGGGTGCCAACACTGAGGCTCTCCGAAAGCGCCTGACATCGGCCATGCCCTCCATGCCTTCCATTCCAATGCCCAAGAGCCCAAACCTGCTGAACTTTTCCTTTCCGGGCTTGTCGAACAACCACAATTCCGAGTCCAAGTTTGGCACGGATGGCACGACTAGCTCGCGGCCCCGGCGGTCGCAAACCCTGATTCCGAGCCCGAAGCCAGATATGTCATCGAGCTCGGAGACGTTGACGTCTGGACGACCGGGTTCCAACAGACGCTCGACGATACAAAACGTCCGACACGACGACCAGCAGTCGGAAACACCGTCCAATGGGTCAAACGAGGACAGCCACAATCTGTCGATCAACAGGCAGGTGTCCCACGACCGCCGGTTGCGGCGGACGGCCTCGGACGAGTCTTTGGCGCTCAGTCGGTCGTTGTCGCGGGCATCGTCGCTGGGGGATGACAGCCGGTTCGAGCACGTCCAAGAGCAGGTCAACAGCAGGGTCAAGGCCATCAAAGATAGCTGGCAAGACGCAAACTTTAAGTTTATACCATCGATGCCGAACCTCGGCATATCATCATCACTGACCGATCTCACGCGCGGACGCTCGACGTCGATTAAAGGTGACGGCCATCAGAGAAAAAGAGCGCCCAGCTCGCTGACTATAAATCGTGATTCCATTCCCCTGCCAAAAAAGAGCCCGCGACAGGGCACGGCGGGCATGTCGGGCTCAAACGCGGCGCATCACCCGCACTTTACCAAAGCGGTGCAGGACGTCACGGGCGACGTGGTGATCCTGGGAGGGTATCGAGGCTCGATCCTGCGCAGCGCCGAGCCACCGCACAGGCAGCTGTGGGTGCCGATCAAGGTCGGGCTAAACCTGCGCAAGGTCGATCTGGAGGTGGGGTTGAACGCCGAGGACGAGGAAACAATGGAGGAACGCGTGATCCCGGGGGGGATGCTCACGCACATTGGGCCGGTCGACATTGCGCGCCGGCTGTTCAAACGGCTGCGCGCATCCGACAACGCCAAGAACGGCGACCTGCGCGTCCACGACTACGGTTACGATTGGCGCCTCAGCCCGCACCTGCTTTCGCGCAAGTTGATCGCCTTTCTGGAGTCGCTGCCCTGCAACCAGCCAGGCGTCGCGCCCGAGAAGCGCGGCGCCATTGTCATCGCCCACAGCCTGGGCGGTCTCATCACCCGCCACGCCGTTAACCAACGCCCCGAGCTGTTCGCCGGTGTCATCTACGCCGGCACGCCCACGACGTGCGTCAACATCCTCGGCCCGCTGCGCAATGGCGACGACGTCCTCCTCAGCTCGCGCGTCCTCACCGCCCAGGTCAACTTCACCATCCGCACAAGCTTCGCCCTGCTCCCGCTCGAGGGCAAGTGCTTCTTCGACAAGAACACCAAGGAAGAATACCCGGTAGATTTCTTCGACGTCAAGACGTGGATCGACAACGCCCTGTCGCCGTGCGTGGCGCCGGCGCTGCCGGCCCTGACTGCGCCCCCGCCGACGGGCATGGCCGGCATCGTCAGCAGCATGGCCAGCGTGCTGCCGAACATCCCGGGCATTGGGCGCAAGGGCTCCGTCTCCAAGACGGGCCACAGCCCCAGCAGCAGCATGTTCGGCTTCAACACGAGCAGCGAGGACGCGAAAGCGCGGGAGGCGTCAGCGGCGAAGACGGCGCGCGCGGAGGCGGAAGCCGAAGGCGGCGCCGCAAACTCGGGCATGGCGCCGCAGATGGGCAATAACTCGCACCACCAACAGCAGCAGCAGCAGCAGCAGCAACAACAACAACAGGCCTCGGCTGCCACGACGACAACCGCAAACGGCGAGCACTGCCGCAGCCGCAGCAGCAGCGAGTTCGGCTCCACGGGCAACAACGTCGCCACGGCCGTCACGCTCCCGCGCGACAAAGCGCTCGCGTACCTCACGCGCACGCTCGCCGAAGTCAAAACCTTCAAGCAACAGCTCGCGCACCAGCCCGCTCTCTCGGCGCAAAACGCGTATCCCCCCACGGCCGTCATCTACGGCAAGAGCATCCCGACGGTGTACGGCGCGCGGGTGGCAGGGCGCGAGGCCATCCGCCGCGCGGACGCGTACGACGAGCTCGCGTTTGCGAGTGGGGATGGCGTCGTCCTTGCTAGGGCCGCCATGCTTCCCGAGGGGTATAGCGTTATGAAGGGGGGCGTGGTCAGCAGTGATCGTGGGCATGTGACGCTGTTGGGGGATCTGGAGGCTGTGGGAAGGTGCTTGGGCGCTGTGGTTGCGGGACGGAGGGGGGGCGTGGGACTGGGTGCTGGTGGTAGGGGGGAGGAGGGGGGCTCTGTTGGTGGGGGAGGGGGAGAGGGCGAGGGCGTGGGCTTGGGGCTTGGTGCGGCGGCGTAAGGTCGTGTTTGTGATTTCTGGAGGTGCGATTGATATCCCTGGACGGATGGATGGATGGATAGATGGACGGATGAACAGGCGGACGGGCGGGCGGATGAGTAGGAATGAGTAACATAGCAAACAGAGCGCCAGGCTACGGCCGGGGCAAGGGGGAAAGAAGGGAAAGGCTTTTTGCGTTTTTTAACTGGACTGGATCGCGCTGTGTACCGCGCTGTTGCACTGCATTCTAGGTGTGGATGTGTGTGGGTGGGTTTTTTGTGCCATGGGATGGTGGGATGGCTGGATGGATGGACGGCGGGGGGGCCGGGGAGCATATAGCATATCATGGCGTCCAGCTTGAACGGATGGGATGGGATGGGATGGGATAGGATAGGACGGAACTGGGATTAAATAGCTAGCTAGTTGTTGCTGCATATATCCTGTATATCCGTCACCGCAAAACAATCTTGACCGTCTTGCGAGACAGTGATACGTGTACGGAGGAGAAGAAGCGACCCAGCTCCGAAGTATAGCGCCTCTGCGTGCTCTAAGACCTTTACATCCATACCTAGGACCCGGGCTATGAGCTAGACAAGGCGTGCTCGGTAGGGACTGCTTGTGTTGTCCCCTGTCTCGCTAGACGGTGCATCTTGGGTCGCGGTGACGGCCTGACGGACGTTGGCGTGTTGGTTGTTTGGTTGGTTGGTTGTTTTGCAGGTGGTGGATATGAAGGTAAAAGGTAAATAGTCAATAGTAAACAGCAATGCTGACGGGTATGTATGCATGGCGGTGCCGAGACCAGAGGCTTGTGTTTGGCAGGCAGTTGCTGCACTTGGCGCCAATGGAGAAACGGAGTCACGATGCGCTAAAGAAAGGAAGTGAGGGAGTACAACATATTTAAATTAATTAATTATATATATATATATATATATATATTTTTGATTGATTGATTGGTTACACGCATCGCATTACATTAAGCCCTCCAACACCATCATAGCGCATTTCCTCAACTCCCCCAACACCCATCCAACCTCTTCCACCTAGTTATAAACACAGCCAACAGCGCTATCCAGCTCGACAGGCCTAGCAGCGAAGCCGAGGCAGTCGGTGCGCGAGCCGTCAATCAGGCCCAGCGAGACGACGTACGTGCCGTCCTTGTACGGGCAGGCGATCCACGAGTCCTGGCCCGCAAACTCCAGGTGCGTGCCATTGACGGCCCAGCCCTGGGTCTCGAGGCGGCCGCCGCTGATGGGCGCGTTGCCGTACTGCAGGACGCCGCGGCCCATGCCGCTGCGGTCGGTGAAGACTGTTGTTGCGTCGTTAGCTTTGTGCGTCTGAAGACTTCTAGGTACCTAGGTGGGGAACGTACGGATTTGCTTCTCGCGCGCGCCCTCCTGGCCGTACAGGAACAGCTCCTTGGTGTCCTCCTTGAGCGCGAAGACGGTGCCCTGGTTCGCGGCGTCCGAGTCGCAGTCGGCCGTCACGGCCTGGTTGAGCCAGATGTTGCTGCCCTGCGCCGTCACCGACGCGTACTGGATCGGCGAGCCCGAGCGGATGGCCACCAGGCCGAAGAGCTTGAGGTTGTCCTCGACGGGCGCGGGCGCCGGGCCGGGGCAGCTGCCGGCGGGGGCGGCGGTCGCGGTGAGGGCGAGGGCCAGGGCGGGGAGGATCGTCGTGAGCTGCATTGTTGTTGTTTTGGTGGTGGTGGTGATTGTGGTTTGAGACGGTGGATTTGTTTTTTGGAGGTGCTTGCTGGAGATGAAGGAGGATGAGGTTTGTCGTACAGAAGCCACCTCCACTGCGGCACGCAGCCCCTGTTTATATAGCCAGCCGTGGTGCAAGCCTACAACACACGGCGGCTCGTATCCGCGCGACCACGTCTCTTGGCCGGGCGTCATGGCGCGTCTGGGCGAAAAAGCCCGTGAGCTCTCAGCTCTCGCGCAGGCCGACGTCAGTAGTGCAGCCGAGGACAAACTACTCTAGCCGGCCCACAGACCATCTCGTATTCCCCTTTCGAGCGCCCGCCCTGCCTCCACCCAATCCCGTCCTCCCGATCGCCGCGCCATCGCCTTTCTGGAAGACGATACGAGGTCCCGGCCCCGCGCCGGGCTGGCTCGGCTGATGTCAAGGGCCGTGGCGGCGGAGACGGCGGACGCTGTCGACTTACAAATAGGAGTGCTAGTTAGAGTAGAAGAAGAAGAAGAGTCCGAGAGATCGGGTCGTCTGTATTGGCTTGCGTACGGAGCTGTGCCGCGCTCCGTCGCCACTGCTGCTGCCAGCGATGCGATGTGCTCTGGGATGGGTGGATGGATCATGGCACGGATGGGTCCGCGTGATGCCCGCTCGGCCCGTCCCCCGCTCGGTGCGGCCAAAAATAGATCCGATGGCTGCGAGCGACTCAGTGGTGGCGAGCTGTGACTGTTGACTGTGACACAGGGCCCGTCTAACTCAAACCTCACTTCACAGTCTCGCTGCTCATGCATGCCGTGAGACGGCTCGGCGCGCGCGTGTGCGACCTCAGGGCCCTCACTTGTTGCGTCTGGAACTAGACCAACAAGCTCCGGACAAGCCTCCTGTGAAGTCCTTCTCCTTTCAGTGGACGACGAACGATGGCAGGCGAACACCGTCTACTCTACACATGCAGCCAGCAGTGTTCTTGACCACCAGCGGCCAAGCCTCGAACTAAAGACAAACGCCCTCGAACTCAGCATCGGCCAATCGGTCCCAGCTGGACGGTCGAGCTGCCGGTAGTAGGGCTCGGGCACGCGAACTCGAGGCAGGTGTCGTGGAGAGCCTAGCCCTGGGTCTCGCAGCGTTCGCCGCTGATGGGCACGTTGTCGTACAGCAGGACGCCGCTGGACGTGTCTAGGCTACCGTCGATATCGGTGCACACTGCGTTTGCCGTTAGCTTCTACACGCAAGTGTATCTTCTCCCGTCCTTTCTCCGTTTTGGTTGGGTGGGCAGGGTGATAGATAAAAGAGAAGGGAACGGATGAGTCTGCCTCTCTCGCAAGCCGTTCTTGCCGCATGGGAACAGCTCCTTGGTCTTTTCCTTCAGCGCAAACACGACGTTTTGGTTCGCGGTGTCCGTGTGGCTGTTATTGTCCGCGCTCATGGCCTTGTTGAGCGTCAAATTGTGAACTCTGTGCCGAGATGGGGAAGAGGTGGTGGATCGATGAGCCGGCGCGGAAGACCGCCGTGACAGTGGCTGCGGACGAGTGCCCCAAGCTCTTCAGTCTCGCGAAGGCGAGCGCGAGAGCGAGGGCTCCGTGGAGAAAATTGGACTCCACGGAGAGAAGTATGTTGCATTACGAAGCTATAGCAGCTATAATTAGGGGTGAAGAGGAACGGTAGGTAGAAGGATTTGATTAGCAACCACTAAAGCAGAAGTCGAAGTACAGATCCTCTCCACTATAGCAGACCGGCTCTGCTCAAACGAGTACCTAACCTCCCGTTCTAGCCTGTTGCGGAACCATCGCAGCAATCATCTTGCCATTTTGGCCCTCTCGGTCTCTCCGACCCCGCATTTTTGGGATCCGAATCGCTCCACAGCCTTACCGAGCCAGCGCCAGAAAGGGATGCAGTGGAGAAAGAACATGCATCCTTGGGGCCAGAAAACCATAACTAATTTCGCGCGAAGCCTACACAGTCGTATAAAAATCAGCGCTATCCCAACTAGCCAGACAGCAGTCATCCACTCATTAGCCTATTACCACCACTATCCCGAAACGGTTATAACTTTCGACTACACATAATACCCACACGTTCCCTACACCGCACCACAGCACAACATGCAGTTCACGACCGCGCAGACGCTTGCCCTGGCGCTGGCCCTGGCCGGGTCTGCCGCCGCCGCTCCCACCGAGCAAAAGCCCAACTTCGACAACCCGCTGGTCAACCGCAACGGGACGACGAAGCTGCTGGGCTACATCCGGGGCTCGGACGTGAGTTTATATACACGGCGCAGCCTTCATCTCGACCGCCCGACACCGCTAACAAAACACGACATCTAGCACGACGCCCCGAAGATCAACAAGATGGGCACGATCACGGATCTGCATGCCTCTCAGGCCGAGCTCGGCTCCGGCTGGGGCGCGTACATGCTGCAGAAGCCGCCGCAGGTGGCCGCGGAGGACTTTGACATCAACAACTGGTACGCAGCTGCAAAGCTGAAATCGAAGGACTTGCCTGCTAACATAATGTGCGGTACAGGCTCTGCGTCATCTGGGCGGACACGAAAGCGTTCCAGACGGCGCCCAAGGTGTCCGCTTCGCAGAACCCCGACACGGTGCTGGACCAGTGCATGGCGCGCTTGCAGCTCAACCCCGCGGCGACGGTGCGCATGGGCGTCGAGAGCGAGATGGGTGGCGTGGCGACGCTGAATGTCCCCGTCGAGCTACTCAATGATGGCTTTTTGAAGATCGGCGCGCAGTGCGCTAGGCTTGAGGAAGGCGAGGACTTGGACCAGTACCCTGCTGCGCAGTACGACCATCTGAAGAACTTTGTTGACTGTAATAAGACGGCCTAGTCTGGGGGTGTGGGATGCTGTGGTCTTCTTGTATAATGTATTTATAACCCACTGAACTTAGTCGCTCCTTCTACGATACCATTCTTAAGCCAATCAACCAAATCGCTGCAGTTCCTATACGCAGTCTAACCCACTGGGGCTGCACTCGTAACTATACAGTATCCTTGGGGCCGAAAAGCACCACAGCAATCTCAGTCAAGACTAAAGAGTACAATAAATAACAGCACCCACACCAGCGCAGTCCCTGCTAGCCAAACCGCATCTCAACACCTATTAGCCTACCACCTCTTCTCTCCTCCATAAACAATCCTTCCCATCTATCTACCCATCCTTCCCATCCCCCGCCCACCATACAGCAGATTGCGACCATCACCCCCGCGCTAACAGCGCTACAGTAGCACTCAGGCTCCGGCTCACCGGCACTACTCCGCAGCACCAACGACGCAAGCGCGCAACCGCAACCGCGGCCTCGGCCTCGGGCTCAGCCTCGCCAGCCCGCTCGGCAGCCACAACGGCGCGGCGACGCCGCCGGGGTATGTCGACTGTGATACCGCGCTTTCATAGGGTCTTGTAGGTGGTTCGGGAGTTTGAGACTGAAAGATTGCTGGAAAGAAGTACCATGGCTTCACATCGAGCAAATGAACTGTAAGTAATACAATACACGGCTAGCTAGCTAGATAGATAGATAGGTTCGACTACCCTCTCATTATTTATCGCGTATAAAACATAAATACCTACACACCTACCTACCCACATAGCCGCCATCCCAAGCCTAGCTCAATTTTATTTTACCTACCTTATCTTACCTACCCAATACCAGCGCCGTCCAGACGTACAAACCTCCGCTACAGGCTACGCTTTAACCACGTGCCAAAAAGAAAGGAAGGATAAAGGAAGGAAGGGAAAAAAAAAAAACGTAACAAAAAACTCCATACAACAAACCACCCATCCACAGCATTTTCCTCACATCATGTCAAGAGCAAAGGTAAGTATTAAACCTCATCCACCACACACCGCAAACCACACTTCAAATCCTAGAGGCTGCGTAGGGAAAGAAAATAAATAAATATGAAAAAATAAAAATAAAAATAATAAAAATAAAATAAAATAACTATAAAATAAAAGACCCCACAAATATATATATATATATATTATAAACAAGAAACCCAAACCACCACCACACCACCCAACCCCACCAGCATCAAATCCATCAACATCCCCAACACCAACTAAAACATGACCAAAACGCCCACCACGCCCGCTACCAGCGCGCCCACACTCTTCGCAGCCGCGCCATTCGCGCTTGCGGCACCAAACGACGGCGTCGAGACCGCGGGCGACGTGCCTGAAGGCTGCGCCGCCGGGGGCTGTGCGTTGCTGGCGTTGGGAGCAGGCGCGGGAGAGCTGGCCACAGGTGGGTTGGAGGCGGGGATGATGGGCCCTGAGGGGTGGGGTGTGCCGATTGGCGGGACGGCGGGTATGCCGGCTGGCGGGGCGGCGGGGGGCGTGTTGGCTGGGGGCGCGGGCGCGGGCGCGGGCGCGATGGGGGCGGGAGGAGCGGCTGGGGCTGATGCTGCGGGAGCTGGTGCCGAGGCGGGAGGAGCCGGGGCAGGAGCAGGAGCTGGAGCAGGAGAGCCAGCCGGAGCCGAAGGAGCGGGCGCCGGAGCCACGGGGACAGGGACAGGGACGACGGAGCTGGTCTGTCCGCCCGCGCAGCTGTTGCAAGGGAGAGTAATGGTCGTGCTGAGGTAGAGGGTGCTCCTGGAGGCGATGACGAGGGTCGAGCTCGTGGTGATGGCTGCACTGGTCGCGGGGCTGACCACTGGGGCCGGGGCGCTGGGTGCTGGTGCTGGAGAGCTGGCTGCTGGGGCGGGTGCACCTGGTGCGCTGGGAGCGGGGGCGCTGGGTGCTGGAGCTGGTGCAACGGGTGCTGGAGCACTAGCAGCCGGAGCCGGAGCGCTAGCAGCAGGAGCACTGGGAGCTGGAGCTGGTGCAACTGGTGCCGGAGCACTAGGAGCGGGAGCTGGAGCGCTTACAGCTGGAGCACTCGCAGCTGGAGCACTGGGAACTGGAGCTGGGGCAACAGGCGCCGGAGCACTAGGAGCAGGAGCCGGCACAGGCCCAACGCCAGGCGCGCTCGTAGCTGGAGCAGGTACAGGAACCGGGACAACAGTAGTAGCAACAGAAGTGGAGCCAGGGCAGGTGCTGCAAGGCTTAGTGAGCGTCTGTGTCTGATAGACAGTCGACTGCTGAGGGACCGGGACCACGCTTGTCGAAGTCGTCGTCTGCTGGGGCGAGGAGGCAGGGACAACCGGGGCCGGGATGACCGACGTGGCGGGAATGACTGTAGGAACGACTGTGGTGACGATGGACGAGGAGCCGGGGCACGTGTTGCATGGTTGAGTTAACGTCTGCGTCTGGTAGATTGTTGAAGGCTGAGGAGCCGGTGGAGCTGGAGGAGCTGGAGCAGATGTAGCGGGGATGACGGTGGGAACGACTGTGGTGATTTGGGTGGTTGATCCTTGGCAGGTGTTGCATGGTTGGGTTAACGTCTGCGTCTGGTAGATTGTCGAAGGCTGAGGGGCCGGTACGGAGGTAACGGGAACGACAGTCGGAACCACTGTAGTGACCTGGGTGGTCGAGCCTTGGCAGCTGCTGCACGGCCGGGTGAGAGTTTGAGTCTGATAGATGGTCGACTGCTGCGGAACAGGGACGACGTTCGTGGTCGTCTGCACTGGAGCAGACGTAACGGGAACGACAGTCGGAACCACCGTTGTGACTTGCGTGGTAGAGCCCTGGCACGTGCTGCACGGCTGGGTCAAAGTCTGCGTTTGCAAGATAGTCGACTGCTGCGGCGACGGGACAGGAAGGACTGTCGGGACAACCGTAGTAATCTGCGTAGTCGAGCCCTGGCACGTGTTGCACGGTTGGGTTAGGGTTTGCGTCTGGTAAACAGTCGACTGCTGAGGCGCCGGGACAGGAACGGACGTGACAGGAACAACAGTCGGGACAACCGTCGTGATCTGTGTGGTAGAGCCTTGGCAAGTATTGCACGGCTGGGTCAACGTCTGCGTTTGGAGAATAGTCGACTGTTGAGGAGACGGGACAGGCAGAACTGTCGGCACGACCGTAGTAACCTGCGTAGTCGAGCCCTGGCAAGT